AGGTCCAACATGTTTCAGAAATATTATAAAATGAAAAACATATTGGAACAGTTGGGAATCGAACCCGTTGAATATTAGCCATAGATTGCTACCATTAGACCAGAAAAGAGAAAATCAAGCATCAAGCAATTGCCCAATCTGGTTTTGTAGTTCTCAAAATGTGGTTATGACTTACAACCATTTCCAAATGTTTATTGAACGTTTGATTTATTTTATGTACTGATGGGTCATGAAACACATTTTTCCCCATTATTCATTTCTTTCAATAATTAGATCATAAAATTAATCATCAAATTCTTACTACAAATGGCAAGTAGGTGTTAAAATAACAAAAACTAATACTTACACTACTACTAATAGGACACAGGGTATCAAAATAAATAAAATAAAATAAATAAAAAATACTTTATTCTCTTTAAAATTATAAAAAAATATTTAGATTCGTCAATTATTTTTTGTCTGTCTGTTTGTCGTGATTCTACAGAGTGTTCAAAAGAGCAACATAACTGAGAAGAACACCCAAGAAACTCAGTCCGGCTTTTTTAAATCAAATGTTAGGTTATCAAAGGTTAGACCCACCATGCCACATTGGGGTGGCTTTAACGACTACCAAATATGCTTTCGTCAGCAGCAATGAGTTTCAATCTATAATCGTTAAATAATTGTAACAATAAAGTTATTAACCACGTCAAGGATTAAAAAGGGCAGATGTTGACAATTTTCTCCTTGGTGAGTATGTAACTGACCGTGCGCGCGCGCAAAAAATGGCAGATGCGTTAAATACCATTTTACTGTCAGTCTGCTGTATATAGATAGTCCGTTATTTTGCTGCTGCCATTTCGCTATTCACATGTAACACCGGTCAAGTGTGAGTCGGACTCAAGCACGATTGGTTCCGTACATCTTGTAAAATATATTTTATATTGTAAACTTTTTAGTTATTTCTGGTCATATTATCATTTAGTGAAAGTCGTTAGCCAAAAATGACATTCCTCTTAAGCACCGTAGCGGGCTGGTGGTGTGTTTCGTGGTTCTAGATGACCATTGTCTCCGAGGAGGTTGCAGTACGATTTACCACACTCCCCGCGTCACTATTGCCCGACGTGGGCATTAGGTACTTACACCATCAGTAAAAGAAAAAGAAAACAAAGGCAAATTACAGTTTTGGATACAGATAAGGAGCTCCACTTTAAGTAATTTACATTATTTTTAAACACGCTTTTATATTAAAGCCAGTGAGAGCCAGATAGTGAATTACTAATTATAGGATTCCATGTATCAATACTAATATATAAAGCTTGTTTGTTTGTTTGAACGCGCTAACTTCTGGAACTACTGATTCGAATTAAAACATTATTTTTGTGTTGGTTAGAGCATTTATCGAGGGAAGCTATAAAATATCACGCTGCGACTAATAGGGGAGTAGAAACAGCGGGAAATGTGGAAAAAACGGAGAATTTAAATAAAACACTTTAATGGTTTAAAACGATATATTAGTTAAACTTATTTGAAAATGATTTTTAACTTCGGCCCGACGTTTCGGATGCTTTGAAGCAGCCTTGACCACGGTTAAGTTTAACTAATAATAAAATTATATCGCGTTTTAAACCGTTAAAGTGTTTTACTTCAACGGAGAAAATTATTCATCCTTGTTTCCCTTTCATCCGGGTTTTCCCTTGCGTACGCTGTGAGATCGATTTAAGATACCCAAAAAATATGTAGTAAAGAATGATCCCTTTTTAAATGACCTAAAAAAATGTCCACGGCAGTATATGTCTATCTTTTAAGACTAACTTGCAAGAACGTCGGGAGGATGAAAACGTTTGAAAAAAACAATTTTGAGGACCCAAATAACAATTCTACGCGGACGTAGTCGCTGGCACATCTAGTAGGGTATATACTAATAGATACAGAACCCTAAAAACATGTTTACTGTCTCGTATATTATGACAGTCAAAGATTGTTATTATTTCGAGATAGTGTAAAAGTTTATTTTAATACGAGAGTGTTTTCGTGTATTAAAGGCGTGTTTTGAATTCGCGTTTTGTTTTCATCTAGAAAATAGAGATAAAAAAGCAGACTTCGTAAACCTATCCTATCAACTTTAACGGTTTAAAACTCTAAATAAATGAATGAACCTATTGTTGATTGAATTTAACTGCAGCCCGACGTTTCGGATGTTTTAGCAGCTGTTGTCTAATATAAGTATTTCGCGTTTTTAACCGTTAAAAGTGTTTAATTTAAGTGTGTATAACTCCTGTAAACAACAGCCAATACTTTATTTAGATTTTCCCTTGGACATTGAGAGATAAGTGGTTATTATAAAGAGTGGTTATACAAGTCGAGAAAGATTTATTTCGTGTGATATTAAATAAATCAAAATTAATAATGTCATAGACGAATCAAAAATACACAGATGCCGTACTCAAAAAGTCAATTTCTGAAACTGTTTTATTTCTTATAAGTTCAGTGTTTACGTTTAACTCCCACTAGTTAAACGTACATACAAACATCTCCTTCTTCAAAACAGATGATTATGGAGCTTAGACCCACCACGCTGCGCTGAGATTTCAAAACGTGAAATATGTTGGTTTAATTTATTTCCTAATTTTTAAATCCGACCCGACGTTTCAATTGCCGTAAACGGATTTACGATTAGATAGACCTAACACCAAAATTTACTACACTACCGCCATCTGTTCCGTCATAAATGATATTTGGACAAACTAGTCCTTACACAATTAACTCATGGCGACCTCTAACTTATTGATGTGGCGTTTTGGGGAATCCTTCTCTGTTTGATGTTTGAGGTCGTCGTTCATATTGAAATTTTGATGATTTCTGAAAGTTATACTTTCAAAATAATTTCAAATTGATATTTAAAAAAAAATGTAATCTTATAAATTACAAAAAAATACGACACGGGCAAGACTTGAACTGAGCACACACAGCGTTCTGTTGCTATAACCAATTGAGCGACCGTGTCTTAAACGATTTTAAGTAAAAAATATTAAAATTACAAAAAAAATCTTCCGTGGCTAGGATTTTTTTATTTTGAAATTTATTTTCGCTAAAAATGTATAAGAGATATTAAAGTATGAGAAATAATTATAAATATATCGCTCAACCCAGACACGACTAGACGAGACGACAGATAACCTAATGATAACAGACATCTATGCGGATATCATCATGCACCCACTGATAAGATGTCCACGGAAGTAAGGTGCTATTCGATCTTATTAAATTTAATTAAATCAGATTCTAGAAAGGGACTTATAGTGGACTCAAATCCCGCTTAACTTGAATGATTTGAAAAAAAAAGCTTGCGAACACTTAACAATAATTTAATTACACTTTTCTTTGTCTGTTTGTTGAACCTAAACTGCGAGACTGACGTCGATTTCAAAGGATATTTTAGAAGTCCGACTGTTTGTTCAGTGTAAAAGCAGGTCCCTGTAACTAAGACTTCATACACTGGTTTTATCTTATATCGTATGATGTCTGCTGCGACTTCCGATTAGAATAGCTATTTTGCCCAAAAAAAAAAAATTTTACAAACCTCCTTATCTTTATAAATTGTAGCTGTTACAACGTCGTCTGCGCCTCGTCGTTCTTACTAGTTAATCTTAAAGATAGACATATGCTGTCAGATATTTTTTAGATCATTTATAGACGAATCATTCCTTATTTCGTGCAAATTTTGTGGGTATCTTGAACAGTAGCATAGCTAAGTGAACAAGGGCCCCGGTATTAAAGAAAAAATTGACCCTCACCATCCTCTTTCTGGGTAGCTTGAACGTATAAGGCCCCAAAAAATATAAGTATGTTTCATTTAAAAACAAACAAAAAACCTCCTAAGCCTTCCTCGATACATGCTCTAACCAACACAAAAAGACTTTTATTTCAAATCAGTAATTCCTGAGATTAGCGCATTCAAGCAAAATCTTCAGTTTTATAATGTTAGTATAGATTTAACGTTGGACTTTACCCGAACCAAGACAAAACGAGGGCGGGTCGCTAGTTTGTTACAATAACTAATCATCGCACGTTACATGTGCATGCGCACAGTCGGCGCATGACGGGTCAATGTTGCATGCTGGAGTCTGAACCCGGACGGTCGTTGCGTTATCGAATACAAAACTAAATTTATTTTTTTCATTAGGCCACAGTATAATTACTGCTAGTAAGAATTGGATTTTCACACGTGGACTTAACACGTGGGTTTGTCAATTCGATCGGCAGATTGAGACATAGAGTTGAGTATTAATACATAGAAATCTTATTTCGAATAAGACTTTTGAATTACAGATTTTTATCTCCGAATCAGAATTATTATCTCCCCTATTACATCTTAAAACCGCGACTTAATTATCGAAAATAATAGTGACGTCACAATTTTTTTAAATTTAAAAATTTCAACTGTTTAAAACGTGAAATATTAGTGTTTCGGATGCTTTGCAGCGGCAAAAATTAACTGTTTAACTAGCGACGACTTTTGTTAACATTCCCCACTGATTACTTCATACTGTGCAGTAATGTCCAATAGGTTTTCGTGAGATGATAGGGTTATTTTCAATTGGAATATTAATTTGCTGATAAGACGTGTATATTGTGATAATGCACTTGTTATTTCGTAAATAGAATTAAATTGATTGACAATTGGTACATATGTGACATGAAAATAAATTTGCGCGATTTTTTTGACCTTTGATAACTAAACCAGTATTCAACTATATCAAATATGTATTTGTTAATACTAAGGCAAGTTTAACCAATATATATCGCGTTTTAAGCCGTTAAAGTGTTTTAATACGAAGGTACTTTTTCTGACATTTGTTTTATAAAAATCTCAAATCCCAAAAAAAGCCAAATCTGAGATCTCGTATTCGACGACATTAACCACTAGACCAACGAGGTTTTTTTTGAGGACTTTGCAGCTCTGAAATATTAAACGACACAACAACAACATAAACAATAATGTAATATTTTTTTTTCAGTGGAATACGTAGATACGGAGTATAGTCTGTGGCTAACATGGTTCCTGACGCCGGTGATCGTCACCTTCCTTCTACCGGCTGTCATCATCATCCTTATTTATGTTAGCAGCATCATCTTCTACCTCTACAGGCTTTATAGGTAAGAATTAAGCTTTGAAAAATTAAATTTTTGCACATGACGGCACTATATACATTAAAAATCGAAAAAAGTTTACGACACGGGCGGGACTTACACGGTAGCTCAATTTGTTAGAGCAACAGCACGGAACGCTGTGGATGCCGTTTCAAGTCCTGTCGGTGTTGTAATTTTTAAATTTTTTAAGAATTACGTTTTCTCTACGTGCTACCGTCACTTTCCTAATTTATGCCGATCCAAGCGTTGTATATGTGTTACCGGCAGATAAAGAAGCAGTAGCGTAGCTAGGTGAACCAGGGCCCTGAAATACCTAATCCTAAGGCTCAAGAAAGAATCGGGTCCTCATCCCCTCTTTTAGTATAGCTTGAATTAAATGAACCTCCAAAATTATAAATAGCAACATGAACATTAAAAAATCCTTTTCTTCTACGCTTATATCTTCTCAAAGGTAAGGTTAGAGGGGCCCCAAACTCCGAGGCCCTGGTGCATTGCACCACCTAGCCCTACGAAGCTTTTTAAAGGAAGTGTAACCACTATGAAAAACAGTAGTCACTTACTTGCAGTTAGCGTAGTTTCGTAAAAATATACCTATCAGATGTTAAGTTACGACTGTAAAAAACTATACCATGAATATAAATAAATTATTTTTAGTAAGTACTTATGTTAATTCACGAAAACCATGGATTCCGGGTTCACTAAACCAATATCGACATTTTGTTTAGTCTGCCAAGTTTATCTAGACCACGCCAATTTTTTTTTCATTTCCATTAATTAAAACTTTAATTGGGTGTGATAATTAAGCATGAGGGGCGCGTGATTAGTTTTAACTCTTAAGATAATTTATAAAATAAAATTAAAAGTATTTTTACAGTTGGCAAATCGAATTTTAATTTGTTTCAGGTTGCGAGTTGTCGAGGGAGTTCAAAACGATTGGAAGCACGCGGCACGACTGGCTGTTTGTGCACTGTGGGATGCCCACGGCTGGTTATGGCATGGTCAGTAAACGTTTATGTCCAAATACTAAAATTGATATGTACCTACATTCGATGCTTAAAGTTATACTTAGCAACTTGTTATGATTCGTTACAATCTTTAATTGAAATATGTTATGACCCGTAATTTGTGTCATTCTAGTTCATTCTAAATACATTATATTTAGGTAATTTGAAATCGCCAGCTGTAGTATTAAGTTGTATAATATGGTTAATTATGCTTATACACAGTTTTAACTGCCACTCATATATATAACCAGGCAATTAAAGTAAATATTTCTTTAATTTTTAGAAACACCTTATGAATTATAAAATAGTGTCCATCTTCAATGGACCTATCCATTTGAGATAATATATATAGAATATAATTGATGATTACATCAATGTATTTCTAAATTGAGTGTATTATTATTTTTCAGGTTACGATATCAGAGGTCTGGAAAATATTCCCGAGGGCCCGTTCTTAGTAATCTACTACCATGGCGCTCTACCCATTGATATGTACTACTTTATCGCACGAATGCAGCTTTTCAAGCGGATTCACGTCCACACGGTTGCTGATAGATTTCTATTCAAAATACCTGGTAAGATATAGCTTTACTCCTATCCGGCTCAAAGGACCACAAACTATCATTTCTAAATCGACATTATCGATTACTTGGACAAACGTGACGTTTATCCAACTCTACCTTTTAAAAAAACCACTTTTAAGGTTTAAAAAGCGAAATATTTTTTTAAATTTTTTTAAAATTTTTTTTTCCTTTGGCCCGCGGGTTGGGGGGGGCGGGGGCCCCGGGGGGGCGGCGGGGGGCCCCCCCGGCCCCCGCCCCCCCCCACCCCCCCCTTTTTTTTTTTTTTTTTTTTTTTTTTTTTTCTATATCGTACCGTTAAAGTGTTTTTTTAAATGTGTACTACTCGCGTAAACTTTAGACAGTACAACTCTCCTTTTTTTTTGGATATTATGCAACGTTTTTTTCAACATAAGAAACCTTATTCGCAAACGTTTTCATTAAATAAAAATTAATTAAATAAAAGGACTTAAAAAATGGATAACAAAATCTTTCAGGCTGGTCGCAGCTTTTAGACGGCCTCTGTGTGATTCCTGGCACAGTACAGACGTGCGCAGGAGTGCTCCGCAACGGCAATCCACTGGCGATATCCCCCGGTGGCGTCTACGAGGCTCAGTTTGGTGACCACTCCTACCGGCTGTACTGGAAGTCAAGGATAGGTTTTGCGAAAGTCGCCTTAGAAGCTAAAGTGGTAAGAATATTTTTTGGCATATACACATTTTTACGTGTTAAAAACAAGTTTAGAACCTTTATAATACTTAAGTATTTATAGAAAATAGAAATAATGCTTAGCTACGTGCTTAAATAGCGGTTTTAAAGAAAATTTTGCCAAAAGTTAGTAGAAACATAATTATCTTTTGGGTAATATTTTTCCTTATATAGAATAAGACAGAAAAATAACTCGTTTTGGTGAATAAAATATAACCGTATTTTTATATTACAGCCAATAATCCCAATGTTCACTCAAAACGTACGCGAGGCCTTTCGCACAGTGGGCTGGCTTCGAGGAATCTGTCTCAGGATATATGCAGCGACGAGGATTCCCTTGGCACCTGTGTACGGAGGATTCCCCGTCAAACTGGTCACTCATTTGGGTAAACCTATTTATCCTGACCCCAGTTTTACACCTGAACAACTCCAAACGAAGGTCAGTTGCATTAGTAAAGTTCAGTAGAACCGTAATACGATTGTTTTCATTATACGCCAGTCCCTACTTGAGGTTATTTTCATACATTTCTTACCGTTTACTACGTTTCGTCATCCAGTTTAATTCGACCGAACCGACCCGAAAAACAATTTAGATGAACAACAAATCGAACTACTCAATGATACACTGGGTTCCTGAGAAATCGTATTTATCTGGTGATACTGTATTTACCATATGGTTAAACTCTTGGTTATTTAAAAAAATAAAGAGGATGATCTCCTTAGCGTCCCAGGCTAAAATGGATATACAAAATTCATTAATTCTTAGTTTCTATATTTTATTTTAAATTTGGGTTATGTTTATAGTAAAATGTTTCTTTGAAAAGTTAAGGTTTGACTTAAGTGGCGTTCTCTTTACAAATGTATAAATAACAAATTACGTTAAAACAAAAGCTTTGTTAAGATGGCAATTGAAATTTCACATCAAATAACTTCAGGTGGCGAGTGCAATAGAAGATCTAGTGGAAGAGCATCAAAGAGTACCGGGAAGTATTCTCCACGCGCTGATAGAACGAGTATACGAAATACCCAAAAAACGGGCGAAGAAACCGCACACGAACGGCACGTGTCAAAACGGCACCGCCAAGAAAGAGATGCAAGATAGTGTTAATAACAAGTGCGACGAGGACAAAAGTGGTAATGACAAGTTTGACAGTGACAAAGCTAAAGTGTCATAGATGTGCTAAAGAATTAATATCTGTGGCAGTGCGTAATATAGATGTTATATTACAGTTTTCTTTGTCGGTGTAAAATAATATGTATATTGTTTTGACCCAAAAGATCATACCAAATAACGATGCTTCTAGTAAAGTGAAGTTCGACTGTGCAATCTTGAATTCAATGTACACGGTAGTTACTTCATTGTGACATTTTACCACTAACGGTGCAGGCGCAGATTTAAATTTTAGCGTCACGAAATACATAGTTTTTTTTTTATCTATTTGTAAGTAGTTATATAAAAGTACTTATACAAAAGTAATAGAAGCAAATGCAGCAGGAAAACAAAAATTATTTTTAGCTAGAAGGTAACTTGCTGAATGAATGTAACGAATTGCCAATTAGTAACGAATAGCATGTTGAGATTATAATAAGTATCATATCTCTTATAGTTCAAACACAATTTTGCCATATATAGCATTTAATGTTCTTGAAATATATATGTGTATATATTTAAAATTATTTATATGTGACACATTCCTAGATGCCGCCAGTGCTAAAATGGCCTATATAGCTATATTAAAACTTATATACGTACGTGTAAATTATTTGCTGGTATCGAAATAATTTTATCAACTAACTACTCGCTGCATGTTAGGAAAAACGTATTTTTGTGAGATTTTTTATAAATTAATGTGGTACAGGATTGCATTTATATATTTATATCATTATGTATATTATAAGATAATGGAAAAATGTTATCAGAAATTACAAACCTTTATAGGAAGGTTTTAAGAGAAAAATATCCCGTTACAAGTTTATCTATCTCAGATGATTAGAAGTTTAAATGCGTTATCCGAGCCTTAAGTAAGGCGAACAACTTAATTGTATCGAATCTTTAAAATAGATAATCAAAAAAGCATATTTGTTATCAAAAACTTCTGAAAGATTTCAACTAACAGTGCATTCCGATTTACCGTCTTATCCTAGAAGACAGAGTCATATATAATATAAGTCTGATTTAGGTTACTTAAAATTATATTTAACGATTATTTTCTTTATCGCTTTGTCCAGGCTTGTAATTTGAATAAAATGGAATTTATGTGATTGTATAAATCAAAGTAAAACCTTTATTCACCAGAGTGAGTTAATATGGAGGTGTCTCTTTCTTACAATCTCCTATAAAGAATAAAGACAGAACGTTCAGTGGTCAGTTGAACTGATAGTGATTAAATATAAAAGTATGATCGTATTGTGAAGTAATTCGTTTGGACAAAGAATCCCTGTTTCTTATTAACTCACTTTGGTGAATAGCTTAGTACGACCTCATTTCATGTAAGAAACGAGTTAACTTGGTTACAAAGTTTGACATTAAGGTGCTAATGAAGAACCAACTAACCAACACAGCAGTGTTGTCATATCGTAGTTCTTAATTCGCTTAAAAGGAATACTTGAACGATAAATTGAGATCACACAAACTTTATCGACTGCGCTATGTATATTTAATGTATTCTGTATATTTTGATAAGTCATAGATTATATGTAACGCTCTGTAATTTTAATGTGTATAAAGGTTCAGCGCTAAAGATCCGTACCGCTACTTATACTTAATATTACTACTGATACTTGCGCTAAGTAAATAAACATATTTTCTGCAAAATTTCGGATCAATTTATTTCAACATACTGCTTTGTCGTTTGGGGTAAGAAATACATTTTAATACCTTTTATTCTATACATTATTGGTTTAAAATCGTTGAAATATTACACAAGTTTTAAATATATACATATAAAAAATGCGATACAGCAAAACCTGAATTTAGTAACTTATACACATATTAAACTTTACACCCGGAACCGATCGTCCATTTTGATTTACTACAAACCGCTGTGCCATCAGGTCTTGCTGTATTCTATTCAATGCTATATTATCATTATCACAAATTAAAACCTAAATGAAATCGCTGTAACTATTAACGTCATCGAATTGTTGCGTTTGCGTCGACGGTCGTACAGAGCCTCCCTGCGGCCGGTACTGGGGTTGCTGTATGCAAAAATTCATTTTAGACTGACAGGTTTGAAAAATAATTTTATAATTGGTAAATAATAAGATGAAAACATTGATAATCCATAATTATAATACGCACATATTTTAACAAAGTGTGCGTAAATCTCTTTGTCACTAGTAAATGTTATTTCCTCGTACGTAACTACGTATCTTCTTTCCTTGTTCATTAACATTAATAGCACGTAATTAAATCATTGTGCATTTAATTCACGAGCGACGAAGACAGCCTAAAGTAAAAAATATTTTTTTATATATGGAGTGATTTCATTTTACTTGCAAAATATATTTATTCATGCTATGATTTTGAGTTAGTACAGGGGCAATAGAAAAACGTAAGCAAAAGTGACAGGTTAATTGACAGTGACATTTGACTTAGTGTTGCAAGCTGCAGAGCTTAAAGGTGGCGCTGCAAACTATGCTTTATGAAAATGTCCCGGTTTAAAACAGTATTATATTTAATGGAAACCAGTCGTGTAAACTACACACTACTAAATGCCATATTAGGCAAAGATATTTAACTAAGTAAATAAGTGTATATAAAAGCTTAATTTGCAGCTAAATTAAATATTTAGCAATGATAAGCGAAAATTAAACAAAAACAGTTTCTTAAAAATTACATTCTGTATGGACTAATAAAGTTCGCTTCGCATTGCTAAAATTGTAGTATATATTCCGACCGCGAAGCAAAAATATTATTTACCAAAATAAAGCGGTTCAATTTATAGTTAATATACGTTATATTAAAAATACTCAGGATAATCTCTTAATAAGTGAAATCTCGTCACCCCCACGTGGGGCATGGGGCATGCATTTGTTTTATATTTTTCAACAGCCTCAATCGAAACACTACGTTTTCCGGGATTCAATACCAGAACCTCCACGGATGCTAGAGCTAGTCGGTGGTTGTTTTTGCTTCGCGACAGGGGAAAGTGGGAGTTAGTAAATAAAGTGAAGCATTACTTATGCGGTGCGGTGATCACATGTGCGGTGGGCGCGGCCCTCTCGGCGCCGCCTGTTGCTAAAACATATCGCCGCTAACTTAGTTCGCTACGAGATGGGTTGCTGCTAATACGAAGGCTTGTAGTGGAAAGCTTATGCTATTGAGAGTCGACGCCAAAACAGGGGGGAGGTAGTGACAACCCCAAAAGAAAGCAAACACTGAATTACCATTAAAAGGTACTAACTCCTGTAATTATCTCCATTAAGTTTATATTAAGAGCGCCACTCTACCCCCCTTTCGGTTGGCGTCGACCTTGGAAGAGACTAGATTTCTTTCCACGTTTCTTTATTACAATTAGTAGTGTATTGTGGGTAAGGTAGCCTATAACTTGACACATAACTATTAAACAAAGCATTATGAATAAACAATACGACGATTAAAGAGTAAACGTAGAAGGAAGTCTCCTAAATGAAAAGATTTCTAAATTATGAATAATATTCTTTATTAATAGACGCAGAATTGACCATTTCAAAGTAGTATTATTGTGGTAATGGTTTCATTCGATATACACTAGCGCCTCTATCGGAATCTAAAGGGAAACTTTCGGATGAAACCATAGCTTAATTGAGGCTGATAGAGCTAGAGTGGCCAAATAACAAAAAACATGATCTCCGATAAGGAGGAAAACAAAAATGGGTACTTAGGCGAAAATGAATTTGAACTCTTATTTGTGTAAGAATTGCGTTAAAAATTTTCGGGTCACTGTGCTCTTGTAGATTATGAAAATATAACTAGATAACTCTAGTCATAAAATTGCAGTTAGGCTGCTCTGCCTCTAACTCTAGCATTATTTATTTATATTAACACAATGTAAAATAATTTACCAAGGTCAATTTTGAGTCATTATTAATATTGCATTCATAATTATATTTCTTCATCGATCTATTTACAATTTTAGTGAGTAATAGCTAATTAAGGTTGGAAACTGGCAACCCCAAGGTAAATTAACCCTAATTGTTCAGAACTGAGCGCATGCTTGATAGATGTTTTAATGAAGTACTAGAAAATAAGAATTATACAGAGTTATCACAAGTACAACTCTGTGGGGATTGTCTGTATTACCACCACAAATAACTAATATCACAGATACCACAGATAACTATTATGGTTGAACAGATTAAAAATATTTTTGATGTACTGTTGTTTGTTTGATTTATTGAATTGTTTTGTTTATCAAACTTGTATAATAATTTAACCAGTTTTAGAAAAATTTATATATCTATAATTTTTAATCTTGTGATAACTATGTAATGGTGAAAGTTTATTTGAGCAATTTACAAGGCATAGTCATGAATTATGATGGTCAGTAATAATCACACATGTTAACATTGCTGTAGTTAATTTAAATAACAACAAAGTTAAAATGTTATAAAATAATATGATATAAATAATTCTATTTAAATTTTTATTTAATATAAAATCAACAGACAGCAATGTTGTATGATTGCGATTTGTTTATATGTCAAGGGTATAATACTTTTTTTATGCAATATTACTTTTATTGTAATAATAAATAAATGTCGGTGGGTATGTGTGATTGTAATATGATAATTTATATAATATTTTGTTGTTAATGTTGCAACATGTTGTGTGTTGTGTTACCTGTTGTAGAAGATGGCGTAACCCTGGATTGGTGGGCATGATGCCGCGTGGCATGATGCGTGGTGGATGTCCAGCTGCGCCGCGAAGCTGTTGCAGTTGTTGCAATTGGTGCTTTCGCTGTTGTTCCTGTTGAAGATAGATATGTTAAACGCATATAGATGTAAAATAAAACAGACAGCATCCAAAACTTCGAGCTGCAGTCAAAATAAATTTACTAATATACATTGTGCTTTAAACCGTTAAAATTGTTATATAATGTGATGTATGTTTTTACACATAACGTGCGGACAATTCTTAATAAAAAGAAAATAGTTATCTGTTTAGTCTTATCAATATCGGTTTAGCTGTTTCAAAGATGGTTTAGAATAAACAGGCTGCCAAAAAGTCATAAAAAAACAGCTTTCATGTTCAATTCACTAATATGTATGATAACAGAAACTTACCTCTAGCTGCTTGTAATGCTGTTCCTGCTGCTGAGCAGCGTGGAGGTGCGACATGATGTCCATCTGCGACTTGAACTGCGCCTCCTGTGTGTTGGAACAAACATCATTCCGATATGACTATCACGCCCTTTATCCGTACAGGGGAATTAGACGAAACTTGCTGCCATGTACGTTAACGAATTTGTTCCTTATGATGTGGGCATTAGGGTTGAAATTACCACTTGAAGCAAACGAAATACTCTAACTAGCATATTAATGGCTAACCATTCCTAACACTGTCCATTTTTCTTAAACATATTTATTCCTTTTTTAAGTGAGTAAACACATATTCTTTTCAGATCTGTATATTTTTATTTTTAACTTATGTATAATTATTTATTTATTATTATTTTTGTGTATATTAATTCGTTTTGCCCACTTTGCACGTCTTATTTTCTCTACTTTTTCTGCGTGGAAGAGATTGCTTGTTAGCGATAAGGCCGAACAGCTTGATAAAGTATAAGTAGCTTTGTAAAAGGTCTGCGAAAACTTATCCCTTCCATGTTTATTGTTCGAGATGCTGGTCAAAGCAGAGTCCAATAAATATATTGACACTCATAAAGTAGATAAGTTAGTCAAACGCTTTGCCAAAATCAATCTTTCAATTAATACCTGTTGATGCGCCGCTTCCAGAGTCTGTTGTAAATGTTGTATCTTTTCCAAGTTCTGTTGTCTCGCTGCTTCTAACCCGTCCAATTGGCTAACTGGCCTCGGCCCCTTGCCCCCGACTTGACCAACTTGACCGACTTGGCCAACTTGAGACACTTGCCCGCCCATGCCACCGCCGATCATCATACTTTGCTGTTTTGAGACATTCATTTTGGTCATCAAAAATGATAAAGGAAGACAAATTATATTTTCTGTTCTACCAGCACCAAAATTTGACAAAATCAATATTTCAAGAACTAGAATATATACAGTCTGTAGTTTACGCGAGTAGTACACATTTAATTAAAATAATTTATCGGTCTTAAACGTAATATAAAAGACAATAATTTCCAAGTAAGTTTATCTTATATATAGCGCGTTTTAAACCGTTATATTGTTTTATTTCAACTACAAATATATCTAGCAAAGATTTTATAATAATACTGTGAAGTTACACTGTTTAAAATATTGTCCATGATGTCCAATCATACTAAGAGATATTAAAATGAACTGGCTTTACCTGCGCGTGCTGTGGATGCTGCGGGGCCATTCCTGGATTCATACCCATTCCTCCTGACATACCAGAGCTGCCCATGCCACCACCTGGCGACGTAATTAGTAAAGGAATGCAAATAAAGTGTAAAGTGCACTTTATTTGCATTTTAGCAAAAAAATGGTCCTTCGAGCCAGATTATTTGAAAGCTTACTGTGAATGAAATATTTAATAAAATTGTTTTTAAACTACAATTTAAATACATTAATAAATAGTTATTAAATTTGAAATACGGAACAAAATAATAAATAATAACTTGGTATTTGGCATTAACTAGGTCACACATAAAACATGATGAGTTTTAAATTTACTCGGCATAGTTGAGGGCGGCATGTTTGGCGGCAAACCCGGGGCGCCACTACTCGGCGCTGGTAACTGCTTGCTCATCTTTTGTTGTTGTATCACCTATAAATGTATTATACGTATTTTAATTTAAATAGAGACTTTTTCATTACTCTGTAGCAACCTAGAAATGAAAATATAAACAAATTACTATATTTCCTAAGAATATAAGATTTATAAACAAATTTATTACTTATTTTATTGATTTTATTTTATTTAAAATGTTAATTACTTACCTATTGTTAGAATTTGGATTCTCATTGACAAACCTACAAGTTTAGTTAAAATGTGTTTTCGGCCCAATTTTTTCTGACTCAAACACCTTTTTGGAAAATGGCTAAATGAATTGCCAATTTACCTTCTTAAGCCTATCCACGAACGTCGCTTGATTGTTAGGAATGAAGCCCAGATACGCTTTCTTGTCGGGCGTGTAAAGCAATATTAACACCTTGATGTCACATTGTGGGGGGGACGGCATCGGCGAGAAATGCACACAGCCAGCCTAAACAGAAGAATTTTAAATAGATTAAGAAATAATTTATTAGAAGTATTCCAATAAGTGTTTTATAGTTGTATTTACCAACTGTCTCTAAGGAGAATTCTCACTAAAGGTTACAAATAGACTCGAAAAACTATGTTAAATAAATTATGTATTTAAAAACCGTCCTGTGATAAGAAAAGGTTTTTACACGGTCAGTTTTAGTCTGAAACACAACAATATGAAAGCATTTTCCTATAATATGATATTGTTAAAACGGGAATGGATATATAAGAAGTGTCATTAAAGTTAAGAGACACTCTATAGATTTATTGTATATTAGCTGCGCTAGCGACTTCGTCTGCGCATCATCTTTATAAATTATAGCTGTACGACGTAAGTCGCGTCCCGCCGTTCTTGCAAGGTAATCTTAAAAGATAACGTCGCGGTCACTTTTTAGATAATTTAAAAAGGAATCATTTATACATATTTTTTGGGTAACGGACCTCTCAAAGATGAATATTTTTTCTCGTTTGTTCCACATTTCCCACTGTTCCACGCTCGTATTGCTTGCTAAAACCTTTTTCGATAAAGGCTCTAACCAACACAAAAATAATGCACATTTTCAATTTGAGTCAGTAGTTCCTGAAATTAGCATGTTCAAACAAACAAACTCTTCAGCTTTGTAATATTAGTATAGATTTTTATAATAAGGTCAATTAAAGTTACTTACAAATCCGTTAACCATGACCTTGGTTAACGCCTCCAGAGCCTCATTCTGTTGCAAGTGGAACAGCACCGACTTACTGTCTTTCAAGTACTGCCCACCAATGTTGCTGATGAGCTGTTTTGGCATTAGCTGCATCAGCAGTTTGTTGGGCCAAGTGTCCACTTTCAGCTCTGGTTCTATGTCTTTCGAGTTTGCTGACACCTGTATTGACATAATGATTTCCAGAATACAGATTTAGCTGACCATTATACTCATACCAAGATTTCTTATTAATTTAATTCTCTTGGTTGCTAATTTCTTTGAATAATTTATGTTATTACATTAAGATAATGGTGTGTCTGTGTACAATTTGCGTTTATTCTGTAAGGATGTGTGACTTGTTCTTAATAAATAAATACATATATAAACATTTTAAGAGTACTGCTGTGTTTCTATTCTCAGTATACATTAAAATAACAAAGGCAACAAACGTCCGCTTTACTGGTTAAAATAAATGAAGCACTTCTGATCATCCACATACCTGACATGGCAAATGCTTCGTGACCTTCTGTTGATCACCAGGAGCTTTGGCCTTCTCCATCCACTCGAGGACCCCACTCCAAATAAATGTGCGTTGCATTTGACCAACATTGCCCACATTGCCCACGTTGCCAACCCCGCTGACACCAGCAACGCCAGACACGCCGGGAACATTGCCAACGCTCGCTGACGTCGGCACACCGCTCACTCCAGGATTCGATGGGCCCGGTTGAATCATACGCTGTATATTTTGTAACAAAAAATATATACTATGAGATGAAAAACAATACAATAATTTAAGATTGTGATTTAGTTGAACTACATTTAAATATAGTATTTAAAGTTTAAATATCATCTGTTGGGGAAGGCCGGATGATCCATCCGCACTGTCTGCTGACTATTGCCAAGTTTAAGTTAAAAGACATTCAATTCTAAAATAAGATTCAAGATCGTACTTGAGAACATTATACAGATAAATATTGTTTTTATAAATCTACCGCAAAGTTTGAGTTGGAGAAATGAAGACAAAGGATTATGCATTACGCTGTGTTTTTAATGCAGTACACGTCCACCACTGTGTATTATACGTTTAAAAATAAAACCACTTAAATTGTGAATAATATTGGTAATAAACCTCATCGCTACACCAAGCCATAACTGTTACCATAAGCGTCAAAGTTTTAAATGAATAATAACAAGAATGTATGTTTGTACTTTTACTTAAAAAGTATTTAAAATTTGATTAGTAGTTTAAATTGCAGGTTAGGTTAGGTTATAATACACATAACCACTCGCACTGTTTATGGTAAATAAGTAGCCTAAGTCACTTCCAACCTGTTTTATGAGGCCTTTGTCAAAAATAATCTGTCCTATTTGCAAGGACAGGCAATCATACTTACATAATATAAGCATTTATCAATTAACTAACCTGAGATGGCGGTGGTGGATAAGATGGTTGAGCCAACTGCGTCAACAGTGCAGAGTTATTTGTGTACAGGGTCTGTCGTGGTGGATTTAGCCAATTGGGCCGCACCGTGGGTACTGCAGTGCGTGGGAACTGAGCTGTTGGTACTCTGGGCCCAGGTACTGTACCCCGACCTTGACTGTAATATTAACATGAGTATGAATTACATCATTACAATTTAAAAAAAAAGAACGAACATTTATTTAAAAGACAGTTATGTAAAAGAAATTTTGAACATTTTTCTTAACCTTTGGGGTTCCAACCTTAAAGAAATACAGTTGAAGAACAAACATGAAGTTGAAAGTGGAGAGAGAATGCGTCTGGCTGAAATCTCAAACAGATGAAATAAATTCTTTCAGAATAAATATAATATCATTTATTGAAAAATACTAATAAATAACTGCCTGGTCTAGTATACTAAATTTCTGATTAAGAGATTTTTTTAGTATTAGCCTAATATTTGGAAGTAGAATATTTAACAATTACTTTGGCTTCGAAAAGCAGTTATCATGATCAAATTAGGAGCAGTGGTTTATAAGCTCAATCAGCATCTGATCAGCGTGGTGGCCCCTTACGCCCTATTAAGAGGGGAAACTGCTTTTCGGGTTGAAGCAATTTAATAAATAATACTATACTTAGCACATACCTGTAAACATCTGTCTGTATGTCGGGTACGGGCGGAGGTGCGGGGCTTGGGGGACGCTCTTTCAAACTGTAACCACGGAGTAATACCAAGTGACGTGGGTCCTGAAAATTTTATGGAAGATTATTTTCATTTGCACCAAAATATGTTTCTCCCAAAACTTATGCAGTAAAAGATTAATATAAAAACTGAAACAAAACATTAATAACTGTTTTTTTTATTTATTTAATTAAGCATGGTACAGTTACTAATATATATTTACATAAAAAGTACATTGTTAATTATATTATAAGATTTAATATAGATATTTTTGGTTTTAAGAACAATCTCAGGATTGTCGATAGATTTGAAAGTTGTGCAATTTTGTGTTGGTTGGAGCAATAATAGAGGAAGGCTTTAGGCTAGAAAACATCATGCTGCAACCAATACCAGTTAAGACACAGTAAGAAATGTGGAAAAAACATGGAAAATTAATTATCTTTGTGGGTTTCCGTTGCAAGTGCTGCAAAGACGGATAAATATACCCAAAAACAGGTTTGAAATAATTATTCCTCTTTAAATAATCTAAAAAATATTCTCAACAGAATATATTATGTTAGTAAATCTTTTAAGATAAACTTCAAAGATTTACTTAGCTCAAAATAGTAACTTTGTAAGTACATATGGCAAAACAATGTTTGCCAGGTCAGCTAGTCTTAAATAGGTTGGTTACGGTGCTTAATATTGCTACCTTGGCATAGTTTCTCTGCTGTGCTGCATGAAGTTCTCCACCGGCGTGTTCATACAGTGGGAGTAGCGATGATATTCGCCTAGCTGCAGCAATTGACAGTTGCGCACCACGCTCACCTATTAACCTTGCTGCTTGTTCTACTGTAGCTGGTGCACCTGGAATAAGATTTATGAGAGAAATATTCTTTCTTCATGAGTATTATTCTATTTTATGCTAAGAGTTTACAAACCTGGTGGGACTAAACCTCCAGCATATGTGGAGTATGGGGGCGAACAGCACAGAAGGATAACGTGCCGAGGTATATCTGTACGTCCCAGTTCTTCTAAGCATGATAAGGCTGTTGCTAGAGCTTCTGTTACACATGCTCTGCTCTCAGCGTGACCGCCTATGTATCTGTAGTATAATTGTTATTAACACAAATATATAATAGACACATTAAGGCAGTATTCCAGATATTTAGATTTACATAGAAAACTAAAAATACCATAAACTTGTTGAGGCAGATTAAAAAAAACAAAGATATGTGTGATGAATGTCTAGAGGAAATCAGTCAAAGTAGGGTTTGATATTACGCTGTAGAAACAAACTTATATGAGAAGAATTTAATCTTTTTCCAAAAAGAATTAATTACTTACTGAATTTTATCAACAGTGTCAACTACAGCTTTAGGACATGTGAAGGGGCCATATGTTGAAACAGGCAAGGATGGATAGCAATCAGCAGATTGATAAGCAACAACTCCATACATAGAACCACTGCCGACACCATCTTCAATTGCTCCACCGTGGAAATACCTAAAATGTAGAAAGATTTTTTCAGTCTTTGTTTTGATTGGGGTCATGGCCTTCTCTTGGCATGGACATCGGGCAGATACAATACAGTACGTATTTATAATCAAAAGAACATAAAATATAACAAACTTTTAAATATTTTATTAAAATGCCTGATAAGCTTTTATGCATCTAGAATCATATCATAGTATACTTACTCTAAAGTAGGAATGATATAGTTCGTTTTTAATTCACTAATATAAGCACTATTTGCTGAAGTAGCTTCAATAACAAATATAACTTCAGCGGTAGTAGGAGATTCTGGCGCATTAACAACCATTTTTAAGAAAATATTATATTATCTATTAAAAGTATTTCATCCGTATTGGAATTATTAAAAAAGAATGTCCATAAAATGGAACTACATGTTTTCATAGCAATATATGTATTTATATATAATACAATTCGTTTCTCTCTTGGAAATATGGTAAATTGTCAATATTCAATAATAAAAGCTTGAATATCCGCAGGATATGCCTATCGAATAACCGTAGCGACTAGTTATAATCTGTAGATAATAATTTTTAAACTTTGTAGTCTGTTCTGTTGTTTTTTTTCCTTTTCGACATTCACTATTTTCTTGTTTGCTTTTTGATGTTATTGGATTTTCCGTTGTAGTTGTCGAAACAATTGAATTATTTATTTGTTATCGTCGAATTCACCATTATAATTAAAATAATCAGAAACCATGGGAGTTGACGTTGAGACTATTTCGCCTGGAAACGGTAAGTATATTAGCTCGTCTCAGATATTTTTAACCGGCTTATTTTCTAATATTGGTTTAATAACAGGTAATACCTATCCAAAACCTGGTCAAACAGTGGTTGTCCACTATACTGGAACATTAGAGAATGGAAAGAAATTTGATTCTTCCAGAGATCGGGGGCAACCTTTCAAATTTACACTAGGCAAAGGGGATGTTATTAAAGGCTGGGATCAAGGAATACCCAAGGTATGAGTTATTTAGATAAAATTTATTATCTTCTGTTAGAAGACTCTAAATTACTTATTTAATTACATTTTATTCAAGATGCAAGTATATTTTGTTGTTATTTATTAATTTATTTTGCAAGTAATTTGTTTTATATTTCAGATGTGTGTGGGGGAAAGAGCTAGATTAACATGTTCACCTGACTTTGCATATGGATCACGAGGACATCCTGGAGTAATTCCACCAAATGCAACTTTAATATTTGATGTAGAACTTCTTAAAGTTGTATAACTTGCCAGTGAAAATGTTATGTTTATTTTATTTAACAAGTTTATTAATTTAATGTTATTATTTAGCAGTATTCTTGTTATGTGGATTGTATATGGTAGATTCTATTAATGTTTTCTGTGGTAAAATTTGAGAAAGATACAAAATATTCATTCTTGTCCTAAAAATAATATTTCTTATCAACTATACAATAGATTTTTGCATTGCATTTAATAATACTAATTTTTTCTTTTAAGGGGGGGGGGGGGTTAACATAACATGCTTTGTACTTTACTATTTATTAAAAATAAAGAAAAAGCCTGCTGTTTCCATTTCCCCCTTATATATTTTTATTTTTAATTCAACAAGAGCTATAAATAAGTTTATTATTATTTAGTTTAAATATTTAATCATAAAAATGTGTTACTTTACACCTGGTGTGTAATTCATTAAAGGCACAACACTATTTTTCGTAAATGGTGTACGGCATAAAGGACAACTTTCCAAAGCACCATAACAGCATTGCATGCAGAAATAGTGCCCACATTGAAGTACACAAGGCTGTAAAATCTCCTCTAAACATGCTACACATGATTTATTGCTCTCCACTTCATTGGGAAAGTCAGCCATTTGATCAAGGTGTTTCTTGGCCTGGTAGAATCCCTGTCCGCAGCTTATCACTGCATGCAGTAATGTAACCAGGCCCAAAAGCCTCAAATGAGCATAATATGCTGCGGCTGCAGGTCTGACATGAACATAATTTATATTTGTCACAGTTTTACTAATCTGAATGGGACCACCATTAATATAAGACAGTGCTCTATGTATACTTTCAAGTTGCGGTAGGATACTGCCTAGTGTCTTTAATATCACTAAAAATAAGTTTTGTGCAGCTGGTTTCAATGTCGTATTAAGTTCTATTTGTTTTTCGGCACTTCGGAGTAAACTCCGCGTAAGGTTCTCGCCGAAAGCCGATAAAAGTATGCTCATAAGTCGACTGCAAAATGTTGGCAGCTTGTGATAGGAATCATCGACTTGAACAATTCCAGAGTATTCTTCCCCAAGAGTTTGGAGATCACGTAGCGTTGTAAATGTTTTATAAACAACAGATGATGTTGGAATCGCTTTAGAAGCATGATGAGAAGGGAGTAATTTAGCGAGGGATCCAGCTAGCTTCTTTTCATAGAGATCGTCCTTTTGCCACGCGCGGAGGATTTCAGCTGGCTGTGCAGTAGGCAAAGCCATATTTTTAGTGTTTAATACGAAAATAAGGAAAACAAAAATATAACTTTTCTTAAATGTTAATAACAATTACTTCTTCCATTTATCATTATCAGTACCAAATCCACAGGAAGATAAGCTATATGTACATTGACAATAAAATAAGAAATGCTTTAAAATGATCTTGAATATAAGCCTTTTTACGTAAAGCCTATGGAAGTGACAAGTTGACAACCGACAGGCAATGTCTTGACAGTTTAAATTTTTTTATTTTTTGTGATATATTATTTTCATTCATTAGTTGTCATCTGGCAAAGTACACATTATTACTTGCTCTGTAGCAATTATCTGGTAAACTAGAAGCTGTCAAAACACTTACTTTTTGGCTTTTGCTGATACTTTCAAACAGAAAAGCGAAGTGTTATTGTTTATTTTGATTCTTAGTAAGATTTTCATATGCTTAATATTTAAATTGTATAAATGAAAAATGGTTTCGAGTGAGGAAGAGTCAGATGTTAAAGTCGGGGACACAGTGGATTGGGACGTCGACATGGAAATTCAATTATTTTACGCTATGGCAAATCACAAGCCGGTGGGAATTAATAGATACTTTCAAATGGCGTGTATATGGGAGAAACTTTCTAACTCTATTACAAAGGAAATATCGACTAAGGATATATGGAAGCACCTAGAGTCATTGTACGACATGTCTATGTTAGACGAAACGGAACCAATACCATTTCCGAATCATGAAGTTCCTTTCAGCTTGCCAGAAAATGAATTTGGTGCATTATTAAAGCAGAAATGCAAAGATGTTATTTTGGGTGAAGATAGTGAAGGTAAGGGATTTTTTGTAGTGTCTTCAATATTGTAACAACAAAGGATAAATAAATAAACCAATATGAAAGCAACTCATCTTTTACATGTACTTATATAAAACAAATTTTTGTTAGTTTCCAAAAAAAAAGTCGTCTGTAGCTGTTTAGTGAAGCAGTACCTCGTTATTTGTTTATTTGTTAGAATTGTTTTTATAATTTTATTGGTTTCCTTAATAATTGTTTTACATTTCAGATGGGAGAAGCCCTTCGCCCAAACCAGCCCCTAGGAGCAATTCTCGGGGAACTGCATCCCGAGATAGTACAGCTTCTAAAGGTTTGTTTTATAAACACAGTACATATAAATATTAGAGGATTTAATGTTAAATTTGAATCACAATTAATTACTTGTTACTTCTAGGTCGTAAAGACAGTATTAGTGCTCTGGCCACTAAAACAAGGAAAGAAAGTGGAAGTTCACATGCCTCAACGGACACACCTAGTATTAAGTCGGAAAAAGATTATGGTGAGTCTTTTAATGCTTAGTATATGGTTATAAGAATTACAACTTTATGTAGTAGATCTACTCTAGAATAGTGGAGAGTTTCTGATTGAAACTAATTAATCTAACAAAAAAAAATCCTACAATTTAATTTTGCAAAATTTATAGATTGGGTAAATTAATGGTAAATTTCAGATAGGAGAAGAGATTCTCGGGATTCCAATGCTTCAGGACCTAGAGACAGCTCAACAAGTAGAAAGTCATTGCAGAAGAGTAGAGTCAGTTCTATAGCAGGTACATTTACAATGGTCACACTTTCTAAGTTACAAGGATTTGCTTAGAAAACAGAAAGTAAAACCATTTATGTAACCTATGGCCTTGCCCTTAGGTGACATCTAAATCTGATCTGTATTGTCTTGTATTGCCGTTTACGAAAATATTTATTAAACCTTTTAAACATTAATGTTAGTGGTTAAATACGTGAAATTTATTTTTACTACCTCTCGTTACTAGAAAAAACGTTTTTTTTTAAATATTTAAAGTTTGTCTCTGATATAACTCTATGATTATGATTATATTTTGTTTAAGATGAAGAAAGCAGTACCCGCCGTGGTAGACGACGACCAAACACCTCAACACCGCCATCAAGCACACCAGCCAAACGGCGCCGCCTGTGACATCCACACAGGCACTCTTACCATCACTTCTTCTGACACTCACACAAACGCAGGCAGGCTTGCTCCTGCGCACTGCGGAAATCTTCAGCTGTCAGAATATTCTTCTCCTAGGCGGTTGCTACTGGCAAATATTTAATTATGTGTTATAAAAGTTAAAATACTTTATGAGTATGTAATAATAAAATATTGATACATATTTATTTTTTTCTTGCATGCGAACTGCATTAGTTCTTACTTGTGTATTGATTAATGCAGTTCTTAGGTATTTGATCATTGATGTCGTCAATAAAGAATATCACTAAAATTATTATATCCCTATACGCTTACAACAAAGTTTGATGAATTTTTATCCTATGGTACAGGCGCCATTATATATTTTGACAGATCAAAAGATATCCCAACAATTGACAAATGTTATATTAAATGTCACATGTTAGTGTATTTTTGAAATGGTAGCTGTATATAAGCATTGAAAAGTACAGATTGGAAATAAATTAATTGAAATATGTTTTAGAATATTCAACATTTCCAATCAAACGACATAAAATAGCGTTTGATAATGGCAAATCATTACGAGGTACCCAGTTGGTGAGTAACTTATCAATAATTCATAATTGTATATTTGCCGACATATACATACCATACAACCTATGATTTATGAAAACAAATAAGCCGTTATCGTTTTAATTATAAATTACGTTTTTTGTATTATAAATGTTATGGGACCAAAAACAAGAATACCTTAATCTAATCACAAATACGACGATTTCAGGGCTGGGAAGCCTCCAACAGGACTTCATTTAGATGTATTGAAAGGTGATAAACTGATCCAGAAGCTCATGATAGATGAAAAGAAATGCTACCTCTTTGGTAGGAATCCTCAAATGAATGACTTTTGCATAGACCATGCAAGTTGTTCCAGAGTCCATGCAGCATTTGTATACCATAAACATCTGAACAGAGCCTTCTTGGTTGATCTGGGAAGTAGTAAGTATGATTTCAATTCCATATATGTATTCAAAATTAAAGAAGCATTGCCATTTGGCCTGTGTTAGTTTCACTGCTTAATTTGTTATATAGGCAAGACATTGATTACCCATCTTTGCATTCCCTGAAACCTTTAACAATGTTAATATGGAAATATCTATACGTTTCTCTTATTCCATATATTATACATGAGAGATTTTTGTCTGCGGTTTTAGGTTATGCTTCCTAGGGGTGTATGTGATGGCATGCAGAATGATTATTGCTCCGACATGTTATTTGAATTTATGTAAATTACCCCAAATGGGTGTAAAAGAAGAATTAAAATTAGTGTTGTAATGGAAATCAAACTGGATTTGAAGGGAAGCTTACATATAATATGAGAGTAGATACATTTTTATTGTATTATATTTGCAGCCCATGGAACATATATTGGCAAATTACGTTTGGAAGCCAACAAGCCTACTCAGCTGCCTATTGACTCTAATTTTCACTTTGGTGCATCCACAAGAAATTATATCATAAGGTACAGTAAAAGAATATAATAATAAACCATTTATTTACAACTTTAATACTTATGTATTGGTTCAATTACCTATGCTTTGCATCTTCAAAACATGTTTTTACGTTTGAATTTATATAAATTTCAAATGAGAACTTATTATCCATAATTAAATGGATTTAGCATAATTCTAAAGAATTTGGTTATATTATCTCATTTTAGAGAACGACCAACAGGCAATTCTAGAGGAATAATGGAGGAGTTACCCAACACAGAAACTGAGGGTGCACTTTTAGGGCTTCCCGAGACACAGACTGAATTAGATGTAAGTTTATTGTTCAAAAGATGGAACATACTTCATTGAAATTACTTATCACAATAAGAAAAATACAATGTTTTTATTTGTAATTTGAATCTTACCAAAATTAAATTTCCAGAACCTTACAGAATTCAACACAGCTCACAACAGAAGGATTTCTATGTTGGGTATACCGACTAATGATGATGCAGATGTTATTAAGGTATAAAACTAAATAGAGTACAGTAATAATCTAAACTTTACGCGAGTAGTGAGTGCATTTTAAGAACTCTGAAAGCCATCCAAAGTATCAGGTTGTAGTAAAAAATTAGTTATTTTATATTATTTCGCATTATAAACTATTACATTTTTTTTATTTAAATGCGTAATAGTTTTATAATCTTCCATCGTTTCCCTCTTCCCATGTGACATGACATGAGGACGCAATCATTATAAAATGTGGTAAGGCAAAGTATATTGGACAGAGAATATCAAAATTTATAACCAAGTATCTGTGTAAAATGTCCAGTCTATGTAATTTTTTTGAGCTAAATATCACTTTATGTCTTAATTTCAGCCTCCAACAGGTACCAAAAGGTCTGCATCCATGCCTGGTGGTGTCCCCAAGAAGCAGAAGCGCAATGTCTCTTTCAATGAGGAAGTTGACATCATTAATCCAGAAGATATCGATCCATCTGTTGGAAGATTCCGTAATCTGGTCCGGTCTACCATAGTGCCTAATTCGAGTGTTTCCTCTAAGAGGATTAAACTTCAGAATCCTGATGAAAGTAAGCTATTTGCTTTGTCTACAGTCAGAACACATAACAGGCTACTTTCCCACCTCACACAGACAGAAAATCAGAGAGCAGTAGATGCCCACTGTCCATTTTTTTATTAATGATAGAGGAAGATAGACAGGCATAGGGGTTGACTTGATGGTAGGTGATATACCCCAGTCCATAAGACTAAACAGGATGCGTTGTCGGCCTATTTTGGTTTTAGATATTCGGTAATCCACAAACTGAAACAGAAACTTCAAGGCTTTTTTAATCTGTGGTAAGGTGGTTGATCGTGGCCCGGACGGAATTTGAAATATTCCTACCACCCATTTTATATATAGATATCCCTAAAAATTATCAATTGTTTAGAAAAATGTTGGACCCAATGGGGACCCCTACGACCCGAATATTATTAGCCGTACGTTGCTATCATTACACCGCCCGTCATTTGTGGTCCCTATTATAACTATAGTGGATAGGAATTTTAAAATGAGTAAACGCTGTCTATAATTTACACGAGTAGTACCCATTTAAATAAAACACTTTAACGGTTTAAAACGCAATATATTAGTTAAACTTATTTGACAATGATTTTTAACTTCGGCCCCTTTGGATGCTTGCAGCCGAGACGTGCTTGCATGCCGTGAACCACGTCACGGCGCTGCAAACCATCCGAAACGTATGTTTAACTAATATATCGCGTTTTAAACCGTTAAAGTGTTTTATTTAAAGAGTAAACGCTTTTTAAACTAGTTCTCGTGATAGATAGTAGCTACTTTCATGAACCCCTGCAAACGCTTTATTCCAGGTCATGTTCATCATTCTCTTCGACTGCAGGAGATAACCCGAAGTACCAACTTGTATTCAGATTTACCTGCGCCGACGTCTTCACCATTCAGTCTCATTGGAGCCAGGTAAAAATTAAATAATATAAAGAATTGTGTGTTTGATTCCTACTGGGGTCAATAATATTGTTTGTCTTTCATAGTATAGTAAAAGTTTCTTCGTCCAGATCATATTGCACAGATCATTTAGTGATTTTCCAGAATTTTCCAGAAACTGGTTAAATTCAAGTAAATAGGTCGACATCACATCCTGTTATGATTATTTGTTACGATGCGTTTTCAGATTGGGTATATCGCTACCAAACCCAGCACCAGATGTGGAGTTAGAAGGACCAGAACCTCATCTCAATATACACCCGCCTCTACCGAACTCTGGTACTGTTTATTTCTATTTTAAATTGGAAGAAGATTGTCTTTCTTCACTTATATTCATTTATAAGAATGCCATGGCTTGTAAGATTAGAGTTTCAACAGACTGTGTTTGAAATATTTACATTATTATTATTATCACACTATTAACAATTCAAGTATTACAAAAATCTTGTACAGAATTGTAACGGTACTAAATTCTACCTAAATATAGGCTTTCTATAAACAGCTATAATATTAATAAAAGGTTCATAGGATATAAGAATTATTTTGGCTAATTTTATATATTATAACAGAAGCCAAAGTTCTCTAACTAAACAAGGCCCATGGTTGCTGAGAAGCATCCAAAACGTGAGGCTACATTTCAAAGTCCACGTTTTAAATCGTTAAATCCAATTCCTTAAATGAGATCTGCATTTTTAGCCCCGGAAGAAGGCGGTGCCCCCAACGAGCCGAAAAGGAAGAAGTACGCAAAGGAGGCGTGGCCGGGACGAAAACCCGGGCTCATATCAGCCGTGTGAGGGAAAATTGGTAAAAGGCTTTTCATCTGCAAGTTGTAGCGTTCGTTACATTGGAATATGAAAACGATCTGCACGGGAAGTTGGATGGTTTTTGCGAGTATAAAATTTAAGAGTTATGCCGCCATATTGTTTATCAATTTAATGTCATCAAAATTTTTCGGGGATTATTTTTTTTAATTTCATTTAAATTAAGCAGGAAGAGATATTCAAAGTAGAAAAACGATGTTATTTTGGATGTATTATGAATTGATTTTTTTATGCATTTTAAAAATCAATGACATTAAGAAAATCGTATACTGTCTTTGCTTAGTACTTAGTCTAAGTCAAGATATCTTGGATTACGAATGTGCTATTATTTGGGAGTGAGGCGACTGGAATTATGCTAGACGTTCTTATTTCCAATATCAATGACGGCTACATGATGCAGAATTTTATCTTAAATAGCACAGCCCTTTTGACACACAAACGAGATAGATAGAACCACTTAAAAAGCATCTTTTGATAAGTGCTCACAAAATATTTTTAAGTATTGTCTGTAGTTAATGCGAGTGGAAATACTTGTAACGGTTTAAAACGTGAAATATATTAGTTGATTGATTTGTCACCCGCATATGTGCATTTTAAACGTCGGGTCGTAGCTAAAATAAAATAACCATACAATATCTCGTTTTGAACCGTTAAGTTTTATGTAGAATTATGATGTGCACTCGTTTTAAATTAAGAAAGGACAAATATGCATTAGGATCTTAAGAAATAGTGTGTAAGTGCTGTGAATACTTTTGTAAAATAAATGTTACATTTTAATAATTTGGTTTTTAATTTACTTGACCGTGAAACTCCGTTTCCATCGTAAAGTCATAGTGCGAAAGTAACTATTTTTGTCTGTCTGCTTTCACTGATACGGTTTTATTTAAAGGCAATTAGTTGATCACACTTTGTGCCCTGCCCGACCGAAACAATTTAATGTCCAAAAAGTTTCGAACCGAGGACATTTTTTGAAAGCCTACCGTGGTAAGGCTAAACAAGGCAACTTCTTTTAACCATTTAGCTAGCAGGAGGCGGTGTATTAATGTTAGTGTGATTTAAGTACCTGTATGTGGGGTCGGAGAGGCGTACCGTCAAGTATCTGTTTTTATGTCAGAGGAGGGCAGTCAAGAATCGGGGGCACTTGATAGACATTTTTTATAACGTAAATCAATATTTAAATGATAACAGTGCTTGGGGCTCGGGAATCCGCTATAACAAGGAAGAACATGTACATATTAAATGCGTAAGGAACTTGTAATAAAGTCTTGGCGATAAAAAGAGTGGCGGCGAGTTTCTTGCCAATTCTTGTTCGTTCTAGGCCCTTAATTTGGGAACTGGCGATAAATGTAAATTTAGAGCTGTTTTGACATTTAATCAATGTTTCCTTTTTTTAATTTACTTTACGATTAAATTAGGACTAAGAGGGAGGTATAGCTGTAAAAACGTAGACTTAGTTCAAATCCACCGGACAAGCCGAAAGCGTTCTGCCAAAGGTCAAACGCCTGTAAAAATAGTCACCAATACGATACCACAGTACAAGTCATTCAGCACCATGCCATAAATTGCAGAATCGTACTCCTTCTGGTTTGTCGAGTGTGTTCTGTGCCAAAAGTAATGATATCGATGATGTAAGTTATCAAAAAAAGATATTTTTAATCTCGAAACGCGGGAAATACTCGAATATTCCATAGATACAAATGTCGTAAACAAATATCTACCAATCTTTTTCCCAACAGGCTGATAAATATTTGCACAATATAGAGCGCGGTAATGCGAGCGTAACACAAGATTGTTTTTTTCTACAAAAGCAGATAAATAGACCGATCTAATCTATCAATGCAAAATTGCATTAAATATTGTCTGTACTTACGCGAGTAGTAGACATTGAAATAAAACACTTTTTGTAACGGTTTAAAAATGCAAAGCTGAATCCGTAACGTCTGGCCGTAGTTAAAATAATTTACAAACAAGCTTAAATATATATCGCATTTTAAATCGTTAAAGGTTTCTAATTCGTCTCAGTAATATTTTTTGAAGTCTAGAAACTACGTTATTATGCATGTAATTGATAGAGATGGGCCGAGTACTCCGTTGTACTCGGCAGGTTTTTTGGATTACTCAGCCGAATAACTCGGTTATATTTTGTTATTTGATAACGAGTATATTTTGTTTAAGAAAAGCAATATATAACGGTAGATATAATTAATTTCGGAGGCCAAGGGTCACTTTGGTCTGGCTGCGCCAGCGAAGTAAGTAAGTAATACAATATAATTAAAACAACAACAGTTTAATCCAAAAGTGTTATTAGTAATTTAGGAAATCTTTTAAAATCTCAATTAATAAAATTAAAATTATGCTAATGAATGACTAGTACTTATTTGTGTGTATGAGCCAAAATTACGAGAACAGTTATAAAAATAACTAATATTTAAAATTTAAGAGCTGAGTAAAACTCGGTACCGTTAGTCGTTACTCGGCGCATCTTTCCAGTAAATGACATAATAAATATTGATACTTTCTAACATTAATCAAGAGCGACTGAAACGCTAACGAATGAAATTTCTCCAACGTCTCATTCATTGTACTAGAAATGGAATGTACATTGCGCAGGAGTTGCGTTGCAAAAATTTAATGAATACGTGTAGGGCACAGTGTTCATTTTTTTACGACAGAGAAATACAAACAAGCATTGAGTTTACTTGATAGTAGGTGAAGTACCCCCGTTTAAATATTCGAAAATCCAAATGCTTGAACCGAAACGCGAACTTCGCGGCTTTTTCAACTGTGTGTGAAAAGTTTTGGTTTAAAATGATTTGAAATGTGTTAGACCGTCGAAACAATGACCCGTTGATTATAAGCCATACATTGCCATGATTAGACCAACGAGCCCTCCAAGTTCCATGGTTTCTAACGGTGTCTAAATTTCAATCTACATTTTAAGAATATGCCCACTCTATACTTTATTATCATTTATATGTAGAATGAAATTGATGCAATCTTATCGTTTTATCTACCTCACTGGGTGTCGTTAGTTTGCACTGATAATGTTTCTTATACAATAATACTATAAACATTCAGCGCATTTGCTTTGAAATATAAAAAAAATACTATTCTAAGACACAGTTCAGGATACAATCGGTAGGGACCCGTAAAAAACAATTAAAAAATATACAGATACCTTCTGTGAGGCGCCGTACACGTTTAACATAAAGGTACCGATCAGTTTTTGTACACAAATAGATTTGACTTCTGTGCCCTGCCCGACCGGAACTGTTGATTGTTTAATCGTTGACCTACGGAGGCTGTCAAATAAAAATCTAGTATATATCTGTGAAATTTTAAACATAAAAGTAAGAATTTATTTGACAGTCTATGGCGCTATGTATGTCCGTAATTACCTTTCCCCCTACAACAATAAATATCTTAACGTTTTATGACGTTTTAATCTGTAAGTATGTTATTTTAACAGAAAGCTATGCGCATTAACTATTAACCCCCATAGATTATAATTAAACAGCAAAACAAACAGATGTACGAAGTGTCTATATTGCCATATAATATTATTAGTCTTAAGATAATCTTTGCGATATGTTTAACTTACTGAAATATATGCTGTGGTATTGATATATATGTAAATAGAGTCAGTTGTAAGTATGTGGCCGCGGGGGTTAATCGTGTTTTGGTATGTGAGAAATATACATATTTTTTTCATGTTTAATTTTATTAAAATTTATTATATTAATAGAATTCGAATATATTTGGTTAGGAATGTATGGCTAAATACTGTCTGTAGTTTACGCTAATAGTACACATTACACTTTAACGGTTTAAAACTTCGTCTCCCCATGACCACGGCTATTGCAAAGCATCCGAAATGTCGGGCCGTAGTTAAAAATAATTTTTAATCAAGTTTAACTAAAATATATCGCGTTTTAAACCGTTAAAGTGTTTTATTTAAATGTACAGCTAGTAATCAACGGGTCACGAGTTCGATTCCCACCGGGTCCAACACTATTCTAATCAGTTTATAATTTTTTTGAAACATGTTCGACTTGTGGTACCAATGTCGAAATTCCGTCCGGGTCACGAACCACTGTCCACAGATGAAAAAGAAATTTAATCGTGTTGCAGTTTGATCCGATTCAGGGGGATTCAGTCTATACAACATCAAAATAGGTAGAGAGCGCATCTTGTTTAGATGTTATGTGGCTGGGGTATTATTGGGGTACATAGTAGATAAGACTTCTGTGCCCTGCCCGACCGAGAAAATTTATTGTTTCCCTGGAATTCAAACACAGGAGTCTTTGCGCTTCTAGCGCATTGCGAGACAACACGATTGACAATTTGGATACAGATATAATCTGTTTAGTATTATTATTTTATATAATTTCTTATCGTTCAGTGACACTAACAGTTTAAAACACTTTACCGGTTTAAAACGCGATATATATTAGTTCACTAGTCTCCCCGTGACTACGGCTGCTGCAAAGCGTCCGAAACGTCGTGTTTTGCAATATAATAAGTATAATTCATTCATTAAATAAAATAAATAAGATAATGTATAATTTCGTTAACTTTCACATGACCGTTATTGTAGGTAAACAATAATAAAATCATTATCGAATATATTTTTTTATTATATTCTGTTCAGTTGTGATAGGGCCCCAGGGGCAATATGTCGATCTAGATTAGACGTCAATTTGCATTGGGGTCCTAAATGTTGGATAATATTAACAATAAATCTAAAAGTTTTTGAAGGCAAGGCAAACAATTAGCACGGACTATTGGTTATCAGCAATTTAAAATGTCTCTTTTTATTTAAAAGTAGACAATCTTTCTATTTAAATAATTATTATCTTGTTAAATTACAAACCCGGCTTGTTGATTATAGTAATTCAACGATAGTGCGGCTGAAAAAGTCAATTGATAAAAAATAGATTGTTCGAAAGAACGTTCGTAATTTTTTTTTGTTGGCTTTCGCATTGGTCGGCCTTAATAAAAAATTGTTCTCCACGATTCGAGAAATAGTCGATTAGGAAATTCGGCTTAGAAACCCAAGTTGTTTTACAAACAGGGTTATTTCGGATCCGTTTATTTCGGATTTTCATTTCATTGAAACACTTAACGGTATATAACGCGAAGTATATTAGTTACATCGTGCATTGGAGCGTCAGTTTCAAAGTGTTTTATACAATAAGGATTTTTAGCCTAAACATACAATACTTAAGGATTTAGATTTTATTTAATGTTTGATTTGGATAATTCACCTGGTTTGCTAAGATTACAAAAAAATATAAGGTACCTTGTACTTCTGATTTTGTATTATACTTATTTCGTTTCTCTCATTATATTATGTATATTGAAATGACATGATGAGAAAAACGTGACACAAGTAACAGAATCAGTCTTCGCTATAGCGATATATCTTTTTTACTATTTATTTATGACTAGAAATGCCCACGACTTTGTAAAGATCAAGTGCAGCAGTAACATGCAGTGGTATAATACAATTTTAAGGAATATCAAGTAATATTCCTTATGCTGTGTACTCACAAAAGAAAGTTTAAAAAATATATTAAAAAGTGAAAGAATTAGAAAAATACTGTCTATAGTTTACGCGAGTAGTACACATTGCTTTGCAGTAGCCGTGGTCACGGGACACGGGTCTCCCGGTGACCACGGCTGCTGCAAAGCATCCGAAACGTCGGGCCGAAGTTAAAAATCATTTTCAAATAAGTTTAACTAATATATCGCGTTTTAAACCGTTAAAGTGTTTTATTTAAAAGAATTAGAAAATTTAGAAAGTAATACTTTATAGACATAAACTGTCTGAACCAACATCCTTTTTTTGGTGGGAAGTATATCTATACTAATATATAAAGTTGAAGGGTTTGTTTGTTTGTTTGAACGCACTAATCTTATAAACTACTGGTTCGATTTAAAAACTTATTTTGTTTTGGTAAGAGCATTTATCGAGGAAGGTTATGGGCTGAAGCGGGGCAAGTTATTCATCTTTATGGGTATACGTTGCGAACGCTTTGAAAACTGTTCAAGGTATCCAAAAAATATGTACATTTTAAATGATCTAAAAAACTGTCCATGACACTATATGTTTATCTTATAAAGTTTATCTTGTAACTTGCAAGAACGACAGGACGCGACCGACGTCGTCAGTGAAAGATTAAATAATTAAAGATAACGCGAAGGTATGCAAAAACAAATGTACACTAATATTTTTTTTTGTTAGTGCGCTGCTAGGAGGGGTGTTCGCAGTACGAAGATTTCCGGATGGGTTCAAACTAGGAGCCGCGACAGCCGCTTACCAAGTCGAGGGTTCTTGGAATGTCAGTGGTGAGGAAAGCAATTGCTTTTTTTAACCGACTCGTTGTCCTTTCAATGTTTCCATGTAATTATTAATGTAATTATCATTAAAAAAAAAATAGATATTTCCTGAAGGTCAAGTAATAAGGTAATCAGGCTTCGGCTGATCATGCTTAGAAGCAAGAGTAAGCGAAGGAAAATTAAAACATCGTGTGCATGACTCATGCGTTTGTCAATTGTTTTATCCATTAAGTACTTTAAAGCACTACAATTTTACAAATCAATAAAGGTTTGGAGTAGATTTGACGATGGAGCCGAGACATAGTCGAAATAAGTCTATATCGATTCATAGCAGCTACCTTGTGTTTGAATGTTGTGTTCGATAAACATGGTCTAATCGTCACGTGAAATCATAAAAAAACTATAGACCATTTTATAACATTATTATAAATTTAGTTTATTGTTTATAGTCAAAATAATATTATTGTATAATGTTATTAGTCGCCATCGGTGGTTGCAAAAAAACACTCATTTACTTAATAATTAATTGAATAAAAAAATATTACATTTAATTAATCCTGCTTGTCTCCCTGTGCACGATACATCAGGTCGACGCTAACTATAATTCTAATTAATTTCTTATACTAAAATGGGTACGGCAACAGTAGCGTCACATACCGATCGCACGGGTATCGAATACGCGCACTATCAGCACTTTCCCCGTAGTGGCACAGCTTAGGGCTGCCGCCGAATAGTGTGCAGCTTAGGGCCGGCACACAACAAGTTAGCCCTAAATGATTTTACATAGGTTTTTTAAATATTAATAATAGATATATGTTGATAGTTAATCAACATATATCTATTCAACTACAGATTTCTTGAATAATTTCACAATTTTTCAGTAATATTTCGAGTTAAATACTGTCTAAGTATAGTTTACGCGAGTAGTACACATTTAAATAAAACACTTTAACGGTTTAAACGCGATATATTAGTTAAACTTATTTGGAAATGATTGCCCGACGTTAAAAATCATTTTCAAATAAGTTTAACTAATATATCGCGTTTTAAACCGTTAAAGTGTTTTATTCAAATATTTAGAGTTTTACAAGGATTTTACACTTTAAATTAAAATAATGTATCAAAAATATTATAGCCGTCATTGTCATACATCCATTATTATTATCTGTGGAAAGACAGCGAATATATAATCGATTCGAAATCGGAAAATCAATAATCGATACATTATATTTACAAACAATTGAAAGACCAAAGACGTCATACGGTTTATATTGTGATTATATCGCAAACAGTACAAGAGTTTTCAAAACGTAAGAATAAAACCACATCATCGTTATCTTACTTAATTAAATAAATAATATAATGAAAAAACGGCGTAAACATAGCACAATCAGCTAATTAAAAAAAACGATCGCCGTTAACGTATTCAAATAAATAAGTCCTTTACCACTTTGCGAAAGAATCGCGTAGCAAGCTTAAGGCCGGGAATTTCTGGCTTCTAATTCTTCTGAGTCAATCATAATACATCTATTGTATATAGATATTTTATTTATAGATAAATCACCCAGTATTTGGGACACCTTCACCCATGAACATCCCGAGGCCATAGTGGACGGTTCTAACGGGGATATTGCTTGTGATTCCTACAACAAGTGGAGGGAGGATATACAGCTGGCTTCTGATTTCGGCTTACACTTTTATAGGTAAGATATACTACGGAATACATTATAGTCTTAGTATTCAAGATTTTTCACATGGTGGCGTTATATTAACAACAAATTTACTTAGGATCCGGTAGCTTCGTGAGAATTTCGTTTGAGCAGCAACACTATTAACGGCTTTAAGTGCGAAATATATTAGTAACATATTTCAACTACGACCCGACGCTTTGCAGCAGTCACGAGGATTGAAGATGAAGGGGGTACCTGACGTCAACATCAAATATTACGATAACGCCATTTGTTACGTTATAATTTATAAAAAAACTAGCTGACTCCACTCGTCTGTCGATTTCTCGTTTAACAATATAACATTATTGATATGTCTTTGAAATATTATCGTCTTTTCACCGAACTTAGTTTAATATCGACTTTTGTTTTTATTTACTTTTGTGTCAATTTCTCTATTTCTATTTTATTAACATTTGGACAATGAGGTGCATAAGCTTATCAAGGTCTGCTGAGATCTTAAGTAAAAATAGAACTTTAGAACTAATCATTAAAATAATCTTCAGGCTCTCCCTATCTTGGCCCCGGCTGCTGCCAAACGGATTCTCCAATTACATCAGCGAAGATGGAGTGAGATACTATAACAATCTAATTGACGGTCTCCTTGAGAAAGGGATAGAGCCACTCGTAACTTTGTACCACTGGGATCTACCACAGAACTTGCAAGATTTAGGTGAGATTTGGAATAAGTATTTATCTCCAACATATTTGGGAATTCGAGCATTATTTTGACTATCTTCTTCGATAAATCGAACTGTACTGGTCGAGCAGAAATGCAGAGCAGAAAATTCATATCCGACGTTTGAAAACTTTCATATTTTTTACATGTGCAAGTTACATTGCGCGAGAGGTGCATATATCAATAAGTTGAAAAAAATCGTCGATGTGGTGTAGGACTCGGTAGCTCAATTGGTTAGAGCAACAGCACGGAAAGCTGACGATGCCGGTTCAAGTCCTGCCCGAGTCGAAAATATTTTCAATTATTTTCGATTTTTAATCCATATCCCATTTTTAATGTCTAGGGCAAAGAAATTAGTAAGGAAAATCATATTTGTAGTGTTATTAGAAAATCGGCAACATGGCGACCGACGATAAAACTTATTAAAGGTTTAATTTAAATTTCAAACTGGCTTGCAACAAAGAAAGCTTAGCGAAAAAAACACTTAAGCTTTTAAATAAAACACTTTAACGGTTTAAAACGCGATATATTAGTAAACTTATTTGAAAATGATTTTTAACTTCGGCCCGACGTTTCGGATGTTTTGCAGCAGCCGTGGTCACGTTGAGACTCTGAAGCTCAGCTCTTAAGCTCTTAAAAACTATGGTTATTAGTTGTTCGTCAACTTCGTCATTGGTTTTAAAGTTCTGAATTCCTCATTTGGTTTTAATTTTCGCGCATTATTTAAGAAAACTACTTTACAAGCTTTGGCCATAACTAGACATTGATAGACTTACGTAGGTATGTGCCACATTTACGCGTTCGTCCATCAGTCTACAGTAACTATAGTACTATATGTTTATATCGTAACTTATAAAAAGATACGCGATAATGATTCAAATATTTTTTAAAAGTCATAGTCATATATTTAAAAACCGTCATAAATTTTTACAATGCAATTATTGCACCTGTATATAACGACGCAAAAACAAATTTTATGGTAGAGGACAGACCTGGGGTTCCCCTGATAGAATGTATAGCCCCATAGACCTTAGATACTCAGCATTCCACAGAATAAAATCGAAACGCGATTAAATTTCCCGGCTTTTCGTCTATAGACGGTGACTTGATGACGGTTGACTTGAGATTTGATATTCGCCACCCTTTTAACATGCTGACTTCCTTAGTCACTAGCAAGATAACTTATTATTTTAGTGCCTTACAAATAAAACTCAGTTTGGGTAGAACAATAGAACATACGTCCTACATTGTGACACAAAATGTGTTTTAGAGTTTTGAAGGTTAGACGTAGTGTTTAAATATTTTTATTTATTTATTTAGAAAGGTTTACCAACGTTATGTTACAATCTTACATGCTAAATATATCATTAATTCTAAAAAAAAAACAAGATAACTGCACCTAAACAATTAAAGGTAAACACCGCTTTTTGTTACACAGAAGTACAATAATATTTTATATTTAACTTAACATCAAAGTTTTATACATTTCAACTTTAAATTTATGATATACTAATGATTAGCTACAATAACAATAAAAACTAAGCTATGACTTTTCGTAAGTTTTTGGGTGAAATACAGAAAATATCAATTTTATCACTAAAGTTATTAAGGAGTTTACTAAGCCTAAAAATAGGGGAATTTGAAGCGAAAACAGTTCTACGAAAGGAGGTTGAAAGGGGAGTTATGGGCTTTCTTGGGTATCTAAGGGGAACACGAAATTTAATTTTGTTGATTAATTGGGGACAATCGATTTTATTGTTTAGCATTTTAAATAGAAAGGTTAAGTCTAAAATTTTACGACGCTCATCTAGAGCCTGTATATTAAAAAATCCCAATCGTTTCTTATAACTAGACAAGAGCCTTTTCGATAGTCCGCCAGCAAATGTTAAATGCCAGAGGAATCGTTTTTGAATTCTCTCTAAGCGTAAGATATGTGTTGAATAATGTGGTCGCCATACAACCGGGCAATATTCTAAAATACTTCGAACTAAGCTGTTGAATAAAGTGATCTTAGCTTTGGGGTTATGAAAACCTTTTATGTTTCTAAGAACAAAGCCTAACATTCGAGAGGAGCGGTTTATTATGTCTTCATAATGTTCTGTAAAAGTCAGTTTATGATCGAATGTGACACCTAAGTCCTGTATCACTTGTTTCTCTTCAATGTAATTATTTCCTATATGATACCGATATTTGATTGTATGTCTTTTCCTGCAATACCTAACCACATAACATTTTTTTATATTCAACTCCATTCCGTTATTAAAGCACCATTCATTTACCATATTCAAATCAGATTGAAGCAACATAGAATCGTTAGGGCTATTAATTATTTTCAGAATTTTTAGATCATCCGCATACATATAAGGCTGAGATGATTTTAGACATGAAGGTAGATCATTAATAAAAATATTAAATAGAATAGGCCCCAAATGGGAGCCCTGTGGTACGCCAGATGTAATTTCTTTTTTAGTGGAAGAGAATCCGTTAACTACTACGTAAAAGTTGCGGTTTGATAAATAAGATTTAACCCATTCGTAGAAAATGGGGGATATACCATATTTATTTAGTTTCTGTAAAAGAATTTGATGCGGAACGCGATCAAAAGCTTTACTAAGATCTGTATAAACTACATCTACTTGCGCATTAGAGTCTAGTGATTCAGTTACTGTCTCAGTAAAAAGAGCTAGGTTTGTAGCTGTCGATCTACACTTAACAAAACCATGTTGCTCAACGCTGAGGAACTGCTTAACATAATTTTGTATGTGGGGACAAATAATCGACTCGAAAACCTTTGCCAAAGTAGATAGTATTGAAACGGGCCTGTAGTTTTGCATCAGGTCGCGACTCCCTGTCTTAAAAATCGGTACTATTTTTGCCAGTTTCCACATCACTGGGAAAATGCCAGACTGTAAAGATTTATTAAAGATCAAAACCAGAGGATCGGCTAAGTAGTTAGCACATTTCAAAATAAAGCTCGGTGGCACGTTGTCGGGTCCAGCTCCTTTATTAGAGTCAAGTGTTTTTAATTTTTTTAATGTTTCAGCTCTATCTATCATAGGACATGATAGAACAAGACTGCCACTGTAGAAATTTTTAAAAAAGCTATTAGCCATTTCATTGCTGGCACCATTTTGGCTCATCATGCTATTCATATCGTAAACTGACCCGAAAAGTGAAGAAAAAAGTTCACATATTTCTTGACCATTACTCGTAGATCTTGAACCATCTGTCATAAAGGCAGGATAAGTACTAGTGTCACCGCGCTTTGATTTTATATATGTCCAAAAATATTTAGAGTCAACATTAATATTATTTTCCACATAACCAATATACGTATTATAACATTTTTGAGCCATTTTTGAGCAACGCTCTGTCAAGAGTTTTAATTCAACTTCATCTCTAGGGTTCTTGTATTTTTTAAATCTACGTCTAATAACTAATTTCTCTTTAAGCATTCTTATAAGTTTACCGTTAAACCATCGTGGATATTCATTTTTCTTAGGACGAGAGTGCGGTACAAATAATTCAATTAAATGGTATATTTTGTGATAGAAAATTCCAAGCATTTCATTGACGTCACTAACGTTGCGAAAAAGAGATTGCCAGTCACAATCCTTTAGGCCATCACATATTTTATCGTATTCAGCTTTACGGAAATTTAGTTTTGTATTTAAATTATTGTAGGGAAGCTTAGGATTAATCGTTAGGGATACATCGACGATGAGAGGAGGATGAAAGGGATCTACAGGAATCATGGGACTAGAACAGTCAGAAACACTACACACGGGCAAATTGGAAAGGACTAGATCGAGGGTTCTATTAAAACTATTTTTAATCATGTTATGTTGTTTTAAACCGTTCAAACAAATGAATTCAATCAAGGGCTGACATACGCTAGGAGCGGTATAACCATTATTACCGTCACCCAACAAGCCCCAATCAAGATTTCCCAAATTAAAATCTCCAAAAATACAGTATTGATATGATCCATTGAAAAAATTATTACAACTATCTAGGAAAGATTCCAATGTAGAACGCTTCACTGGAGGTGGCAGGTAAACGATACCAAAAGCTATGTGATGAGTCGTACGCGAATCAGGTAAGTCTATAATAATCCAAAGGTCTTCAAGCGGCGATTGCCAATTAAGTATACGTCTGGATTTCAGTTTTTTAGAAACCGCGATTAAAACACCTCCGCCCTCTTTTTTGTGCGATAGGTCAGTATCGCATCTATCTCTCCTATAAACTACGTAACGATCATCAAATAGCTCATCACTTAGTACAGAGTTATTAAGCCACGTTTCGGTTATAAACAACATATCAAAATCATTACATGCAACTTGCCGGTAAAACTCATGAGTTTTAGTTTTCAAACCACGAGTATTCTGGTAGTATATTTGCAAATTATAGTTAGGCTTTGAAAACAACTGCGAGTCTACTGAGGAAGCTAACACAACCTACTCCAAAGTATTTAAGAACTCCATATTATTAATAACAATGTAACGCGATTCTGCGTTCTTTCTTACAAAGATGCGTCCATTACGAATCCACACAAAACTATATCCCTTTTCCTTGGCCTTAAGCCTAGTCGCAGCGTGCAGAGCCTTGTTGGCAGGGGATAGATGCTCGCTGATGTAAATAGGTGTTGAATTGCAAGAGAGACCAATGTGAGTAGTGTTAAGTTTATTTGTTGAATTTTTCTTATTAAACATTGTCACTGCTGCCAAAAACTGGTCTCTCAATCTAGGGGATGATAACTGAACCACAATAGACCGTGGGCGAGTATTGGCTCGGTTAACCTTAGCAACACGAGTAAAATGCATAATATCACTATCGACGATTTCGCAACCAATCACCTTTCCAACACACTTAATCAACTCCAAAAGATTCTCACTTTTACGTTCGGGTATACACTGAATTTCTATGTTGGTTTGGCGCAGTTGTTGCTCCAAGTTGTTACACCGCAAAAAAAGATTCTGAACGTTACTTTTTAATTCAGCATTTTCGCTTTCCAGTGTCGTAATTTTAGATTCCGATAATTCGTTTCGCTTAACAGCGTCGCTGCAGAGGCTGTTCATTAAAGCCATGGACTCCGTGAGCGAACAGATTTGATCTCGAAGGGGTTTGATCTCATTATTAATGGTATCGTTAAATTTGCTCAAAGTATCAGCCAAAATCTCCTTAAACACCTCCTGGACAATGTTCCTAATATCCTCACGAGTAATGTTCACCGTGTCCTTGGCCATCGGTGGCGAGTTAAGAGCTACTCTTTTGTTGCCCCTCGTTGTGCTTATGTTACGAACAGGGGTATCGTCGGTTTTTGATACGCGAATATTCTCAACACATTCCGGGCAGGTCCATATTTTTTCCATCTCTGTACTTACGGATGAAATATCTAGTGCCAAACATGCATAGTGAAAAGCTTTAGAACACTTTAGACAAGTTACATAACTCTCACCATCTATATCTGACGAACAACAGCCCCAGTTAATGAGTATATCCATCATTAATATTTGCTGTAAAGTTGGGGGGTATTCGAAAGTTATTGTACAAATGTGATGAACCAACGCCGGTAAGTACAGTTGATATTGCACGGAAAAGTAGATCTTATAGCAACATACGTGCGTCTAAATCACACTGCAGCAGCTCGCCTTAACAATTATCCTCTGCGATGTCACTGATGTAAACACTGAGACGTAATCCTTTACACCGTGATATCTCAAACGGCAAATAATCCTTAGGATAGTTTTTTATCACAACAGAAGCAGTTTTTTTTCTACTTTCTACTGATATATATCACTATAAATATAAAACTTTTATTTACTTATACTGAAAAAATATTGCTTAAGACGATGTGAACGTGTTACGCGCGTTATTTAACCTGTAAATATGACATCTTTAAACCGTAGTGTTTTTTTAAGTGTGAATGATGGGTACAAACGACTATGTAAATATTGTTTAATTTAGGACGGATAATGTAAATTTCTAGTTAATCATTAGTATGAAATACATAGAGGACGACAGATAAAGATAGAATCCACTTAATGAAAAGTGAAATATCTGAACCATATAAGAGGTGCTGTCGACCGACCTTATTTGCCTTTGTATTTCGATTTAGTTATGATCTTCCAGGTGGTTGGACAAATCCCCTCATAGCGGAGTGGTTTGCGGCCTACGCCCGCGTCGCGTACACACTGTTCGGTGACCGGGTGAAAACCTGGATCACAATTAACGAGGGGGTCATAGTCTGCGAAGCGACTTACACCTTGGGCGGCTTCGCCCCTGGCATTTCGAGTCCATTCCTCGGCAGTTACATGTGCAATAAGAACGTTTTACTTGCTCACGCTCGTGCTTGGAGAATTTACGATGAGGAGTTCAGACCTGAACATCATGGTGAGGTTTTTGTTTAACGATAGAGGAGGACATGATATACCCCACTGTATGTAAACAAAATGCGCTGTCGGCCTATTTTTACTTTCGAAATTCCGGCCACCCATTTAATATGCAGATTGCCAGACGAAGTCTTTTGGACAAAAGCAGATACAATTTACATCTATCTATACTAATATAAAAAACGAAAGAGTTTGTTTGTTTATTTGTTTGATTGCGCTAACCTCAGGAACTACTGGTTCGAATTAAAAATATATTTAATCGTGTAATGAAAACGTCCTATATATATACTGACTATCTTCAAGATTAACTTGCAAAAACGACGGGACGCGACGGACGTCGTGTGTAGTGAGCTCTAATTTATAAAGATGAAGAGTTAGTGGAGGTTTTCAAAAACAAAGTTGATGCCCTAAATGACAATTCTATGCGGACGAAGTCGTTGACATAGCTAGTCTAAACATGGACATAACAAACTCAATATTTAAGAAACGTTCGGACAAAATCAACAAATCAGTATCATTTCAGGAAAGGTATCCTTAACGAACCAGATACTTTGGGTACAGCCGTATTCAGAAGAGTACGAGGAATTAGCAGATCTTGTCATGCAGATGGTCGTACCAATTATTTTTTTTTAAAATAATAAAACAAAAAAAAAAAACCTTTTTTTTTTTTCCCGGGTTTGGGGTTTTTATTTTTTTTTTTTTTTTTTTTTTTTTCCTTTTTGGGGGTAGTTGGATTCCTGTTTTCTTCTATCTCTTATTGTTTTCAAATGATTACAAATTAATGTCTGAATTGTTGTTCTTTAATATTATTATATTTCTCGAATTTGGGGCAGAAGGGCGGCCCCCGGGGGCGCGCGGAAAAGGGGGGGGGGGGGGTTTTTTTTCCCCGTTTTTTTTCCCCCCAAAAAAATTTCTTTTTTTTGTTTTTTGGGGGGGGGTTTTCCGGTGGGGGGGGGGGGGGGGGGCCCCCCCCGGGGGGGCCCCATTTGCCTGCCCCCCGCGGGGGGGGGGGGGGGGGGCGGGGGGGGGGGGGGGGGGGGGGGGGGGGGGGGGTGTTTTCCCCCCCCCCCCCCCCCCCCCCCCCCCCCCCCCCCCCCCCCCCCCCCCCTCCCTTTGGGGGGGGGGGGGGCCCATATTAATAATCTTAATTCTGTCATTATTGATGTGTTAAAATTGCGCAACTGTGTTATAATGCGGCCGAACAACTGATTGACATAGAAATATGATTTGAATAAAACACTTTAAGGGTTTAAACTTAACTGGGACTACGACACCACGGCTGCTCCAAAGCACCCGAACGCCGGACCGTAGTTAAAATATTTTAAATAAGTAAAACTAATATATTTCACGTTTTAAATCGTTAAAGGGTTATATTTAAATGTTTACTACTCGCGTAAACTACGGACAGTTTTTAAATAAATATAAAAATCACTAAAAAATTGTGCATTGAAAATGACAACGTATTATTTCTAACATATTAGTCAGTCAATAAAAAATATATTAAGTACTTTGTAGTTTACGCGTGTAGTACAAATTTTAATGAAACTCTTATAATGGTTTAAAACGCGAAATGTAACTGTTTTACCTGATTGACTAGTTCCTCTCCAGGTAACGACTGCCGGAAAGCACCCGAAACGTCAGGCCAAAGTTAAAATCAATTGTAAATAAGTTCACTTATACATTTCGGGTTTTGAACAAAAAAAGTTTTGCTTAAGATTATAATGTTTAATTTTTAGGCCGGTCTATACTCACATCCAATTTACACAAGAAGAAGGGGGATGGCCCCCCACTCTCTAGAGAAACAAATCGCCGAGAAGAGTGCGAGAGAAGGCTACAAGCGATCGAAACTACCCGCATTTACTAAGGAAGAGATTGAATTTATAAAAGGTGATTGTTTTTTAACAACATTTTTTCAGCGAAATATTTTTTTTTTATAAATAGGCGTTTAAAAAATAATTAACGAAAACTTACTTAACAATACCTAAAATTGGATAGAGGTGATATTAAATTTAAAATAAGGATTTATTTGTTTATTGATTTAGGTTCCATATTATTTTATAGTACACAATACAAAAATTTGTATATAAATTTAACTCGTATATTACGCGTTTTAAACGTTAATAAAGTGTTTTATTTAACCTTTATAGGTACCTACGATTTCTACGCGGTAAACTACTACACCAGCCGCTTAGTGCGGACTCCAAAAGAAGGAGAAAAGATTGGCTTATGGCCACTCTACGGTCTCGAAGAGTTGGGTGCTGTCCTCGAGGTAGCCCCGGAGTGGCCAGGGACATCTTCCAATTGGTTCTTTGTGAGTAATTTAATAGTCAAAAGTACTTATTCTTTATTCGTAGTCTTTTTAAGGTTCCGTACAACTCTAGCCTTCGGTAGAGTTGGTACTACTCTGGTTGTGAGTCACAAATGCTCGACATGTGTGTCAGTTAAAAAAAGGGTTCTGTACAACCAGAATTACTCGCCATTGGCTTTCCTGTATAAACAAGAACTACGATAACTAGGGTCGAAAATCTTCATGCATTTCGTATTTCTGCTGACCCTACTACAAATTATGCGATGTCGGCCTATTTCGGCTTTGGATATTCAGAAAACCACTTGGTCAGCAAGTTTTTACCGGGCCAAGCGTTTATCTATCACACAAACTGGTCTGGATTTCAAGATGTTAGCTATCTCTTACAACAAATTTTATCAAGATGGGCTAAACCGTTTAGGCCCTACAAAGTCTAAGTCTAAGTTTTCAAAGTCTGAAATACGATAAATATAATTGTGTTACAGGAATATCCAGTCGGATTGAGGCGCTTACTGTCCTGGCTAAAGAAGAACTACGGCGACCTGGACTTCCGGATTATGGAGAACGGATACGCTAGTGATAAACGTGATATTAATGATTACGATCGGGTCAAGTACTATCGGGAACATTTGGAACAGGTATGTTCTTTTATATCTAGTTGTAGCTGCGACGTCGTCCGCGTCCCGTTTCCGAGTTAATCTTAAAAGATAGACATTACGGACAATTTTATTAGGTAATTGAAAGAGAAATCATTCTTTCATACATATATATAGTTTAGCTATCTCGAACCGGTTTTGCAGCGCACACAATGCAACCTCTCAAAGATGAACAATTTTCCCCGTGATGTATTATTTTATTGCATGTATAGAAAATATTGTTTTTCACTTCGTACGAGTAGTTTCTGAAAGTACCGTTAGATATCCCTAAATCTAGTTTACGCCTCCCACCAATGATCAGGATTTAATATTGTATTTTTGAGATCTAAATGGTTAAGACTTGGAAATATTAAAAACAGGAACGTATCCTGGGCTTCGTGTCGAAGGGTTTGGGCATTTACAGCGATGGATGATGATATATTTAGTAGGGTCGCAATTTTTATCAGTTACTCTTTATATCTATAGGTGTACCTGGCCATCACTGAAGACGCAGTGAACGTCACCCATTACACAGCATGGACCCTGCTTGACAACTACGAATGGGTCGATGGATATGTGTAAGTAGATGTTGATGATACTGTCTATAGTTTACGCGAGTAGTACACATTTAAATAAAACACCTTAACGGTTTAAAACGCGATACGTTAGTTAAACTTATTAGAAAATGATTTTTAACTTCAGCCCGACGTTAAAAATCATTTCAGTCTCCCCGTGACTACGGCTGCTGCAAAGCATCCGAAACGTCGGGCCGAAGTTAAAAATCATTTTCAAATAAGTTTAACTAATGCATCGCGTTTTAAACCGTTAAAGTGTTTTATTTAAAGATGTTGATGATGTTGTTGTTGTGTATAAAAGTAAATTAGTTTTAATCTAAAATCGATCTTTATATAATGGCATCATGTCAAAAATAATAAACTTTTAAAATGTGTATACAGCCAAGATTATTGTTGCAAGACCCCTTAATACTAAAACTTAAACCCTTTCTTTGATTTTATATCTATATAATAAAAATTTTGCGATTTTTATAATTGTTTACTGTACCTACTAGTTTGAAGACACAATAAAGTTATTATTCGTGAATTCTATATTTCCATGCACAGATTGTCTAATCGCAAACCTCTTGAAATGATTTCAGATCCAAGTTCGGGATAGTCGACGTCGACTTCACGGACCCACTGCGCCCGCGCACCCCAAGAGCTTCCGCCTATTTCTACGCTAGTGTTATCGCCACAAACTCACCGGACGGTGATCAGACATTAAACGACTTGTATAAGTAAAATTTGTTTCATTGATAGTACTATCCGAGCATATTTTCAGAAGTTGGTAACATGGTTGGTTTTTTGGGGTGCCAGCCCCAAAAAACATGCATTTTGCATTCACGGAACCCTATTCCTACTTCCTTGACTGTCTGTCTGTCACTAGGATACATATAAACTGCGATAGTTTGTCTGTATTTATATAAAAATACGGTAAGCTGAACACTAAAATCAATATAAAATAAATGTTTGGGGTAGGATTTTAAAAAACAAATGTAATTTCGACCCTTGTTTGCTCTATATACTTATATATTTTTGCCCTAATTTAGTTACGCTTTTTATTTAGGGGGCTCCGACACAGTTCACTGCCATTTCTTGATAATATCGATAAATGAAAACAATTTGAAATAATAATTAAAAAGATGTTAAGTACTTACTTGGTAATCAAAACGAAATTTCTGTGTTAAGTCCTTTCAAATAAGAGTTCGACTCGGACTTAATTTTCGCTATCGTTGTGAGGTAGGTTTTGTCACGTCTCGGGTGAGACTATCAAAAATCTAACCTTCTTTCCACAGAACCGAATTTTGCGTTATTTTTTGCGCAGGAGTTAAAATTACTGTCAAATGGAGTGGGTTATTACGATTTTTAACGCTAAAAGACAACAATACGAGTAGTCAATATTGTACACCAAAAGGTTGACATTTTCACGGGGTATTGGAGTGAAATAGCAAATATTGTTCTTAACGAAATTACTACTACAACTAATAGTTATTAAAACTTAGTTTTCATATGTATTTTTTTATATATTGTGTATTACTGTCGAATTGGATTATATCTGTAAGGGCAGCATATATTTGTGTAAATAAATAAATTATATTTACAAATTATTTACAAATAAATAAACAATTTTTATGCTTGTGAAATATGCAAACCCTCTTTTTCGCCACCCACACAAAATTATTACTAATATTATCATTGTATGTTGTATTAAAACTACTTAATAACAATAAATATATACTGTCTGTATTTTACGCAGTAGTACCAATTTAAATAAAACACTTTAACGGTTTGAAACGTGGTATTTATTAGTTGAACTTATTGTAAAATTATTTTAACTACAACCCGACGTTTAGGATGCTTTGCAGCAGCCGTTGTCACGGGGAGACTAAAGATGAAGGGTGTCTCTGACGTCAAAGTAAAAATCTGATACGCTAGCGCCGTCTGTTCCGACGAAGTTGGTATTTGGTGGCAGTTTTTACTTTGACGCAAAGACACCCTGCAGACCACCCGTTTGCAGGACGTTTCGCTTGCTTTGCATCATGCTGCAAAGCATCCGAAACCTAGGGCCGTAGTTAAAATAATTTTCAAATAAGTCGAAGTTCGATATCGCGTTTTAAACCGTTTAAGTGTTTGGTTTAAAAAATAAATATTTCTAATGAATAAATTTTTGTTGCAAGGCACCCCCCAAATAATAAGAAAAGTAGAACACAGAGGCCTGCGCATCCACGTGGGGAACGTTAATATTGAACGGGTGAAAGAAGCTCGCAACTTAGGCGTCTTATTTGATAAAAACCTGAGGTTTGAGAAGCACATTAACACTATAATATCCAATTGTTTCTATCGCCTAAAGGTCTTATATAAGATAAGAAAATATATAAGTGTTGATCTTCGTATAAAACTGATGTTCTGTTTGGCCCAAGGCTGCTAGCGCGTACTAAGAACGCAATACAGCGTGTGCAAAATGCATGTGCAAGATATATCTGGAACATCCCACTCCGTACTCATGTCTCGCCCTTCCTTCTGAGTGCTGGCGTACTCAGGATGGAGCAGCGTCGACGCCTACATTTTGCATCCCTTCTATTTGACGTGGTTCTATCTAAGGCCCCATCATATCTATACGATAAACTATCATGGTTTGGGGATGGAAACAATAGATATCATACCAGAATTGCACTATATGGCCTGGAAATGCCCCTGTACCATACCACGGCATTTAGGGGCAGTTTTGCGTACAATGCGACGAAATGTTGGAACAACCTTCCACCACCAATACGGGCCTCTAAAACTGTAAGGAATTTTTAACTTAATTATAAAAAGTTTTTATTAGTAGAGTCATATTCCTAATCGCATGTACGCAAAACGAAATATGTTTTTATAAATCTTTTTAAACAAGAGCTTAGATCTGTTTTGTAAAATATACAACACACATTCCACTATATATCATACATTATTCTAAGTTTATTTTTATTAGTTTAGTTTAGTTTCACTAAAAGGTTGTAGTTGTTGTCACCTTCTCTCCCCGGGGGGGCACTGCCGAGTGCTTTTCCCCATTTCACAAGCACTCGTCCAAGTTTCTATTTTTTTATTTGTTTTTCTTATTTCACTTTTTTATAAATGGTAGTTATTTAAGTTATTTATTCTGTCTTGTGAAATAAATGGTTTGAGTTTGAGGTTTGAGTTAATGTTAAAGATAAAAACTATCAATTACTATGCCAATTCTTATCTCCAACTCATTATGAAAAATTGTGTTTTTTATGAAAACAATTTTAGGCTGTGTAAGAACGAGAGTTTGGAAGGCCCTAGAACATAAAATTCTTGCAAAATGTGTTGACAAGGGTTTGAAGATTATAATACATTTTTCAATCTCCAATATTTCTTATTATTTAATACAGTAACTTACAATAATTATTGTTTTAACTCACCTGTGTTATGTCTGAAGAGTTCTGTTTGAGGTGATTTCAAGGGTATATACAAATTTGGTCACACATGTTTGCGAATCTATAATTAAATAAGGTACGTAATCGCGGTACATTTTCGTATAATTAAGGTTTGCATTTTCTTAAAATCTAGGGAAATGTGATCTTTTGAATTGTGATTTTTATCCACCTTAGCAAAAACATTTTTTAAAAGATAGAGAATATATACAATTCGGAAATCCACAGACTGAAACCAAAACGCGATAAAGCTGTACGATTTATTTATCTGTGGACGGTGGTTCGTGATTCGGACGGAATTTCTATATTCCTACCACCCATGTTTCAGAAAAATTATATACATTGAAATTTTAGAAAAATGTTGGACCTGGTAGGCACGACGTGTTAATCATTAGTCACACATTGCTATTACATTCTTATACACTCCTATATATATAATCAAAATGTAGCGGCCTTTTTAGGTTGTAACTCTAGGTACTAAGTTCTTTTTTATATTGTCCAAATAATTTTATAGTGAGATTGTGTATCACAGGTGTATTATACCTATAACAGGCACCAGGCTCTCACAACGTGATACCTACCTGTAAAATTAAACTTGCTTGTAAGTTCGTTGTAACATTGTAAAGTTGTGAGTGCTAAATAAATAAATATTATTATTGCTCCAAAGAGACCAACGAGCCCTTTACTAATTATTAATTCTTGACGGGTCGTTATCGTTCCAAACGTTTATCTTTTTTGTACAATTTAATCTTCATTAGTTGTTGTTCACTTCAATTGAATTGCGATTTGTAGTCTGTCTATATAACTGTTTTACACAATTTTGTTTTTTTTCTAGCTATTGAAAGTATATAAATAGTATTAAATGGTCTACGTATGTGATGTTGATAAAACGTCAACAGTGCTTAATTTAATAAATAAAAAAATATTAATATAAAATATAGCGTGTGGAACGCTCGTGTCTGGAGTGCCTAACATTTGGATGCACTGCGTTCTAACTGGGTCTTTTTATCGCACATTCTGAGTGTAATAACATCTGTTAAGTAAAACAAGAACAAAATGCGAATTTTATTACTTTCTTTGACGTAAGTACTTTAATTAGTGAAATTAGAAATTGACGATTCACTCGTAACAAGTACAAAATTGATTTTCAAGGATAAGTTTTGCGCGTTCTGGAAAATTCCCGCGCGACTTTTTATTCGGGACTTCCACCTCTTCGTATCAAATTGAAGGTGCATGGAACGAAGATGGTAAACTATTACACTTATTAATTTTAATTATTATTTACTTATTATTACTATCAATATATAGCAGTAACTTACTATTGAGAAGCTGCTTCGGTACTATGTCCAAAGCGCAAAATTAAGAAAGAACTAGAAGAACCACGTTGTTCAAAAAAAATTTAAACAAAAACTTAGTAACGTATCATTTTTTAAAAATGGATGTCCACTCTTAAAGATGTTCCAGGCTAAAGATAGACATAAAACAATTATTCTGTCATCTAGCGATATTTGATTATAAAAGTTCTAATTTATAACAGGTAAAACATTTAAGTAAATTACTTTAACTGTTTAAACTTATTTTAACTACGGAGTCTCCCCGTGACCATTAATGGTGCAAAGCATCCGAAGTTATATAGTTATAAGAGTGAACATCCCGTTCTTGTTTTTCGTGATAAATATTTTATTTATTTATGTTTTCTTTGCGCTTTATAAGTGTCAAAGAACTTGAATTATTCTAAATGCATTTCAGGCAAAGGTGAAAGTCTTTGGGACAGAGTGACTCACGCGCATCCGGAATGGTTCGTCGATCATTCAACGGGTGACGTTGCCACTGACGCTTACCACCACCTGGACAGGGATATTCGGATGATGAAAAAGCTCGGAGTAAATTCTTACAGGTACTATGGTACTCGCATTTATGGGGCACAATTATCTAGGTGTCATGATGTTATTTATAATAAAAATTTTGAAAACTTTAATATTTTGCACATGATAGCACTATATAATTTAAAAACGACTATAAATGGAAAAGATTACGACTCGGGCAGGACTTGAACCAATGTCCACAGCGTTCCGTGTTGTTGCTCTGCTAAGTTTGCGGTTGTTCTCCTGCCCGAGTCATAATATTTTTATTATTTATAATCGATTTTTAATTTAACTTAAAAAAGTGAACTTTTTTATAAGTAATATAATTAGAAATGTCTGTAGTTTACGCGATTAGTTAGCATAAAAAATAACACTTTTAACGGTTTAAATCGCGATAAGTATTGGTTAACTGATTCACAATTTATTTTACAACGGCCCGAATTTTTCGATGCTTCGCGGTCGTGGCTACGAGGAGGGTGGGTTAACAATCAGTTTGAAAGAAATACAAAAATGATAACTAATACAGTCTAATAAGTTTAACTAATATAGTCTAATAAGTTTAACTAATATATCGCGTTTTAAACCGTTAAAGTGTTTTATTTAAATGTGTACTACTCGCGTAAACCGTATTTTACTAATATAGTCGTTTTAAAGGTAAACTACAGACAATACCTATCTTTATAAAGGCATTAAAGGTTATTTACAAAAAGCTTATTATAATTATTTATTCAGATGTTAAAAGTAGATACAATGTTAGCCTTGAATCTATTTGCGCACATGATTGCGTAATATAAATTAAAAACCTATTTAGAATTCAAAAAAAATACACGCTGAATTAGATAGAATTGTACGTTTACGCGAGCAGTACATATTAAAAAAAAACACTTTTAACGGTTATAAAACGTGAAATGTATTGGTTAAACTGTAAATTTACTATAAACTGAAAAATTTACGACACGGGCAGGATTTGAACTGGCATACACAGCGTTGTGTACTGTCGCTCTAACCAATAAACCGTGTAGCCATTTTTTTTTTCAATCTAAATAGATGTAGGATACGGCAGTTCAATTGGTTAGAACAACAGCACGGAACGGTGTGGATGCCAGTTCAAATCCTAGCCCATGTCGTAATTTTTTTCAGTTTATAGTAAATTTAAAAGTTTTTAACCAATAAATTTCACATTTGAAACCATTAAAAGTTTTTTTAATATGTACTGCTCGCGTAAACTACACACAATACAATATTACTAGCAAAATATAATTGCTTATTGCGTGTGAAAGTTTGTTGTATTGGGTTTGTAAGTGTTCTAATAAAAATCATTCTGCAGATTTTCACTCTCCTGGCCTCGGATTCTACCCCATGGTTACACAAATGTGACAAACATAGCTGGCATAGCCTATTACGATCTCGTTATCGACAGCCTGTTATCAGCTGAAATTGTACCGATTGTCACTATGTACCATTGGGAATTGCCAATCAATCTACAGAAATTGGGTATATTCACAAATATCTACATAGTATAAAGATGAAATCAGTTCTAAAGTTGTAATTTATAACCGCTGCGTGAAGTTTAAATTCGCGTTTACTCCTATTAAATAGTTGGCTGTCAAATCTAATCTATACTAGTATATAAAGCTGAAGGGTTTGTTTGTTTGACCGCGCTAGTCTCAGGAGTTCCAACCGGTTCGAAATGAAAAATTATTTTTGTGTTGGTTATCGAGGAAGCTTAAGCCTATAAAACATCGCCCTGAGACTAATACAAGCGAAGATACAGCGAGAAATGAGAAAGACATGGGAAAATTATTCATCATTATGGGTTTCCGAGGCGTACACTGCAAAAGTGATTAAAGATACCGAAAAAAATAATTATCAAAGAATAGTTCCTCTTAAAATGATAAAAAAAAGTCCGCGACGCTATATATCTATCTAGAAGGATTAACGACGGGACGCGGACGGCGCCGTGGGTAACAGTTCGAATTTATAAAGTTGCAGTCGCTGACTCAGTTAGTGCCAAATATGATGATTGCGTTCAGAAATTTAAGATTTATATTTTTTTAAAGTTAAGCATTTGAAACGTCGGGTCGTAGTTAAAATGAAGTGAACTAATATATAATGCGTTTTAAAGCGTTAAACGTGGTTTATGTAAACGAAAATTACTCACGTATACTTTTTCAATTTCGTACAATCTCTAAAATTTTCAGGTGGTTGGAATAATCCAGAATCCGTAACTTGGTTTACGGCTTATGCCGATTTCGTGATGTCGCTATACGCACATCGAATCAAATACTGGTTGACACTGAACGAGGCTGAGTATTATTGCGATAAAATAACGACTCTCGAGTTACCGGAAGGTTATATTGATCCAGAAAGAGCACCCTTTGAATGCACCAAGAACCATCTTCTTGCGCATGCGCAGGTTTACAAATTATTTAACGAGAGGTACCGCAGTTGGAATAATGGTAAGTATAACTTTGAACCGCCATCCATAGCGTTCCGAGCTGTGGTTCTAACCAATTGAACTACCGTACACGTCATCGTCAACTTTTTCAATCTCTTGACACATGCTCCTCTCGCGCAATGTAATTTCAACCTTAAAATTTGTAAATTAAGGTTCAATGCCTTATGTGTTACAGCTTAAGAAAATCTCAAAGATAAAATTACGAAGTTTAACGTTAGAAATAAAAGTTTAGAAAAGATAAAAAATCTAAGGCGGAATATGAACCCCTGTCATGGACTGTCTGCCATATGCCAGCGTGTCCAACACTTAAATCCGAAATTCAGCCGCGCTCAAGTATGCTAATATTCAGTATGAATGTCGATCAGGGGCCAGGGCACAGAACTCTGACATCAACGTTTGGCAAAAATAAAAATCGAGTAGTTGAAAAATTTCCCCATAAGCGTGATTTGACTTTATATGCCAACCGAGAGCGGGACTGTCTAAGCCATATGAAATCTAGTCTTTATTACGTTGTTTAATACTAAGTACTATTATTGTTCTCCTCGTCCCCTCATTTTTCAGGAGTAATGTCTATGTCCAACATGTATGGATGGTATGAGAGCGCCTCTGGTGATGAAGAGGAACAAAGGGTTACCCAAATCTTATTGCAATATACGGTCAGTCTTCAACATCCATACTAATATTATAAAGCTGAGGTGTTTCTTTGAACGCACTTATCTCAGTCAAAGAAAATCAAAAATGTCTTGGTTAGAGCATTTTTCAGGAAATCCTTCGTCTGTACAACATTATATTATTTCTCCGCAGGAGGGACGTGGAGAAAAACGGGGAAAAATGTGGAAAAGTTATTCTTCCTTGTGTGTTGCGTTTACGATACCTAAAAAGATGTATAAATGAATGATTTTTCTTTAAATGATCTACCTAAAAGGAATCCGTGACAGTATAATATTATGTCTATCTTTTTAGATTAACTTGCAAGAACGGGACGCGGTGACATCGTGGGTCCAATTTATAAAGTTGGCTTTTCAAAAACAAAAATTGACATCCAAAATAATTATTTTACGCAAACGAAGTCGCGTGACTCAGCTAGTAATTTATAAAGATGAGGAGGCTTACAAAAACATTTTTTTCCCCAAATCTATTATACGCTGTAGAAGTCGCTGGCACAGCTAGTAGCTTAGTACTTATGTCTTACAGAACGGAAGATTCAGTCATCCATTATATTCAAAAGAGGGCGGATGGCCACCATTATTGGTTGACTTCATGGATACGTATAGCAAAGATAAAGGCTACAACACATCTCTCCTGCCACCGTTCACGGACGAAGAGAAGGAACTCATAAGAGGTATATATAAAGTAGATTAGTTAAACAAATTTCGCATTTTAAATTGTAAAACCGTTTTATTTAAAAGTGTACTAATCTCGTAAATTACAGACAGTATTCAAGATAATAATTTCACTAAAATACTTTAAAGTTTCTGAAACCACCATATAAATAAAACATATACAAGTACAGTCGTAGTACAAAGTTGTATATTGCACGAAAAATGATAATAGCCCTGGTTAAAATCCCGGCTCGGGCGCGTTCAGTTTGCAATTTTTCTCAGAAACCAGCCAGGAGTTTGAAAGTACCATCTACGTGCTTTGAGTTCACATAATATAGACTAATCTACAAATTAAAGTAAAGTTTGTTTGTTTGAACGCGCTAATCTTCGAGTTACACAAAAAAATCTTTTTGTGTTGGTTAGAGCATCTATCGAGGAAGGTTATAGGTTATAACACATTGCAATTACGGAAACAGCTAGTATGTTATAAAGCTGAAAAGTTTGTTTGAACGCGCTTATCTCAGGATTTACTTGGTAGGTGGGAATTGAAATATTCCCTTTGTGTTGGATAGAGCATCGTGCTGGCGACGACCTTAAATCTATAAAAATAAAAAGGAGGTTTGCGTAAACAAATTATGATGCTCAAAATAACTATTCTACGCGGACGAAGTCGCTGACACAGCTAGTCTTAAATGTTCGACAACCCGAACTGGAGCAGCGATTTGAATCTTAGCTTGGAAAAAACTTCGCTATTTTATATGAGAGACGAGAACCTCTGCCAAGCTGGGACACCAGAGTTAAAGTTATCTTCTTTTTAGGCTCAGCAGACTTCTTAGCCATCAATCAGTACTTCACATTCATCACCCAAAAATCTGACATCGACCCGCAAGAAATGAGATTTGCCACAGATGAGGAATCGTGGTGGGGAAAAATGACGGATACCCTCGTTCGACGGTTTGATAAAATCACAGATATACCTATGAAGATTTCTGTAAGTACTGTTTCACGTTTTTATCATAGAAACTGGCAAGAGGATTTGGTGAAAGGTAACCGAGCATATTTTTAAAATAGAGGAGGACAGACAAGCTTATAGGGTCTAAACAAGATGCGCTCTCGATCTATTTTAGGTTTGGATACTTGGAAATCTACAGACTGAAACTGAAACGCGATTAAGCTTCACAACTTTATCAACTGTGGGCGGCGGTTTGTGACCCGGGCGGAATTTTGATATTCCTGCCACCCATAAAAAAAAAATGCTCCGTATAAAGAAAATACTGAGTAAATATCAGAGAAAGCATACATACTTTTTAAAATTAAGTTCTCGTCCAATCAAAATCAACAGAATCCGACCAATGACAAACAGGCACCGTGCTTAAATTAAATTCTTAAAATGTATATCGGGTTTCTTGAGCAACGTTTGTTAATAATTGCTTTAACTAAACTCTTTTACATCCTCAGAACTATGCACCCGGTATGCGACGTTTGATCAACTGGTGTATAGAAAGTTATGGAGACTGGGATATCCTCATCACAGAGAATGGATATTCCAGTGGAAATAGAACTGTGGAAGATGTGGGCAGGATTCAATTTCTTCAATCGTTTTTGGGACAGGCTAGTTGAAGATATCATATCATTTTATTTTATTATTAAATACAATTTACATTTTGAAAAAACAGATAAGATAATTTTGATACTAAATAATTAATACGTTCAAAAGCTTCTTGTGTATTTCCTAACTAAACTGGTCCTTCGAGCCAGATAAGGAATTAAATAGTAGTTCGTTTTCCTATAAAAAAATACTACTACATCTTTTAACATTTATCATTATAGATTTTGTTATCAATAACTGAAGATTCCCACAATGTGATTGGATACACATTTTGGAGTTTGATGGATAATTTTGAGTGGTGGTCAGGTTATACGTAAGTTATTTGAAATTTTCTAAAATCTTTACCTACTGGCTACGTATTATTGCATTCTATACATACATTTGAATTCGGTCAAGTATGGCGAGTTTTATAAAAATAGTGATTTCTTCTTAGTGAAGAATGTTTTTTTTTCATTTACCACCTAGAGTTAAACTTGAAAATATTATAGGGAATATTTTCATTCTATACCTTTACTATCGTACCTATTTTTCTTCTCTCACCATTGCTTATTAGATAATACATTTTTCTATAATTGTATTCTTTAGTATAAACATAACACATAATTATTTTTTTTTATATAATAGAATCAAATTTGGCCTTTTCGACATCGACTTTAACGATCCGAACCGACACGAAACGATGCGATCTTCAGCGGCCTACTACCGGTGCATTATTAAACATCGAAGCCTCGATGATTGTTCTTCACTTCTTAAACCTGTTTTTAAAGATAAAATTTAATTAATTTAAAAGTTAATTAATTTCTCCTCGTGAAGCAGATTAAAAGGGAAAAATTTTAACAGTTTTTTTATTAGAGATGCCATTGTCTTCTTCCCCGTACCTTATTATACGAAATAAATTTCAATTTTAGTACTAAGTTCTTATTAGTAATGCCTAGACAAGCATTCAGAAATACATAATCAGAAATTTAAAAATCGTACAATCTATTTTAAATATACCACTTTAACGGTTTAAATCGCGATATATAAACTTTTTTTTTATTATTTTAACTCACGGAGGGACCCGTGACCACGGCTGTTGCAAAGGATCCGCAACGTGGGGCCGTAGTTAAAATACTTTTTATAAGTTTAACTAATATATCGCGTTTTAAACCGTTAAAGTGTTTTATTTAAATGTGTACTACTCGCGTAAACCTTAGACAGTATTTAGTTGGTTATAGTCTTGTTTTTTATTTACTAGGTATTTTATTAGCCTAATTGGAAGTTGTGTTATTCGAACTACTTTTAAATGCAATAAAAATGCGTCACCTTTAATTTTTTTTATGATAGAGGTCGAATAGCATCGGGTTCTAGATAAAGGGTGAAATACTCCAGCCATATGCGCTGTCGATGGTTTTTTGCTCTAGCTTCACTTTGGCTCTAGATAATCGATAATCCGCAGGCTCAAAGCGAAACGAGAATAAACTTTACGGCTATTAAGTCCAAAATGTTTTAGAAAAATTATCAATTAATTAGAAACATGTTAGAGCCGGTGAGGTTCGAACCTGCGACCCCTTGATTATTAGTTATACATTAGTACCATTAGGCCAAGGAGCCGAAAAAAAAAAAGTTTTCTAAAATCAAACTCACGTCCTTTCTAACGCATTGAAAGTGGTAAGAACTGAATCGTGGGGGCGTTTGCTAGTCTAGCATTTTATGTTTTCAGTTTTAGGTTAATTCCACTTGTATCCGGTGATTGTCGCTTCCGTACAATGTTAGGGAGATTAAATGGAAATAAAACATCAATACTACGTTTTTGTTTTCTTTTTACTCAATACTGGATGTTCTAGTTCACTTATCCTCCAGCATGGTTGCTGTGACACTGCTTTTAAGGTAAATTAATTATTTTTAACTTAATATTTTTCACATTTATTCACATGAAGGCACTATATAATTTAAAAATCGAAAATAAATTGAAAAAATTTTCGTTAAATATTAATGTTTTCAAACGTTATAACTTTGTAATTTCATCTTCAATGATTTCTTAACTCAAAGCTAAGACATTGAGCCTTAATACGCAAGTGTTAAGGTAGAAATTACTTCGCGAGATCATTATCAATAAGTTGTAGGACTTAGCTAATTGGTAGAGCAACAGCACGGAAAGCTGACGATGCCGTTCATGTCCTGCCCAGTCGAAAATTTTTTCAATTTATTTTCGATTTTTAAATTAGTATTTTAAACTGAAAAAAAAACTTTTGGCCGGCTCGTTTGTCTAACGTTTGTTTGTTATAAATTGAACTATTCAGCTTTACAATATTAGTATCTATACTTATATATAAAGCTGAAGAGTTTGTTTGTTTGTTTGAACGCGCTTATCTCAGAAACTACTAAACATATTTTTTACATTTTTCTTAAAAGAAAAATGTAAAAAATATTGTTAAACGTATTGCCTAGCATTGCGTTAAGCGCGAGAGGTCCGAGGTTCGAATTGTTTCGGTCACTCAGGGCATATAAGTCTAATTAACTACTTGCTTGTTAAAGAACGGATCAGAAAAACGGACATAGAAATGTGTTCGCCCCATGCCCCATGAGGGGGAAACGGGATTTCACACACAAGTGCTCTAAAAAAAACCGCGACGCTGTATGTCTATCTCTAAAGATTAACTTGCAAGAACCACGGGAAGTGACGCGACCGACGTCGTGGGTAACAACTTAAGTTTATAAAGATGAAAGGGTTTGAGAAACCGATTTTGGATGCCCAAAAAAATAACAATACTTGCGGACGAAGTCGCTTACACAGCTAGTAGTTAACAGATTAAATTCAAAACGAAATGTGACTTGGACGACATTTACATATTCCCGCAGATTTTCCAGATTTATTAGAAAATTTCAGTAACATAGATTGATTTCAGAAACATGCTAGATATGTTTAATCGACCTCCCGACTAAAATTTTTGCTGTACAAATTAAACTCGATTATGAATTGAAAAAAAATTGAGGTATAACGGGTCAGTGGTTGATTGGAGCACGGAATACTGTGGATGCCAGTTTAAGTCCTGCCTGAGTCGCAATTTTTTTTCTATCTATCTATCTATAAATTTGATCACGCTACTAAGTCACAACCATTTCAGCGTAACGCTATTCAATGCAGTGTCCAGTACTAAGGAATTTCCACCTGGCTTTATGTTCGGTGCTGCAACTTCTTCGTACCAAGTGGAAGGATCGTGGAATAAAGATGGTAGATATAATATGTAATTAAAGATACCGTAGGTATTTTATTTTATTGTGCAGACAGATATTTCTGCATTACCTGTTTTATTTAGTTATTGTAGTACTCTACTGTACGAAAGGTTGTTATATTAGTTTAACTCATTATAAGGAACGACTCTGTTTATTTTCTTAAATTTTATTATAAATTTAATACACAGATTCGGTATACACTAGTTCAATAAAAAGGAATAAGAAGTGTGTTTTTAATAGAAAAAAATAATCTATTGTGATAAAAGACGAATCACATGCACGTGTTTGTGTGTGTGAGAGAGAGAGAGAGAGAGAGAGAGGGGTAAAGAGAGGGTGTGAAAGAGAGGGTGTGTGTGTGTGCGAGAGACTTCAGATTACAAGCAAGACATTATTTAGTCAGAAACATGGATCAACTGAATTTATATATTTTTAAGGGCTTAACGCAGTACCTTTTACGCTAAGCACACGGCTCGGGTATATCACTATCATTTTGATCAGGTAAAGGAGAAAGCATTTGGGATCGTCTCGTCCACGCAACTCCGGAGGCTGTTGCTGACAACTCTACTGGGGACATCGCAGCCGACTCCAACATGCGATGGAAAGATGATATAAGAATAGCCTCCGAATTAGGGCTTCATTTTTACAGGTCAGATAGAAGATATTTTTTTAAGATGAGAAGGAGCTTTGCAAAAACAATATATGCCCAAATTAACTAGGACAAAGTGGCTGGGACAGCGACTTTGTCCGCGAGAGTACTTTTTATTATTAACTCCTCAAGAAATTTGAATGCAATACTGTCCCAAGTTTACGCGAGTAGTACACATTTAAATAAACTTTTATTAGTTAAACTTATTTGAAAATTATCTAACTTATATTTAATACAAAAATTATATTATTCGAAACGTCGGGCCGTAGTAAAAATAGTTTTAAAATAATTTTAACTAATATATATCTCGTTTTAAACAGTAAGTTTTAGTTAAACTTGAATGCAATTCTTTCTAAAAATTTTATCCTGTAGGTTTTCTATAAGCTGGCCCCGCATCTTTCCCACTGGTTTCACGAATAAGATTAACAAAGCTGGTGTAAAATACTACAACGATCTAATTAATGGGTTATTGGAGGCTGGTATAGATCCATTGGTTACCCTGTACCATTGGGACTTACCAGTTAGCATACAGGATCTTGGTAAGTGTTACTTTGTCCCATTATAGAATGGAAAATTATGGAATTAGATCTTAATGCTTTGAAAAAGTATAATATCAATTTAAAATCGGTACAAGATTTCCAGGGATTACTTGAAGTATTAAAAATAGACAATATATTGTTTTTCAATCTTTTGGTACGTCTGTGGTTTACGTGAGTTTATAATGCGAAATCTATTAGTTAACTTATAAGAAAGTATCCAAATAATCGGGCCGTAGTTATAATAAAAGTAAGGTAACTGTTTGAAAACTTTAATATTTTTCACATGAAGGCACTATATAATTTAAATATCGACAATAAATTTAAAAAAATTTCGACTCGGGCAGAACTTGAACCGGCATCGTCAGCGTTCTCGGTAGCTCAATTGGTAGAGCAACAGCACGGAACGCTCACGATGCCAATATGCAATATGCAAGATGCGAAAATTTTTTAAATTAATTTTCGATTTTTAAATTATAACTTAACTGATATATTTCGCGTTGTAAACCGTTAAAAGTATCTTACTTAACATAATCTTCTGATATGCGATCCGTTGATATAATATAACCGAACCAAAATGATACAATCAAGGATTTGTGTATTAATATGGCTCTTAATAAATAACAAACAAATATCGAAAAATCGGGTGAAAAACAAAAAAATATCAAAAGATATCTATATTTCCGAAAAAAAGATCGCACCGACGCAGCGAACTAGCATTTTAATCTGAATTGATATTTTATTAAAATTACAAACTGACTTTACAGGAGGTTGGACGAACCCCCTAATATCCACCTGGTTCGCTGACTATGCTAGGCAAGTCTTCTTTTTATATGGAGATCGCGTGAAACTCTGGATTACAATCAACGAACCAGTTCTAATCTGTGACTTTGGCTATTTCGATGGTGCATTGGCACCTGGAATTAGAGAGAGACAATTCGGTCCACACTTGTGCGCCAAAAATGTCTTGATGGCTCACGCTAAGGCTTACAGAATTTATGATTGGGAATTCAGAAAGTTATATGGAGGTAATACCTATTTTCAAATATATCGAAAAAAATACAAATCTTTACAGTTACAGGCCCTTTTTAGATATTTGAATATTGGACATTACAATGCAAGTAAAGTTAAATACAAGTAGGACAGGCAAGACAATACAATTTAATACCAATACTTTCAGACGAACTCCAACATGTTTGGGAAAAAATATAATTTAATTAAATAGAAGTTGGCTCAAGGGGAACAAATCCAAACTGTTGATTATCAGGCATACATTGCTACCGTTAGACCATAATATACTATAAAAAATGTCTTATATTTGTAATTAATTAAGGTGGAATAGGCCGACAGCGCATCTTGTTCCGTTGTTATATGGCTGGAAGATGAAATACTTCCATCGAGTAAACCCCATGATTAAAAATATTATTTATTACTAACTAATGTCGAAGAAACCTGTTTAAATTATTGCAGGCCGTGTCTCTATTGCTAATCATATAATGTGGTTCGAACCAGAGACGCCTCGTGATAAGGGTATAGCTGATCTCACAATGGACTATGCGGTAAGAGATTCAATGAAATGAGAAAGAGAAATCTAAAAAAAGAGAGATATACAGATCTGTTAGTTTTATCCTTTTATATTTGTTCAATAATGAGTGACGAAAAATAAATACAAACCAAAAAAAATAACGCGACGTTGTAAAAGTAGATTAAAAAATGGTGGAAAAGTGACATAGACAACAATTTTTATTTCGAGTACGAAATCTTTTATTATTCATGAATTGTAAGAAAACTGACTAATTCCAACCTCGTACACTGGCAGATATCTTTCTTTTAAACTCCGATTCCAGAAAAACCGACGGAGATCATATAATATATAGGAAAAATGGGATAAATAATTAATTTAATTATCCCCTTTTTCGTCATCTCAAGAATTGTGATAGCTAGAAAATTGTCATTTTCACAAATTGTGTAAATCTATTGCGGCTATAACAAACCACCAATAATAAAAATATCTTACAATTTATAAGGAGCTTCTTTACACCTAACTCAATTTTTTGAATGAAAAAAAAAGGTTATTAAGTCAAATTTTGGGTACCAAGGAAGCAAGAGCAAGAGTCTAACTTGCACTTCGCCACTTTATACATAATGCTTAAATTTACAGGCAAACCAATTCTATTTACTCTAGTCTAGATTCTAATATAGTATAGGATCTACAATCCAGCTGAGTACCCTAATTGAGCATTCAACATTTCAGGCTGGTCGCTACACCCACCCAATATTCTCAAGTAAAGGTGGATGGCCACCAAGCATTGAGAGATTCATGTGGATAGAAAGTCTTAAAGAAGGATATAATACGTCCAGACTTCCAGAGTTTACTTCAGCTGAGAAGAAGTTTATAAGGGGTTGGTAAGCTTTTCAATCAAGTTAGGGATGTGGATATAATAATGAACTACGAGGAGGTTAAACCTACGTCTCCTGCTGTGGACTTGAATGTTTTTATCTATACTATGTTAATTATTTAAAAATTAAACCTGGGCCCTTGAGTAATCCCTAGGAAACTATATTTGTCAGGGCACAAATTTAAAAAACTACTTAAGTTGTAATCAATATTTGGCATGAAACGGGATTTTAGGATTATATACATAAATGCCTAATGATCACTTAAAATCTTTGTAAAACAGGCACTGCTGATTTCTTCGGCTTAAATTACTACACATCGCGAATAGTAAGACGAGCAAAACCAGGGGAAAACTTAGACGAAACAATTCTCTCTCTCTTGCCTTACAGCGATACATATATTGGTCTACACCCGGATAGTTATTCTAGTGCTGCTCTAATGTTTGTTGTGAGTATGGAGTATATAAAATTCAATTCCGGCTCGAAGGACCAATTGTTAATGAGGCAGTATTTGAAACAATTTTTTGTATATATTATACACTTTTGTCTCAGCAATTTAGAGAGCGTATGTAGTACTCACATACAATACTATACAACAATATAAAAAGAGATATATATTTTTTTATACTTGAGCAACGACAAAAAACGCTTTTGCAGTCAAAACAAATTGTGAAATTATAAATTGTACAAGCCTCGCAGGTCACTAAACATAATATTAGACGTTTCTAATTATTTTTCTCAGATGTATCCTAAAGGCTTGAGACAGACACTATCTTGGATAAAAAGGACTTGTGGAAATCCTTCAATATTGATAACGGAAAATGGTTATCCGACCTCGGGGTTGGAAACCGAAGACTACAATCGGCTGAAAGCGTTGAGAGATCATTTAGAACAGGTCATTTCATTATTTATTTATCAACAGCAACAATATAATATGATATTAAGAATAATCAGTTTGTGCGAGTAGTACACATTTAAATAAAACACTTTCAACGGTTTGAAACGCGAATTATATTACTAAATTTAATTCCCGTCAGATCTTCTGTATGTCATAAATAAGTTAAGTAATATATTTCGCGTTAGACCATCGCGGACATAGTCGTTTATTTATGAGACCGAATAGAGACAAGCAAGCGAGGTACTTGTTAGAAATGAAAAGCCTAGTTCTAAAATACCCTAATATTATCTGTTGTCGACCTATTTCTGATTTTGACATTCAGACTTGTACAAAGGAAAAGCGAAACACGAATTTCAACTTATAGCAACAATAAACTCGTGTTTAGCAGTGCGTTCGCGCATCGATTAGCATTGTATTAAGCTCGTGAGATTCGACGTTCGAATTCCGGGGAAACACTGAATTCTTTTAAAGAAGTCTGATCAACTACTTGTAAATGAATGAATACCGTTTGTAAGTGCGTATTGTTACTTGTTTTTCCCTTTTATTGTGTTTTAGGTTAACCTGTCTATTTACGAAGACGGTGTAAATGTAGTTGGATATACCTTTTGGTCGCTTCTGGACAACTTTGAGTGGCTTTCTGGTTACACGTACGTACTGTTTTGTAAAACTATCTTTTTAACGATAGGGGAGGATAGACATGGGTTTGACTTGACGGAAAGTGAAATATCCCAACTATACAATAAGTTGTCGACCTATTTTAACTTGGATTTTCGGTAATACCACATACGGACTGCCGAAATGCGATAAAACTTTTTTTCATCTGTGGAAGTTGCGGACAGAATTTGAATAATCCTTCCATCCATTCATCACCCAGATGTCCAGACAAAGTCCAATGTTTCAGAAAAAATTTTTAAATTGATGAGAAACCTGTCGGTGCCAGTGGGGATCGAACCTGCGACCTGATGATTAGCCATACATTGCTACCATTACCAATGAGTCCGCCAATGTTAGCAAATGATGTATCAATCATAATGTAATAAATACACTTACTGTGCGTTACAAAAATTTTGCCAGTGAAAGACTAAGCGATTTAATAAGTTTATTAAGGTTTCGTCCTAAATACTGTCTATAGTTTACGCGGGTAGTACACATTTAAATAAAACACTTTAACAGTTTAAAACGCGATATATGTGTTTTATTTAAACGAATATATCGCGTTTTAAACCGTTAAAGTGTTTTATTGAAAAGGTTTCGTCTTAATTTCCCACAAATGAACAAATATACCTAATGAATTTTACAGTGCAAAAATGAACAGGCGGGATTCGAAGCCACGATACTGTACCGTTGCTCCTTTAAATCTTATTGACCGTGAGTTCGAGTCCCACGATCAACAAAATTCGTTAACGTGTTGGTTGGTTTGAATAAGAATTTTTATATTTCATAAATTTTGTAAATTATTAAGGTTTAATTCGTAAACAATAGCACAGCTATTATAGTAGGTATATATTATATAGTTGTTGTTCATCTTTTTCGTTATTTTTTTTTATATTATATAATTAAATGGCGAGTTCGTAAATACTATGATAATATAATACTTATGCAACACTAATTCACGGTGTAAAATGTAGCGAATCCGGTCCCACTTAAGATAATATTTGGAATATTTAGCGCTAATGTTTTAATTATATAGATTAATAAAAAATGGATTAAGGGTTTATGCTTTTTTTAGAGATATACTTTGTTCTTTGTTTTTAAATCAACATTTTGGAGATTCGGGACGTGGGTTCGATCCCAACCGGGTCCAACATGCATTAATTTTACTGAAACAAATTGCACTTCGCCTGAAAACCCTGGATATAATATCGTGAGAGTAATATAGAAATTCCAACCGCGTCCACAGATGGAAAAACGGTGAATCGTGCTGTGTTTTGATTTTAGTCTGTGCACTATCGAATGTCCAAAAGCCACAGGTCGATAGCGCATCTGTTTTGATGTGATAAGGTTATGGTGTTTCATCTTGCTTGAATTTCTCAGGTATCAAAAAAGCGAGAGAGATGGGTTCAAATCCCAGAGAAGTAATAGGTCAGGCAGGGCACAAACGTATGTCTCTTAAACTATCTTCAGTTGTGTTCAATAACATACTATTTAAACCTCATACATTCTTAAATCCGTCCCTAATCTTATAAGGAATTAAATATTCATACAAATATATGCTAGTTATAATTTATATTCTAATCTATATTTACAGCTTACGCTTCGGTCTGTATCAAATCGATTTCCAAGATCCGGAGCTCACGAGGGTACCACGTCTTTCTGCCAAATACTTCGCGTGTGTAATTCAAAACAACTGCGTAGAAATCCCGAATGATTGTTTCAATATGAACCCAACCAAGCGTGTGAAGAGGCAGATTCTATCCAACATAAATAAGATCACCAATCTTCCGAATATTTCCAAACTTCCGAACGCGTCCAATCTACCAAAGATTCCTAAGCTCCCGAGTCCCGAGAAAATTGCAAACAGCGTCGAGTTAATGCAAGAAGTGGTAGAGAACAGAAAATGCATTATAAAAGTCATGGGTATGGCCGCAAAATTTATGAGGCTCATGAACAACGATTAAGTAAATTGTTTGGACAAATCATTAGTTGTGAGTCGAAAAAAAAATTATTATTAATAATAATAATGAAACGAAAATATTTTTTGATTTCTATATAGCTTATGCTATGTACTAGCTGCATGAGTGACTTTGTCCGCTAAGAATATTTATTTGGGCATCCAAATTCGTTTTTGCAAACCCCTTTTTTTAGATCATTTAAAGAAATCATTCTTTCATACATATTTTTGTACCATCTTTGCAATGTACGCCTCGGAAAACCTTAATGATAAATAATTCTCCCAATTTTTTTACACTTCTCGGTGTATCTTCGCTTGTATTGGTCACAAAGCGATGTTCTAAAGCCTTCCTCGATAACCAACACAAAAATATTTTTTTCAATTCGCACCCGTATTTCCTGAGATTAGCGCGTTCAAACAAACAAACTCTTCAGCTTTATATATTAGCAAAGATATTTGAAGGCAGAATACGCGTTTCTAATATACAAACGAAACAGTAAGTAAGTAATTTATATTATAAATTAATGGGGTACGTTACGAATAAATTTAAATTAACATAACGAATTTAATACTGTCTATAGTTTACGCGAGTAGTACACATTTAAATAAAACACTTTAACGGTTTAAAACGCGATATATTAGTTAAACTTATTTGAAAATGATTTTTAACTTCGGCCCGATGTTTCAGATGTTTTGCAGCAGCAGCGGCCACGTGAGAGTGTTTTATTTGAAATATATTACCTTTCCTAAATTTGTTCTAACTACTTTCCTACATATTATTTCTTGCCTTTTTTTTCAAATGCGTATTATTCACGTTAACTACAGACCATACTTAATTTATGCTAAGTTGTTATTTGTGTAACTGATTCTATGAAAGATATAAATTTTCTTTTAAATATTAGTGTAATATGCCCGTTGAATTTTTAATCCTTAAGCAATTATCTTCAAATACAATTAAGTAATTTAGCGGTTAACTCATTTCAATCCGACACTTCTATAGAATTACTGTAAACATTTTATAATGAATGTATTTGCACTAGGAAAATGTTTGCAAATTGCTGTAATTATGTAATATAGGTAATCCAACGCAAACATGATGGTTAAGTAATAAAATAAAATGGCTTAGTAAAAAAATATTAGTTTATTTGACGCTAAATCACAGAGTTCCCCGACAGTTAGCAGCATGTTTTGTTTCGTAGCGCTCGTGTTTTAGTAAGTTTTTGATTGTGATTTTATTTATATTCAAATTTATTTTAACGACATCTCTTGGCGACTTCGTAACTGTCTTTGGGGCTTATAATGCTGGTGTCTGTTTTAATTTGCGCTTTATTTTTTATGAGACTTAATAATCATGATAAATACGTTAAATTTGAAAGATGTTTGTGAGTGTAAAGTGTGTGTGTGAATTTAACATTCCGTCGCTTGTGAGTCGAAATGACTAGACGGTTTTAGTGGAATTTTAAACTAGTTTTTCTAATGATCTGATAAGCGATATTAGGTCGAAACATCGGTTATATGCTATTGTGGCTATGCCCACAAGACCGATTCAATTTTTTCATTTTAGAGGCCATTCAAGCACCACGTTCACTTGATGAAAAGTGGAATACCCCAATATTACAACAAGTTGTTCTGTCGACCCATTTTTAAATTTTTAACTATCTTATATCTTTGAACACTGTCTATAGTTAACGCGAGTAGTACACACTTCAATAAAACACTTTAACGGTTAAACTTATCACGGTATATTATAACTTATCAGCCGTGGTCACGGGGGGACCCGTGCTGCTGCAAAGCAACCGAAACGTCGGGCCGAAGTTTTCGAATACGTTTAACTAATATATCGTGTTTTAAACCGTTAAATCTTTGAACAATCAAAAATCCAGACTGGAACCGAAACGCGATTACGACGTCTTTTCCATCTTTGTGCGGTAGTTCGATAATTTTACCCAACCATCTAATATCCAGATTTCCCAGACACAGTCCAACCTGTGTAGGAAGAAAATCAAATTAATATAAAAATAGAAACACATTTCGCAACCTTTAAACAACAAGGTCGATGTAGGTAGTTTTTTTTTTTGTGTCGTAAATTTTTATTATACCAAAATACATGTGTACCCTGTATACATTGTCTGTAGTTTATACGTTTCACCTTTTAACCGTTTTAAACGCGAAATACCGTTCGCGCTTACACTACTGTAAAGCAGCCGAAACATCGGGCGTAGCTAAATTAAACGTAAGTTTCGCGTTTAAAACCGTTAAAAGTGTTTTATTTAAATGTGTATACTCGCGTTAACTTATTCTATTTATTTATAAGCGTTTTCGTAGACCTGGTCAAATGTTTTTAATATCTAGTTCTGTTGCAAGCAGAATATATACGAAGTAATAAATTTTTGTTTTTATCAACACTCAGGAGAGTCCACACTCAAGAGCCTAGTTATTTCTTTGTTGCTTTTTATCTTAAGATTACGACTGCAATATAATTTAAATTAAAGAGATACCGACTAGATTAAATATGTCTTTATCAATATTGTTAGGTTTAAAGCAATTGTGCGAATTGTTAATATGCATTCTTAAACAACAAACGTAATTAATATTTTTAAACTTTGCCCACTCACTTTTTTTAATTTAACGTTATTTAACAGTTAGGTTAAGTTCACGCGTTACCTTCCACCGTGCACCGGTCGTACTGGAAGTCTATGGGGGAGGCCTATGTCCAGCAGTGGACAATGAACGGCTGAATCGCGTCACCTTATCTGTTGCTAAATGGTTAAATATGTTGCCTAGCAATAAGCGCGAGATGTCCTAGGTTCCAATTCCGGCGACACAATAGATTGTTTCCGTCGGGTAGGGCGAAAGCTTGATCAACTTTTTGCGTGTGAATGAAACCGATCAGCGAAACGAACAGAAATATGTGGGGGGAAACGGGGGGAAAGAGGTTTTTACACGCACAAACTACAACTTGTGTATGATGGGTAAACATTTTTTTTTTTATAAGTGCTATTAAGATATGTCTAAGTATTGATTGTCTTTGGGGGTAGGAAATTCCGCCCGGGTCACAAACCACCACCCACAGATGGAAAAGACGTGAAGTTTAATCGCGTTTCGGTGACAGTCTGTGGAGTTCCGAATATCCAAAGCTTAAATAGGTCGACTGCGTATCGTTTAGTTGTTATTGGACTGTGGTATTTCACCTACCATCAAGTGGTGGATTCTCTCTTCCTGTAACATTGAAAAAAAAACACATTTCAACGATTTAAAACACGAAATATAATATGTTATACGACCCGACATTTGTGACTCAGCAATGTTGTTTGAAAATCTTAGAAGATAATTGTTAGAAACCAAATGTGAGCTCTAGAAATCTAGAAAAGTAGAAAAGTACTTGCATGTGTAGGTATACTAAAGTTCTATATATTCTTTATACTGAAGAAATTTTACGACTATAACCACAAAATGGTGCAGAGTGCTGTTATTGCGTTGTTGTTGGGGTTTATTTGTTATATTATTGCTAGCTGTGCCTGCGACTTTGTCTGTGTGGAATAGTTAATTTGGGCATTATATTATTACATTTTGTAAAAATCCCCCATCTTTATAAGCTATAGCCGTTACCCACTACGTCATCCGTGTCCTGACGTCCTTGCATGTTAATCTTAACAGATAGATATATATACTGTGGCGGACTTTTTTTAAAGAAGAATCATTTTCTCATACATATTTTTTGGTTTCTTAAACCGTTTTTGCAATGCACGCAATATATTCTTAATTTTTCTATATTTCCCTCTGATTCTTCGCTTCTATTAGTCTCAGCCTGATGTTTACACTAAATGCTTTCACGATAAATGTTCTAACCGACACAATTAATTGTTCAACACGAACTAGTTTGTCCCTGAGATAAGCGCATTCAAACGAACAAAGAAATAAAAAAAACACTGTATCTTTATAATATTAGTATAGATAGATAGAAGAAGACAAACAAGACAGCTGACCATTTCAATCATTTCCTCCTTGCAGAAGACTTAAAAAATAGGGTTTACTGGTTGGAGCGAGTACCCCAGCCATATAACTTTTAACATTTGACCATAACCAACCAAAATATTATAAAACCATAACCAATAGAAATAGCGATGCAAATTTCTTAATTTCACAAATTAATGCTGTACACGACATGTCTTTAAATTAAAATCCAAATATTTACACAAATGTTAAGAAAAAACAAACATTACACTAAAAATAAACATATGTGTATGTTTACTAGCTGTCTGGATTTTTTTTGTTTTCGGAGCCAAAATAAATTATATTTCCGAAGAATAAATTTATTTCTGTAGAAATAATAAAGAAATAAAATTGATAAAAACCTATGAATATGAAAACATTTTTAACTGTTTAAAATGTGAAATATATTAGTTAAGATATATTTAATTTAACTAAGGCCCGATGTTTCTGAAGTCCGATTCTTGTTAAATTATATATACTGCCGCGGACATTTTCTAGACAATTTAAATACATATCTTTTAATTTCTTAAATGGTTTTTGTACGCAACGGAAGCTTTCAAAAATAAATAATTTGCTCCGTTTTATATAAACTTTTCACTGTGTCTTCGCTTGTATTGATCGCACCGTAATCTTATAAAGCTTAAAGTATTTCTTGATAAATAGTCCAACCACAGAATCATTTTTCAATGCGAAGTAATAGTTCTTAAAATTAGCACGTTTAAAACGCGACGTATATTAGTTAAACTTATTCGAGTCTCACCGTGACCACGGCTGCTGCAAAGCATCCGAAGTTAAAAATAAATTTCAAATAAGTTTATCTAATATATATCACGTTTTAAACCCTTAAAGTGTTTTATTTAAATGCGCAATTAACTTAAGCGAAAATTAATTTGTACTATTATTTGCATAATAATTATATTAACGATTTTCGGTCACTGGGCATTTGTAGATTAATATTTATAGACTATGAAAATATAAAGAAATCAAGCCATAGTTCGAAGTTGGGCTACTCTGCCTCTGGCGGCGTCAAATAGTAGACGTTTTGTATTTATTCACTTTTGATATTCTTTCTAGTGTAAGCGCAGTCAGTGGATATGTGTTTCCCGATGGATTCAAGTTCGGAGTCGCGACATCCGCTTACCAGATCGAGGGAGGATGGAATGCTTCAGGTATATTTTTCATAAATTATTTAATGTCTACGACTTCGTTTCAACCTCACGCTTCTAAACAAAAACATGTCAAATAAAATACTGTCTGTAGCTTACGCGCTTTATTTTTTATATTTATCTACATTTTACGCTCAATGTCGACAGCATGAGACGTTATGTTCGGTGGTTCGAGTTCCATCCGTGTCAAATATCTTCCAAGTACTCATTAGATAGAGAGACAAGCATGGCGGATGAAATACCACAGCTATTTTGGCTTTGGATATTCGGAAATCCACGGATTAAACCGCAACGCGATTAAACTTCACGGCTTTTATCTATTTCATTATTCCTATCAGCCATTTAGTATCCAGATTTCCAGACATGTTTCTGATAATTTTTAAACTGATTACATACATGTTAGACCCGTTGATTATTTGCCATACTAACTACCAACAGACCGAGAAGCCGGTTAAAAAAACGTATAAATTTACACATTATTTTTAGCTAACATGAAAAATATGATTGATTAGCTAAATGTCAATACACAATGGAAAACAAATATTTGTCATACAAAAGTCGAAGAGTTTGTTTTATTTGTGTAAGCATTAGTCCAATACTTGTTTTAAATATTATTAATGCTCTTATCTCAATATTTATAGGATAGTTATGCATTAATTCGTCGACAGGCGACGGAATTTACCAGATTTTTTTTTTTTTTGTTCTGACAAGCTCATTCGTGTAATGGGAGCAATCTGATAATTAACGGGGCGTGGGTTCGTTTCCCCGCCGGGTTCAACATTTTTCTAATGAATTCATAATTTCTCTCAAACATATTGGATTTCGACTGCAAATTTGGATCTTTAATGGCTGGTAGGAATATCGAAACTCCGTCCGGGTTCTACCGTAAAGTTTCTGATTATACAAAGCGAAAATACTTGCCGACACCGCACCGTGTTTGGATGTTATATGGCTGGGGCAATTTGCCATCTATGCCCTTGCCCATGCTTGTCAATCTCCCTCTATCATAAATAAGAAGAAGAAGAATCGTCGATTGCGTAGTTAAAGTCCATGATCTGTTGATTATAAGCCATGCTCAAGTCCCTGGCTCACAAATTAATTACTAGGAGCTCTAAATTCTGTATGTAGTTTACGCGAGTACTCTTTGACGGTTTACGCGACAGATACACTTATTTGGAAGTTATTTTAACTGCGGCCCGATGTTTCCCGACATGATCACGGCTGCTACAAAGCATCCGAAACGTCGGGTCGTTGTTAAAATTAGTTTAACTAATAGGTATATATCGCGTTTTAAATCGTTAAAGGGTTTTATTTAAATTTTAAATTCTATTTTTTTTTGCTTTCAGGTAAAGGCGTCAGCATATGGGATACATTTACTCATCAGAACCCTCATCTCATAGAAGACGGCAGCAACGCTGATGTTGCCTGCGACTCTTACCACCTCTGGCGGAATGATATTGATCTGGTGGAGGCTTTGGGATCCGATTTTTATAGGTATGGTACCTAAGGGGTCAATTCTAAATTAGGGGACGGACATATGATTATTGCAGCAATATGAGACTAGCTTATTTAAGGAAGCCATGACTATAGCGTAGTGATGTGTACGATAAGCAGACTCTCGCGGGTTCGAATCTCATTTGCGTCTTTTATATTTGTCCTTTTTTAAGAAAATATTACTATAATTGTATTACTTATGATAATGTTAAACTTATGTTGTTTTCTTAAGCTGCAAAGCATAAGACGTTGAACGTTAATATGGAAGAGTTAAGGTTGAATTTGCATTGCGCGAGCGGTGCATGTATAGATTGAAAAATTACGAAGACGTGTAGGCCTCGGTAGCTCAAATGGTTAGAGCAACAGCACGGAACACAGATGATGCCTCCGAGACAGTCCTGTCCGAGTCTTAAATTTTTTCAATTTATTTTTGATTTTTTAATTTAATTTAGTTCTTGTTATAACTTTTGTATAAGAGCATAAATTTTTCAACGATCCAGATTTTCCATTTCTTGGTCCCGGATCCTGCCCACGGGGCTGCCCAACGAAGTTAGCAAGGGCGGTGCGAAGTACTACAGCGACATTATCGATGAACTCCTCAGACGGAACATCCAGCCCATGGTCACGCTCTACCATTACGATTTGCCTCAGAAATTTCAAGATCTCGGTAATTGTTAATTGAAATATTATGGCATTAATTAAATTAAATGCACTAACATTGACCTAAAAAACAAGGATCTTTTGCGAAAAATGCGCAGTGTAAAGATTTAATACTTTTCACATAGCACACGATGGACACGATAGCTACGATAGATCGATTTACATAAAAGACTGTATTATTTGAATTATAATTAAGTTACTACTAGCTAACTACTAACATTTCGACTTTAAACAGTTATAGGAAGCGTTTTTTCAAATGTGTACTACTCGCGTAAACACAAACAGTTATTACTTATGTACTCGTAGTTTACTAATTCACATTTTTTTAAGGTGGCTGGGTGAATCCTCTAATAGCGGACTGGTTCACAGACTATGCTCGCGTAGTTTTCTCTCTGTACGGGGACAGAGTAAAAACGTGGATTACCATAAATGAGCCGCTTATACTCTGTGACTATATTTACATGAGCGGGACGTTAGCGCCTGGAATATATGAACCGACTTTGGCCCCTTTTCTATGCAACAAGAATGTGTTGCTGGCCCATGCTAAGGTCTGGAGGTTGTATGATGAAGAGTATAAGCCGACATATCACGGTAAAGAATATTGATTATTAACTAATCCCTGAAATAAATTTTCTAATATTATGAATCAATGATTATAGCTATTGTGTGGATAACAAATCAACATAATTTGCCTCTGACTTCCCACAGTTAATAAAACCTAGATATCGCAACCTACCCTTCTATATTTTTAATTATTTATAAAAAAAATAATGGCATAAGCAGGGATCGAAGTTTAAATGAACTGAATTTAGGTTTCAAAATGTTACCAGATCAAATAAAATCCCGCTATCTATTTCAAATTTTTATTAATTATATGATAGAAAACAAAGGCGACTTAAAAAAGTTAGTTCGTTTATGTAGTGTTAACAAGTTGGAGACTAGCATTTTTCGAACGTCGACGCCTTATCAGCAATTATGAATAATTCGATTCTTTAATAATAACATTCAACGAAAAAAGAAAATAAATGAAAGATAAGGTATGTCACTTTACTAGTTAACAAAAATATATTTTAAATTTAAAAGTTGTTTTGTAAAAAACAGAAAATTCCATTTCTAAAAATAGTTGTACGGCATATGTGTGCGAAATACTTTTATCAGTATATTGCTTAATATACACGCAAAGTCATGCGTTTGGCGCATGCGTTTTCAAGGTCAAAATATGAACAATAGTATTATTTCACGTTCTAAATGTAGAGAGTTAGAAAGCCAATTAAATATTATAAATTAACTATTAAACATAGGACAAAATTAACATATTAATTATTTTGGTTTGGCATCTGTGAATTTTCTTAGTAAGAGTTGTTTGACTGTGTGCGCTACGAATGAAAATGTATATAGTATAGTTGCAATCTGTAATAATTTTCCGTTTTTATGAATTTTTGAATTGATGTTTTTTCAAAGCTTTACCTAATTCCACTGTAGTGCCGCGGTATCGCCTCAAAAACGACGTCCGTCAATTAATAATTGGGAAAACGATTTTTTTAGATTACTGACTTGAAAACTTCGTAAAGGAAAAAGGAAACGTAACCCACAATATTAAAGATTCTCTGGAGATTTCGGGTACTGAAAAGGGATAATTACGACTCCGTCGAAGTTGGTATTTGGCTTTTTTCAATTTCTTTTTCAATTTGGCTTGGATCAAATGTGAAAACACCGTTAGTCAATTCTGTAAGGGCCCGGCCAGTTTCGCCAAATACCAACTTCGACGGAACTTTTTACTTTCACGTCAGAGACATCTTCTATCTTTAGTCTTCCCGTGACCACGACTGCAAAGCATCCGAAACGACGGGCTGAAGTTAAAAATAATTTTCTAATAAGTTTAACTAATATATCGCGTTTTAAACCGTTAAAGTGTTTTATTTAAATGTACTCGCGTAAACTATAGACAGTATTCAATCGTTATTAAACAAAGTTTGCTGGCGTCGCGTCGGCGTTTGAACCTGACTAGTGTGAAAGGTCTCTAATGCTGTTTCATTCTTTCAATAAAATCTATGAGTAGAATGATGGGTACCCAAATATTAGGTGTAGTAGTAGGTAATATATTTCTAAGTATTAAGTATCTTTGTTGGTTCAAGGACGGGTGTCTCTGGCGAACAATCCTGTGTGGCTTGAAGCTGGTGACGCGAAGTACGAGAATTTAGCGGAGCTTGGAAGAGAATTTGGGGTAAGAACATGAAGTTTTTACTATTGAACACAAAATATGTTGAATTTCTAATATATTTATTTAGTCAAACTACTATACACTGTAAGTAGGTAGTAACATTGTACGTATTACTTTTTCATTGTAAACTACCCAGCAAGCTTACAACAGTGATATATATTCTTTGTAATGATAGAGGATCCTCTAGATAAGCTTGGGGTTCCCTTGTAGATAAAATACCATAACCTATAGCGTCTAAGCAAGGTGCGTTATCTACCTATTTTGGCTTTAAATATATATTTCTAAATCTTACATACAAAAGGGCGTTTTACATACGATTGTTATTAATGTTAATTTATAACTCACAAGTGACATAATTCGAATTAAGAATTCTACTAACAGTTCAATATTAGAAATCTATTAACATTGATTTTTTTAGACACGGGCGGGACATGAACCGACAACCACAGTATTCCGTGCTGCTACTCTAATTGAGCTACCGTGTCATTGCCGGTTCAAGTCCCGCTCGTGTCGAAAATGTTTAATCCTTATATACTTTTAATTTTATGTAACGCCATCACATGTAAAAAATATTAAACATTTTTAATACAGTTTAAGTATGTTTTTTAAGGCAGGTCGTTACTCTCATCCCATTTACTCAAGAACTGGAGGATGGCCACCGTCTGTCGAGAAGTATATGGCTGAACTTAGTAGACGACAAGGCCTTCTACACTCCAGGTTACCGGCATTCACTCAAGAAGAAATAAAACTCATAAGAGGTAACGCTACATAAATTGACATGTATTGAGTAATAGTTGATAGAGTACGCAAGGAACGTACATCACATTAAAAAAATATATGTATACTAATATTACAAAGCTGAAGAGCTTGTTTGTTTGAACGCGCTAATCTCGAAAACTACTGGTTAAGAAGTAAGTTACGAAGTAAGAAATTATTTGTTGTGTCGGTTGCGACAAATAGAAGCGAAGATATAGTGTAAAACGGGAAAATTCTTTATCTTTAACGACAACAACATATGTATGAAATAATAATTCTTTAAATGATCTAATAAAATATTTGCGATAGTCTATAACGCTATATAAATAATTAAAAAATCCAAATAACTATCGAACGAAGTCACGGTCACAGCTAGTATTATCTATATTGTTTGTCAGGTACATACGACTTTTACGCGCTGAACCACTACACTAGTCGAATGATTCGACCTGCAAAGCCTGACGAGAAACCTGGTGCCTGGATCTTCTTTGGTTCCGTAGACCTAAATGCTATACTGTTCACACCCGATTCTTGGCCACACACAGCGGCTGCAGCTGTTGTTGTAAGATTCAAACATTCTTGAATATTTATAGTTTTGTTTGAATACCTATTCTTTATGATAGAGAAGGACAGACATACATGAAGTTCACTTGACGGGAGGGTCAATAGCCATATAAGGGCTGTCGACCTCTTTTGGCTTTGGATATTCAGAAATTTACAGACATGGCTATGGAAAATCGATTATAAAAGCGGTATTATACCGTTGCTCTTTTAAGTAAACCATCTCCTCAGTTATAAAAAAAAATTTGCTAAGTTGTTTTTAATTTAACCGGTTTAAATACGTAGAAATAATTATACTCATAAAATAAATTCAATAAGATAAACATGTGTCTAAAATATTGAGTATGTTCATGATAAAATTACTGTCTATAGTTTACGCGAGTAGTACGCATTTAAATAAAACACTTTAACGATTTAAAACGCGATGTATATTAGTTAAATTTGGAAATTATTTTAACTTTAAGAGCGCTTAAATTTTTAATGTCTCCTTTCTTTTTGTCCGTGTCCTATACCTATATATAATCGTTCTCAGATGTACCCTCAAGGAATACGACGCCAGATGGCGTGGTTGCAACAAAAATATGGCAATTTAAGCTTTTTGATCACTGAAAACGGTTGCGCCAGCAACACTAAGGGTGAACACGACGACGATCGTATAGAATTTCTTGACGCCTACCTTAAAGAGGTAAGCAATTGTTGCGTCTGCTACAAAATGCCAACTTTTGACAGGCGTATGAAATTAGTAAATAACTTCCATGCTAAATATACTTTAACTTAGTCATATATAGGCAAACAGTACATTGCATCGTAGAAGCATATTCAATTGTTATAATTCGAAACATAACATTCCTTTAATCGTAAAAGAAATATTAATCTTATTTTTATCAAGAATAAACTTTTCAATGCAAGCTTCACAGCAATTTATACATTGCGCAATTAAATAATGTTTTTTATTTATGTTGATTTTTTTTTCTTAGATTGCTAAAGCAATAGAAGAGGGCATTAACGTAGAAGGTTACACGGCGTGGTCGCTCATGGATAATTTCGAATGGCTGAGTGGTTATAGGTGTGTCAAATTATTCATTGAATTAATATTTGGTAATATACTAACTGGTATAACTTATCTGTATTTTACAGAGCTATATCTAGTATACAATCGTGTATATTGTTGTAAATATAGATTTTGTAGTTAGAGGTTCGATTTCCGTCGCATCAAAATTGTTTCTGTTTACTTTTGTTTGTGCTTAAATCTACCGAATTAAAACGACGAAAGATAATAACCTGTTTCCGTGTTTGTTTTACTGATCGATCAGAATTGTTTATCAAACAAAAATATATATGAACTTACGACCTCTATTTTTAAGTGACGTTTTCCTAACAGCAGAAGCTAAAAAAACTAATAATGTTTCTTTTTTCAGTGTTAGCTACGGACTTTATAAAGTGGACTTCAAAGATCCACAACGCTTGCGCACCCCACGCGCCTCAGCACATTATTACGCTGACGTCATCAAATCCAGACGGCTCGATACGACGAATATAAATAAGAATAAATATACAAATCTAACCATACGTGTGACCTACAACATTTTCATGATTGTTGTGACAATAGTGAGCTTAGGTTTAAGCAGATAAATTATATTTGAAACATTTGATATATTTTTTAAATAAACGGATGTGCATTTTGTACGAAAACAGTACTTTTCCTTTTCATTTTTTACTACAAATATAAGAATTAGCTGAAAAGACTTGTTACCAGGCCATCAAATCTTCCTTAAAAAAAGTAAACTTCAACCTCAAACTCATAACTGACAGCTGACAGCGAAAGACACTGACGTTGAATGAGTGACCGCCTCAAATACTGGCGCCAAATAAGTTTTATAAAATTATCAATATTGACTGTACAAGTTATATTTAGTGTAATAACATAAATGATGATGCAATCGCTTTGAACCGTTTGTAATAATTTATTGGATTATTGAAGTTAAAGCGTGCATTAAAGTCAAAAAACAAATCAAGCAAAGTTAACTTAAAATGTTTGTGAAAAAGTTCAAAACAAATAAAGGTATGACAAGATTATTGTTTATATTTTGTTTTTCCTGTAAAGTTAAGATAAAAAACGAAGATAAGGTTTATGTTTTTTGTTTATGTGTAGTAATCTGAGTACTCAAATGAGTCATCTTTTTATAAACTGCACAGTATTAAATTATTGCGAAAATCTTGATGTTATCAGGATATTATTTTCCATTATTTCCATTTACTTGTAAAGAATGAAATTTTGCACTTAGATGCAACCTGCAAATTGCAACCTACTAAGTCATATAATAGCTGTTGTTTAAATATATTAATGTTTTATACCTTATATTACAGTGAAAAAAAATCCTGCATCACAATCCAAAGAACAAGACTTCATTGTGCAGCAAATGGAAGACTATGGTTCAGATGAGAATAAACTAGATGTAGGCACAATTTGTAAAAAGCTAAAAGGTGCCATAAAAGAAGAATCTATTAAAGAATATAAAAATTTTCTTCACTTGCTACAATTGGTAGAAGATAAAACGTCGATTAGAGAATATATATGCGAACATGATATTGATTTGTTATGTTTGATAAGCAGAGGCTCAAATATGGAAATGCTTGAATATCTAATTGAACAAACAGAACTATTGCCTTACCTTTTTACGCACCCTGATGAGGTCAAAAGACATTCTAGTATCAAAATGACGTGCTTCAATTGTATGTGCAATGGTAATATTGGAATGTTGGAAAAACTGTATGACCTGTGGGTGGGGAACCTACATTGGGTTATAAATAAGGCTAATGAAGTTGATCTTGAAAATTTAAAGTTCCTCGGGGAAGTAATTAATGCAGCATATATTGAATATAAGGAGTATGTGAACAAAGAACGGTTTGAGTTTGACCCAAACATTTTTGTTGGCAGCCTTTGCGTTATTACCTTCAATGAATTTCAAATTGAATTGTATAAAAATTTTATCAAGGAAAAGACTGATTTTAAAAATTTACAGAAGGATATGGTATCAACTCCTGACTCAAGTAGCAGACTTAGAGAGATAGAAATTATTATACAGTTTATTGAGAGTTGTGTTGATCTGCATAGTAAATATTGTCATAAAACCCTTAATAAAAGATTTCCAGAACTCTCTATACTTGACCAAAATGATTACACTGTATATAGGACAGCTCAAAAATTCTTTATGTTCAGAAATCTGTTCTGGAAGACAGATTATAATGTGTCCTTGCTCATTTTAGACAATTTGTACCTCTTGAAGGAGAGGCTGAAGTTGTCAGGGAAAATTTATCAAGAATTAGAATCAAAACTCTATTATTTTATATACAATTGTAAAAGTAAATGGTCTTTTTTTCTGTCGCATACTGAAGTAGCTGAAGTAGGAGAGATAGTAGCTGAAAATAATGGCATTTTACATGTTTTAAACACTTCTTTTGATTTCGATATGGGCGCACTGTGGACTTTTCTTATTCTTTATTTGGAAAGGGAAAGATTTCTAAAAATTCTCAGCAGCTTTAAAGAACAGATTAGAAAGGAGTTCCAGGAAAAAAATGTGAGATTGAATAGAACAGAAATGACACACGATGAACAACAGTCATTGCTGCCTTATCCCGAGTTGCGCGACGATTTTTCTTTGAGAAAAATTTATCAATGTCTTCAAGAACTGCCGCAAGCGAAGGAAACAAAAGTAAATCCTGAACGATCTTTTTTGATTATTGAAAGAATTTTACAAGTCGTCGGGGAATTTATCAAAAGTTCAAAAGAAAGTCAGCATCTAGAGGATACAACTCAAGCTTTAATACTATCGGAAATACCTATTGATTTACTGAAATCCCTTAAACTGATCAGACTTTACTTAAGCAAATCTGATAGTTGCCAGGTTTTATGGAGGATGGAGGTTTTGAAACACGGGGCTCACATATTTGAAAAGGTCCTGCTAGATCTGCTACAATTTAAAGATGTTATTAAGAGAGTTATAAACATTAACAGGTATCTTGTTAATCGATCTCTTATCAATTGTTGCTATGACGTGATTCATGATAGAAAAGAGAAAATCAAAGCGGATATTGCGCATCTAATGGATAACATAACATTCGATGTTTGTGCGTTGGGTATCGGTGAAGTGTTACGAGCGCCGACCGAATTTGATGGGAATATTTTTCTCCAGATTATGTATAAATCACATTGGAAACCCAAAGGCGTTAGCCAAGATCTCATGATGGAAGTCGCTCAAATCAGATATGATCAGACGATGCTTTTGAAGAAGAAACATCACGAAATGCAGCGCATTCAAAAATTTATCAAAAGTAATTATTCCCATTACAAAAGGAAAATTAAGTCACTCGTTGAGGGAATAGAAGCTCATAAAACCAGGTGGGCCATCCTAAAGAATGAATATTTAAAGTACAACAATACTATAGTATTGCCCGATTTTCCCAGTGAGGATGGCATTAATATTGTACAGACAAATTTGAAGTTTGTAAACGACAACGACAAATTAAAACATTTGTCTGACTTGTTAAGTAGTATAGTTGACATTAATCCACTATGGGAAGTGATTGTAAAGCTTTTGAATTTTTTAACTGTGAAAAGTAAGGTGTTTGATGACGTGTTAGCTGAATTAAAAATGAGCATGATAAGTGGAGCTTATAAGCAACTATGTCGTCACGGATATGAGAGTGATTCTATCTCGGATGATGTTAACCATTTGTTTGCCGTATTAGAAAATACACAGTTGGTGGAAATTAAACCTTTAGTATATGATGAATACAAATATGAAGGAATTAAGGAATTGGAAAAGATTCTATTTACAAAGAGTTTTATAACTGGAGATGAAATGGATTACATCATAAAAAATATACCTGATAGCATGAGTCACAAAGTACCAAAAAGTTTTCTTACCTCGAATTTGCTTTTAAGAATGGATAATCATATTAAAGCGTTGATAGATATAGGACCTTTTGATAAAATATCAGAAAACATAATTCAAAGTATAAATGTAAAGAATAGAAATCCCGATTTACTAAAATGTTATACAAAGAGGTTAGAATCACTTTCGAGTCTCTTGAATGGCCAACCGAAAAATTTGTTAATACTGAGATATAAACTTATCGGACAGTTTAGAATTTTCTTACAAATGCTTTTGATAGATTTATTTAACATAATGAATATGTGCAATATGGACGAAAGTTTGAAGAAAGGTGGTAAATCCATGGCAGAAATCAATTTACGACACGTTCTAACACACGGCAACCCTCTATTGGAAATCGTCGCCGATTTCCTCGACGCCAATGACATTCCAGAAGAAATAATCGGAAAGGCGTTAAAATACTCTAGGGATTTGAAAGCGGTGCAGACCCTGTGTGAGTTAAAACAATCGGAATTCGACTTCGATGATATTCATCATAGTCTTGACAGTTTCAGCGATGATATTGTAAAGAAACGAATTAAAACATTGAGAGAGACAGACGAGTGGGAGCGATATTTATTACTTCTGCCTGATGACAAAATTCAAAAGAAGAGACATAAGACAAAGAAAAAAAATAAACCAAAGCAAGTGAAACAGGAAACGGAATTAATTAAGGCGGTAAAAGAAAAAGAAACAATTGAAAAAATTTTAGAACTAGTCAAAGGCAGCAACATAAACGCTGCTGACAAACTTGGTAAAGCTGCGATTCATTATGCGGCGATACAGGGAGATGTTAAGATTCTCCAAGTATTACAAGAAAATGGTGCTGATATTAATTTATCAAATGAAAAAGATAACGATTTTACAGCGCTGCATTATGCAGCAAGAAAAAGCTTTATTGGTGCTATAGATTATCTATTAGCGTCTAACGCTGCAATTAAGAAGGATAAAAACGGTTATACTTATATAGACATCATAAATAGTCAAAGGGCCAAATCGGAGATGAGACAAAGAGACTCCACCAAGTAAGGAAAGTGAGTGATCACTCGTGTGTACTCAACACGCGGACTATTAGGCCGATAGGTAGGTGCCCCAAAAAAAGCACGGCCCTTTTTCACAAGTCACAGAGTCAAACCAAAGATAGATAATATTTCAATACCTTGAAGTAATTTTTTAATTTGTATTTTCAAAATTTTATTGAATTTAGGAACATTGTAATTTAATATTTTTATAACCATGAAACACATAGACTTCAGCTAAAATAATTATTTAATTAGACCAGAGAGAAAGGCTATTTAAAGTGTTACTCAACATTTTAGATTGAGATTTTAGGCTTACGCGGAAGTGCGATTACACAAGAAATTTTGTATGACATTTTTATTCTTTTATCTCTTAGAATTTATGATGCATACCATATATTACTATATACTTACAACATGTTACATAGTTCTTAGAAATTTTTTATACAATTTATATCAACTATAACCAATAAATATATACACAAACCAACATTTTAATTTTATTGTCTTTATAGCCGTAGTCTAATGCTTAAAAGGTGTTTTATATTTGCATTGCAAAAACCACGAGAGGTCCTGTGTTCGAATTTCGGGAGAATAATACAAGTTTTGTTGTTATGGAACGAAAGTTTGATGAATCAAACGCCCGGTTAGTATTCGTGGTTCCGGCGGGACAATACGAAATGGTCATAAAAAACAAAAATTATTTGATAAAATTTTATTTACACACAGCCAGCCCACATGCATCACACGCATCACAGCACATTTTACGATGTTCAAATTTTATTAACGATTACACCTCTTAACGATGGCGTTCTCACTAACGAAACTTTCGTAATCAGTAATTTGTTTGCTTGTATATTCTGTGAAGCTTTATTTTTTATACAAATAATTAATTCTGAATTATAGCAAAGCGTATATATTTTTATTATGGATACTTTGTCTTATCCCAGGAACACACTCATCTAAGATCTTCAATTAATAATGTATAAAAGTAATGCAACAGCTTACTTTATTCGTTGACTCTATAAAGATCCTTATATTCCTATCAAAACCTTGACCAATTCCAATCTAGCGTAGTCAGTCGTGAGCATCATAATTGGTAGTCTGCTTTATAAAAGTTACATCGCGGCCGCGAATTATTGGTAGAAGTAGCATGCTGTAAATTCAATGAGTTACCTTTTTGCTGACTATGTGCGATGCTCAGGCTCACCTCTAGCGGAAGATGAATGGGGTCCACCAGCACAGCGCTCGGTCGCCTTACTAATTCATAACCAACGGGTATAATTTTGCTATCCATAATGAAAACATAACATCCCCTTTCCAGGATAGACACCAAGTTCGACGTTTTTAGAGGAACTATTTAACTTTGTCCGACGATCTCATTCTGGTAGTTAGTTATTTTTTATGTGCATGTGTGTACATCTGTATAAATGTGTAGTTTTATTCTTTCTATTTGGGCTTTATAAGCCAACACCATTGGCTAAATTAAAAATTAATTGGACATATTTCATTGTTACTTATAACTGGCGCAAAATGTTTTAGACTTTGGCACTGACAGGCCTTGTAAAAAGTAATAATCCATTTGCTGTGACCGTAGTGCTTGACGACGTTGGTTTCGTGGCCACACATCCCAGTGACGCCGCGGTTGCTTTATTTATCCTCTGCGAACTACCCTACATTAACATTTTTACTGCATATACAGTTACTCTCCTTATAGAGAAGATGATTTGTCTTCTTGTGAATTTTTTTATGACCTACCCTCAAATGCTTTCGCCTTTTGTTGTTGCACATAATTCCTTTTGGTCCTTATTCACTTTTGTTTGCATATCATAAAATCACTATCGGCAGATGGGTCATGTGATGTTCTTCTGCCAGTTCCACGTCTAGTATTTACATTGTAAGTAAAGGTATTATCTGGTCTCCTGTCAGCAATCACTTCACAAACACATACCATGGCAAGTTTTTAGACATAATACATAACATATTTTCTTACAAATTCTTTATTTATTATTTTAATTAGCTCCACAGTAGAACTAGGATTTCTCGTTACATGTTTTTAGGGGGTGAATTTATTGTCAAGCATGAATATGTGGCAAAAATGGATTCAATGAAACAAATATTACAGTTCATCACTTATGTATTTATGTTTAATATCGAAGTCTCTAGACTTTATGACGTCAGCGTAGTATAGGCCGGATGCGCGTAGTTTGCGCTTTTTGGAAGGATCGTTATAGTCCACCTTGTAAAGGCCGAATTTCACGCTGAAAACAGGAAAGATATTATGCCTGGAATCTCAGTTTGAAATATGCCCAGGTATCGAATTCAGGGGAAAATTATGAATGAGGTGCCAATAAAATACTATCTGTAGATTACGCGAGTAGTGAACATTTAAATAAAACACTTTAACCGTTTAAAACACGCCGATAAGTCGTTTCTTCTTTTTCGTATATTTTTATCTTGGATCCTATTTCGTCTATTTTGTTAGATGAGAACAAACAATCATAAAATTTGCTTGATAGAACTTAAAACACAAGCGCTATAACATGTGAAGAAGATATATTTTGGACATTCGGAAATCCACTGAAAAAGAAATGTGAATTTTCCCGGGGTCTTAAAATATCTTGACAGTTATATTACAAACTAGCTGTGCCAGCGACTTCGTCCGCGAGAATCGTTATTTTCGGCATCCAAATTAGTTTATGCAAACCCCGTCATCTTTATAAACTTTAGTTGTTAGCCACGACCCTTCTCGTCGTTCTTGCAAGTTAATCGTAAAAGATGGACATACAGCGTTTTTAGATCATTTAAAAAGGAATTAATATTCTTTCATACACATCTGAAAGCCACAGAATTGAAAATTTTCCCCCGTTTGGTTTCTGAGATTAACGCGTTCAAACAAACAAACGAACAAACAAACTCTTCAGCTTTATATATTAGTATAGAAGTATAGATTAAAAACAAAAAGGGACCCGGCGGGAATCAAACCCACAACTCGTTGGCTTATGCATTTTAATGAAGCTTCTAACGTCTATATTTGGCCTAGTATAGTATGGAGATCGCGCACACGCTCTATATCATTTCTATGTATCAGGCGAAGCGTTATAATAATTCTTGTAACATCTATCTTCAGTGCCTATTTTACGCTAGGGTTTGGAGACGTCAAAAGTACTTACGTATACCCGGCTTCCCACTCAAAAGTATCTATAAGGCTCCAGGCTATATACCCTGTAACCCGAATACCCTCTTGTATTGCTAGATGCACCTGAAAACAAACAACAAGTAGTATCTATTATTCACGCGAGTGAAAACTATATTAAATAGATTGAAATACAATAAATAAGGTAACAGTGTGGTCTATATTTTACGCGATTTATTAGATTAAAATAAAATAATTTTAACGGTTTCAAATGCGAAATGTATTTAGTTAAATTTCTTTCGGATGTTTTGCAGCAGCTATGGTCTAGAGGGGACTGAAGTTGGACGGTGTCTCTAAAGTCAAAGTCAAATCAGCAACGCTAGCGCCATCTGTTTCATCGTTGCTGAACAACTAAGAACTAACTTCGGTGCCATCTCGTTTCTCAGTGTTTTTTGGGATCTAGCTATATTACGGTAATAGTCCATTGGATCCTTTCAGGCACTTAGCTTTTTTAGCACTTAACGTAGTATACATTGTGACTATTCAAAAATTCTCACATTGCCTAAGGTAATCTACATCTGCCGTAGGTTCGATGTCCAGCTATCTAATTATTGTTTCAATACCTGTTCCAAGTGCTCCTTGTGATACCGTATCCTCTTGTGGTCAGGTTCCTTCCCTGAATCCCCGTATCCGACCTCTGTGATTATGATTTCGATATCACCAAACTCCTTTTTTATCCACTCCATAATATGACGTAGCCCCTTGGGGTATTCCTGTTAACGATTATGACAAAATAATGAATGTAAACTTACAGTTTGATTTGATTGGACTGGAGAATTATAACACACTGATTGGCCACTTTATAATATCAATTTTATCCATCTTTATATCCGAAGTCAAAGTAAATTTACAAATCTACAAGATCTGAATGTTAAATTAGTGGTAAGAATCAAAATATTGTCCCGGCGTGTCGGTAAGAATATTTATTGAGAAAAGCTATAAAACATCACGCTGTGTATTATAATGGGAGAGAGAGCGGGAAATGTGGAAAAAAAACTGGGAAAATGATTCACCTTTGTGGGTTTCCGTTGCATACGTAGCGAAAACAGTTCAAGACTCCCAAAAAATATGTATGAAAGAATGTATATAAAAAAATATATGTAAAAAAATGTCTGCAACACTATAACTATCTTTTAAAATTAACTTGCAAGAACGACGGGACGCAGACGACGTCGTAGGTAACAGTTATAATTTATAAAGATGTGAACGGAGTTTGAAACAAATTCTGATGCCCGAAATAACTATTCTACGCGTACGAAGTTGCTGACACACCTAGTAATTTTAAATAACATTTTTGTATCTACTCGCCAGAGAGACACATTGAATAAATATTTTGTCTGATGTATTGTTTGATTTGTACACGTTATATTTTGTCCAATTATGTCACCAACTACCAAAATACAGAACCTTCGAGCAAGCGAAGCACAGGGGCCTGTGGCCAGAGTTAGTACGCATACAGCCTTACAATTAAATTGTTCAAAATCACATAGAAGGTATACCCACATAAAGCCAAGGTACATTGTCAGAAACTCTCCAAGAGGCATCTGGGACCAGGGCGGCTCCTAGATCTGGGCTCCCTCTAAAAGGCCAATAGGTCTTTTCCCCGTCGAACGTCGGTCTTACTAAACGACTCGTGTAGTAGTTCAGACCGAAATAGTCATACGTGCCTGAAATCGTATAAAGAAGACCATACATATTGTAACCATTATTACCATACAGTAGAAGGCTGGCAGGAGTAGGTATTAGAATATTAACATATATTTTGAATGAAATATTTATGTTAAAGCAGTGGTATTTAGTAACATATTCATTTATTGCACTATTTATTGTACACAAACATAACAATTTGTATAACATTCAGATCAGAAGAGACTTTAAGAGTTTAAAACACGATATATATTAGTTAAATTTATTTGGATATTATTAATTAACTACGGCCCGACGACAGACTAATGATCGAGGGCGTCTCTAATGTCAAAGTAAAACTACCACGCTAGTGCCATCTGTTATATCGTAGTTGGTATTTGGCGAAACTGGCCGGGTCCTTGCAGAATTGACTACCTCGTCTCTTTAGAGCGAATGTAGTGACTGGGCCCGTTGCCCCAGATCGCTCCGACCAAGCAAAAATCCTCACGAAGGAGAGTCCATTTTTCCCAAGATTGGTACGCGAAGCAATCCAAATTAAGAAACACAAATATTTCAATAGGGAGAACAGCCTCAAATTATCAAAAATCAGGGATCCCACAGTAGAAACTCTGGATTTCAAAAAACAGCATACCGGCAACCGCGAAGATACTAGTCAATTCTGTAAGGACTCGGGGCGCTTCAGCATTTCGAATGCTTTGTAGCAGCCGTGATCACGGAGGGACTGAAGATGGAGGGTGTAATGCCAAATCTCTTACGCTACCTGTTTAGTTGTACTTCGTATTTGTAATAACTTAACTAATACATTACCTACACGTTTTACATGTTTAAGTGTTTTATTAAAACGTAAACTACAGACAATACTATTTTTTACCTTTAACAAACTCCCTCTCTTCGTCTGTAAATGGTGGTAATCTGGAAGAGCTGTAACCTTCTTTTTTACTTAGTTCCACGAAGATTTCTTCTATTTCCACTGGCCAGCCACCTCTTTTAGAGAAGATGGGGTATATGTACATAACCTAAAGAAGAAATTATAATTAAAATGCATAAAACTGGGCTCGTTGGTCTATTAGCAGCGATGTATGTTTGGCTAATAATCAGGGGGTTGTGGATTCGATCCCCACGGGTCAAAAAAAATTTATAATTTCTCTGAAAAAAATCTGAATATTAAATTTGCGGTAGAAATCAAATTTTCAGTCCGGGCGAAATACACATGAAAAAGGAATGAAGTTTAATCGCGTCACGGTTTCAGTTTGAGGATTTCCTAAAATATTATTATATTTAATATATAAGGTACAGTCTAGATATTAAGAACTAATTTGTTTATATCATCTCAAACTTATTATCTTACGTTTAATTTAAACGCGAGCTCCGTTAATTGCTGTACCTCGTCATTTATTCCCTCCATCCAGAATATTTGGCTAGCCAAACTGACTTTCCCTGAAAAACGTTTTTGGTTTATTGAAGAAAGTGATACCGATCAACACTAAGCATTTATGTAAACGATTTTTGAATACATATTTAAGTTAGAACGGATAATACGACTCCAACGAAGAATAACATGGTTCTAAAATCAAGGAATCTTTTAGCGGGCTTTTTGGTCTAATGGTAGCCTCGTCTGGTAGGCCGTCTGATCGATTTCAACCAAGTATAATTCAAAAATTAATATAAATTTGTCTGTTATTTGTTAGACTTCTCGAAAAATTTGGTGGTAAGATCACTCTGTCCAGGCCATGAAATACCGTTTACATGTGGCTAAGGGATTTCATCGTCCATCGAGCAACCTACGCTTGTCTATCACAAAAACACTTACCATGATATTTCGGCTTATACAGCTCATCGTAGATCCTCCAAGCGTGCGCATGAGCCATAATTGTGTTCTTGGCGCAAAGGAACGCGCCATAATTCGGGTCCCTCACCCCCGGGGCCATTGCAGTATGCTCGCTGTACGCAGCCGCGCACATAATCAACGGTTCGTTAATAGTCAGCCAGATTTTCACTCGGTCCGCGAATAACGAGAATAAAACACGCGCGTAGTCCGCGAACCACGTTCTAATTAGTTCGTTTGTCCATCCGCCTGAAATTTTATAAGAACTAGCTGTGTCAGCGACTTTGTCTGCGTAGTTTCAAACCTCCTGTTCAAGGACAATGGCCAAATCGTACCTGACAGCGACCATATTATATGTGTTATATAAAAAAATCCCTTATATTTTTAGAGTAGAAAATTTTAATAATGACTTATAATGAAGCTAGAAAAACAAAGATATTTTTCTTCCAAATAGGATATTTTTTAAACTCAGGAGTTGACTAGCTGTGGCAGCGACTTCGTGGGCGTAGAATAGTTATTTTGGACATGAATTATTTTTTTACAAACCTCCTAATCTTTATAAATTCTAGATATTCAATGTTACCCTCGACGTCTTACTCAATAAATGCTCTAACCAACATACAAAGAAATTTTCGATTAGAACCAGTAGTTTCTGAGATTAGCGCGTTTAAACATAAAAAAAAACTCTTCAGCTCTTTGAATATACAAAGACAAATAAGGTCAAACAAATATTAGCATCGCTGTTTAAATAAATTGTCTGGTTGAGGTATACAATCCATCAAGTGAAGTCTTTTGTCTATTCTCTACTACCATAAAAAATCGACTGAAATTTTTATTCGATAAAACAGGGGAAAACCACAGGCATATGATGTAATTAAACCAAAATATGTACAAAACAAGGATAATTTACAAGAAACCGGAGATGTTACGAGACTATGATTATTTGAATTGCGCTTGCGCATAAAAATATAGCACTCACCGAGATCCTGTAAGCTTTGCGGCAGCTCCCAATGGTAGATCGTGACAACGGGTTCGATTCCTTTTTCGAGCAGACCATTGATGAGATCATTGTAATATCGCACTCCATCGTCGCTTATTTTATTGGGAAATCCTGTTGGAAGAATTCTCGTCCAAGATATTGAAAATCTGTAAAAAATGGTTAATTCTTGATATGTAATAATATGTTTAATTTTATTTTTGGCATGTTTATGCTGGATTATATTGTTTTACACAAGCAGCACGGAACGCTGTGGAAGCGGGTTCAGTCCCGCCCTTATCGGAAATTTATTTTCAATCTGAATACATTTTTATTCATATAATGCCATCATGTGCAACTTGTGAAAAATATTAAAGTTTTCATAACGTGTGTTTTTCAGCCGTTTCAGCGTGAAAGATGACTGAATGTGAATACATTCTTTCAGACTCGTATCTATAAGTAAGATAATAATATGGTAGTGGCCTAATGACAAAAAACATTATTTTCAATATGGATAAAAATTAAAATGCGCAATTAACTTAGGCGAAAATGAAATTATTATTATTTGTGTAAAAATTTTGGGTCAATATGCTATTGCAGATTAACATTTTTAGACTATGAAAATATAAATAACTCAAGTCTTAAAATTGCAGTTAGGCTACTCTGGCTCATCTAACCTGTAATAATCAAGCCCCAAATCTGCTGCCGCCTGTATATCATCTCGCCACTGGTAATAAGAATTCGCTCCTTCATCAGCGTTCACATTCGAGCACTTGTTCCCCGATGAATGACAGTACGTATCCCAAATGTGCTGAGTTTTATCTGAAAATGTCGAGTTTATGATAAACTTAATTATACAAGGCTTTACAATATACATAATATTATGTCCTTAGTATGTTTAGGTAAATATTTAACGTGACCATTTCAGATGATCACCTCTTTTACAGTAGAAAATTATATAGCAGGTAAATTAAGTTGTTCTGTTAAATGTCTAGAAATGCAAAAAGTCTAGCTTCTAGTAACTACACCTAGGACATTAAGGTTATATTTCAAGTTTTTAAAAATTAGTTAAGTATTATATTATGTAGTCTACGCGAAGTTCACAATTACATAAACCACTAATAACTGTTTCCTTATTTATTTTAACTAAGTACGATTAAAAACTTTATTATTTTACATGTTATTGCACATGAAGGCACTATATAATTTTGATGGGCTTGTTTAGTGGTAGCAACGTGTTACTAAGAATAATTTAATTCATGATTTTTGAAATTATGTTGGACTCCGTCTGGAAATCTGGATACCTATAGGTGTGTTCGCGTTTCGCTTCCAGTCTGTGGATTTCAGTGATCAAAGGAAGACCTCTTAAAATATTAGTTCTATAAAGTTTTAAGAGTTGAGATAGATTTGGATTAACTTATTGTTAAACAGAGTCCGACGTTTCGGATTCTTTTACCAAATATCCGACAACATCGACCACGTCCCGTCGTTCTTGTAAGTTATTTTTAAAAGAGAGAAATATACTCGTATGTCTCGTACATTTTTTTCAGATTAATTTTGGAACGTACGGATTGGAAGCGCTCTAAAAATAATAACATTTCCCGCTGTTTTTTCGCTTCTATTGATCACATCGCGTTATGTTATAGCCCCTACGTTAAATGCTCTAACCAACACAAAAATAATTGTTAAATTCGAACTAGTAGTTCCTGAGATTAGCGCGTTCAAACATACAAACTTTTCAGCTTTATATATTAGCATAGATAAGAGAATAATTTTGGTATACGCAGTATGCTTGTTGCTTCATAGGCGTCTTTGAGTCCTTTAGCTCGATTTAGCAGCTTATCACATGTGGTGATATAATAAATTAACATAACTATAAATAACCTGGTAATGAGGTGGCATTTCACTCTGACTAAATGACAATTTTATATTAATTAGAAGGTAAATGACTGATAACATAAAAGTATTAATTACAAGTGCTTCTCTGTCTGTTTTAAAGGCACTTATTATATACCTATGTGAATTGCTGGGTTCCGAAGTGAGTGGCACTACGGCCTATGTGAGTGGCAGTGGTATCCGGGAGACACATGTTTATTTCGTCGAAACACGAAACCAAGCCCACTTCTTGTTAAATTAAAAATCGATCTTAGATTAAAAAAAATATTAAGACACAGGCAAGACTTGAATCGGCATCCATAGGGTTCCGTGTGTTTTTTCACTTTACTTTCACTATACATGCTAAATTGTGCTATCAGGTTACCAGAAACCAATATCATACACGTGTATTTAAATAAAACACTTTAACGGTTTAAAACGCGATATATTAGTTAAACTTATTTGAAAATGATTTTTAACTTCAGCCCGACGTTTCGGATGCTTTGTAGCAGCCGTGGTCACGGGGAGACACGGCCGTTAAAGTGTTTTATTTAAATGTGTACTACTCGCGTAAACTATAGACAGTATACACGTGTATATTACATTAATGCATGTTTTTGCAGCTCAAAGTAACCAACAGACCTGGAACTACTAAAATCATGTAATTCCTGGAAAAATAGATTCGCTGGTGTAATTTTGTTTCAGTCTGTGGATTTCCCAATATCCAAAACCAAATTAGGTCGAGCATATTACCTGGATGTTATAAGGCTGGGGTATTATACCTATCGTCAGCTGAACGCCATGCTTATCCTCCTCCTCCTCTCTCTCTCCTCTATCATGTGAACAAAACTTGCCCGGGTTCGTAAGACTAGGACAAGAATATAGACTAGGATAATACTACAGAATACTTACCACTGACATTCCAAGCTCCCTCAATTTGGTAGGAGGAGGTCGCTGCGCCAAATTTGAACCAAGGTGGAAATTTGTGGCCGCTGCATACTTGCGACGTTAGGAAAAAACTGCAAATAGTTTTTTGTGACAATTATTCATATATTTCCTACGCTTTAGCCATTAAACGCAATGTTAGGTATCCTATTACTTGGGTCTGGATCAAGGTCTGGATTCTGGGTTCTTGCATCCAACAGCGACACATCCACAGAGAACTGATTAAAAAGCTTTACGTTCTTTAACAAGCAAAACTTATAAATACAAAATATAAGTAAAACAATTATATTTTAAGATGGTAGAATGAACGAGAAGAAATGGCAAGAAACGCGTCGCTATTTCTTTAATAGCTAAGTTTTATTTACAAGTCATAACGCACTTAAAGTGAATTTAATGGAAATAAAATTAAATAAATCTCATTTATTATGAAAATAACATAAATTGTTCTTTAAATAAAAGTACTATCATTGTCTGATAAGCTAGTTTAAATTACGTTAAAAAATTATTTTGGTTTAACTTAACCTTTAATGTAAATGTAAAAAAAATTAATGAAATATTTTATTAAACACCAATATTTACCACAGCACGATTGTCCTCATGGCGGCTATAAAATTGAATTGAACAACCGACGCAAAGTCGAAGGATAGATAAGAGACATAATTTATATAAATACATACAATAACAGACGAAAAACACATCGTCTGTACGTACAATTGTTTTTCCTAAAATTATATGGTAAATAAAGACTTATTGTAAGGAGATTGTGTGGGCGTTGAAAGGTAGATTAGGCAATTGATTTAACTTTAACTTTAAAGTAAAAAACTTTTAACGGTTTAAAACACGGAATATATTAGTTAACACGTCATATACAATTTATTTTAGCTACAGTCGCGACGGAGCATAGCTAAAATAAATTGTCGCTATAGGTATGTAGCTAAAATAAACATCGCGACGTTTCGTATCCTATTCCGCGTCTCAAACCGTTAGAAGTTTTATTTAAATTTATACTACTAGCGTTAACTACTAAAACACAACATCTTTAACTTAAATACTGTCTATAGTTTACGCGAGTACTACACATTTAAATAAAACACTTTAACGGTATAAAACGCGATACATTAGTTAAACTTATTTGACAATGATTTTTAACTTTGGCCCGACGTTTCGGATGCTTTGCAGCAGCCGTGGTCACGGGAGACTCGGCTGCTGCAAAGCATTCGAAACGTCGTGCCGAAGTTAAAAATCATTTTCAAATAAGTTTAACTAATATATCGCGTTTTAAACCGTTAAAGTGTTTTATTTAAATCTTTAACTTAGTAAAATCTTAGGTTAATAGAAATATAGTTTTGTTCTGAAAATGCATGCACAACAAGCATGGTAAAAGGGGTATTTTATAATAGTTTTATTTATGTCCCATACCGTAAAAAAAAGAAGTAACACATCGTTCAACCCGGAATCCGAATTTCGGGTTTCATGATCTGCAGATGAGCGTCTCAACCACTACACCAACGAGGAAAATCAATATTAAGTATGAAAAACACAGAGCACAAGAAAATTACTCTTTGAAATAATGAGTACCTTATCAGAAAAATACTTAGTTTTGTCCCTGCAAGCACTTTATAACCGCTAAAAGTGCTTTTTAATGACCGCCACACATTCACGAAGTAATTTTGCAATTTTGTTTTGCTTTTATTTTCTTACAGTTAGACTATAAATTATCGAAGAAGGTCAAATTGTGAAAGATGCGGGAAACCAACAGTTTTGCTGCTTTCGTTATTTGTTGAAAAATATTGCGCAAGTAGGTAATTGCTAGTGTTTTTGAGGGGTAATATTTTGAAAATCCTGTAATTTTACGCCATTGCCGCTCTATTTGCTGCATTAATTAAGTAATAATTATTTACCTACTATAATAGTCAGTCAAATCAATGGTCAGGCAGAAATAGTTGTTTTTCGATGAGGTAGCTTCGATTCCTTTTAAGCGAATATAGGTCTGGAATAAAGCTTATCGTTGCAAAAAAGTGTCTTCACAAATTGTTTTAGAATTCTCCAAGACTATACTATATACTTATATATATATATAGACTTCTATATTTGTTAATATTATCTTAATTTAATAAAATATAACGTCCGATTGACTTTGTACTTGCTAATGTCTTCCGTCAATGTCACTTAACATCAACGTCAATTGTCATTGAATATACGTCAGTGTGACGTTGTTTTTTCAACTTGCAGCTTGCTTAAATCTTATTTTATGAGTATTAATTGGTGATATTATTTATTTTTGGTGACGAATCAAAATACATGGATCTTATTTCGTAAATATTGGCATTACATATAGTCGTAGTAACTCGAATATACCAGGTAACATCCATATGTTCTTGAATCAACAACAACATCCCGAAAGTCCAAACTTCCAGAAGGACGTCTATATTTTACCTGTTGATGACTGTACAAGCGCTGCCCGATGTCGAAAATGTCGAAAATAAAGAAATTGACTGGTTCGTTTAGGTATACGCAATGGGATCCATGCCTTATTGTGTCCCAGATTATTGCGATGCAATTTATGTTGTACCTAACACTGTGTCTTCTGGTCGCGATTATGCAGGACTTAACCGGATCTACGAGGACATTAGATCACATATTTGAGTATCACGTAAGTATTTCAAATATTATAATTAGACATGTAATGTTTGGAAGTTGTTGGTCTTAAATAAAAGTAGGGCTTACCTGTATTTAATGTTAAGTTAACATTACTTTCCTCTTAAAAAATGAGTCACAAGAAACATTTCTTATAGAACATTTTGTACTGTGTGCTTATAACATAAATTCTAATGTTTGTATTATGCAAGAAATTAGAACAATTGTGAAATTCAATAGGGTATTAAAATGAGCAATTTTTCTTGTGTTAAGATCTTTAAATGAGATTCAGTACACTTTTTTCAGGAAATTCATGTAAAAGACAATGAAGGACGAAGTGTAATATTAGCATTTGTTCTCAATGCAATAATAGGAGCATACTTGCTGTGGTTGTTAGTTGGAAGGACGAAGCTGTGCTTAGATTTCAGGTAATTCTCAAAAATGGCATGTCTGTTTTGCTGTTAGGTCCTGTATCTTTTTGTTTCATTTGATCAGCAAATATAATCATTATTTGCAAAATGCCCTTTTCTGTTTTCTGTAATACAGTCATGTGTTATATGACAATATGTGTCGGTGACTGTCAGCAGCCTTACACTAGAGAAGGCCTCTTTATTTATTTAATCAACTCGCTTTTGGGTTATAATCCTGAATCGTCTTGCTAATACTTTAATGACAGGGAAACCCCATGTTTAAATACTTTTATTGCTTCTTCATAAGTTATAATCTTTTTGTAAATGCAATGCCTGCCGACTATATTCACAAGGACAAATATTCTTCTCCATTAGGTTAGTTTAACAACAATGTCTGACCTGAAAGAGTTTATGTAGGGAAAAAATTATTAAATTAATCTATTTTAATTCTTATTGTTGTACTTTTCATGACACCATTTGCCTTTCATCCTTTAATAAGCCATAGATCTTGCTTATTTGATACATTATTTTAATTATAATTTCGCCATCTATGCATAGTGCCTCTATTGTAAATAGCAGTATTTAATTTTCTACTTACAATTTTCAGTTGCACCTTTTATGGAATTCACCTCATTGTGTGCTGGTTCTACAATGGAGCGTTCCCCACAACATTTTCCTGGTGGGCATTGAATATTGCATGTGCAGCGATTACCTGTGTGGCTGGCGAGTTTCTGTGTTTACGGACTGAGTTGCAAGCTATACCACTAAGTAATATTGGTGCTAAAGTTGACTTATGAGATCTCAAGAAAGTGGAATTGCAATATGAAATGAATCACTGTGTTGGTGAACTGACTGTGTGACTAAAGACTTGTATAAATGAAGGTTGTTTTTTGAAGATTAATTTAAATGAAAGAGAAAAAAAAATATCTGCGTATTTTACCAAGCTTTATCAATAAGAATTTGGGATTGTTAGCCATTTTTTTTATGTGTTAAACCCTTTTTTTTTCAAATAGATGCATAAAACTTACTCTAATAAAAGAATAACATTTTTTTGAAGATTCAAATTATTAATAAAAAATTAAGTTTGAAACAAAAATAAGTCCTTATTGAAATTAACATCACTTAATTATTAATAATAATCAGTTTTACATCATATGGCATACATCAAGGTGTGATAAAATGAGGCTTCCAAGTTTCTCTCTGTAGCTCAGTTGTGAAATGCTATTCCTAACTTTGTAGTAAGCACTAGAAAGAGATGGGGGTTTGTATCATAAATAAACATTTAATTATGTCAGTTACAGTTTAGGCTATTAGCCTATAAATGAAATCATATTCTGAGACATACAGGTAAATCCTGTAGGAGATAGTTTTTCCATAAAATTCCAATGATGAATCATATAGAACAATGAAGTGTATACGGGATACACTTCATTGTTGATACTTGAACAATTAAAAATGTTAGCTAGAAAAGGTATTTTCATAAGCGTGTACAGAATTGTATAGTGTTAGATATGCCTAATTATTCAATTATGATGTAAATAAAAGTAATATATAATACAAATTTTATTTCATTTGCTTTGATACCTAGAAAAAGCTGGGGTAAAATTGATAAATTTTGTTCCGATCAGTGGAACGGCCTGTATTGCGCGTACTGCCTCATATGGCGAATTTGAACTCTTCACAACCAAAAAAAAATTGTGATGGTGGCTATTGCGTCCAGTAATTAAGTGGCTTCTGCCTCAAATTTTTGTAATTGGATTTTAAGACAATAAAACACAAATGTATCATAATACTATTTACTTTTGTAATATAAAACAAGACAACATTTAAATAAACATCGAATATCACAACATTGTTAAAGTATCACAAACATTAAATTAATAGAAAAGTATCAAGTAGAATTATTCTCACTATACGCATCAAAGATTTGCACAGTTGATAAGAGATGGCGTTATTGTACATAGTGAATACTTGATACAGTCAAAATTAAGATAAAACAAAACCTTGGTTAACTTTTTGTACTACATTACTTTATAAAAATACTGTTAAAACACAAAGCTAGTGACTTATTAGATACAGATGTATATATAATATTTAGATTTGATTGAAATTAAAACACAAAAATGTTGTTGAAAAAAATGCAAAAAATTTAACTTGGATGTTTGTTAGGCATAATAACTAAAAAACCTAAGCATGTACCATTTGTTGGGAATATAATTCCGAATTTGAATTTGTCGCAATTACAGAAATCAGCAGTAAACAGATTACAATAAAAATGTTGGTCTATGTTGTTCTTCTCATCTTAAACCTCTTACAATTAAATCGTGTGATATACGTAATACATTACATCTTGTATATTTTGGTGCACTAGCGTCTTACTGGGTGCTATAAAATATATAGTCTTGTGATACACGAAACAAATGACGTGAGTCAAGAAATTAATAAAGCAAAAAGTCGTCGTTCCGTGTATAGCAAGCCTTATTTAAAAATATTTGATAGAAGTCTGGCAGTAATAGTTATTTAAACAAACGCACTGGATATAACGTTTTAAATATTCGGCCATTTATTCTATTATGTGGAAATATAAGAAATTATGTCAACATAATATCTATATTGAAACAAAAATATGACGATTAAAAGAACACTTAACGGTTCAAAACGCGAAAAATGATAGTTAACTTTTTAAATTTAATTTAACTACGACGCGACTTTTCGCATCCCGTGATCACGGGAGGACGATGGAGGGTGTCCCTAATGTCAAAGTCAAAACTGCTACGCGAGCGCCATCTGTTTCGTCGTAGTTGATATTCGGAGAAACTACTTATAAGTAATAGTAATAATAAAATAAGTTTGCAAAATAATTAAATATGAAATTTCATTCATATACGTAAGTGCGTCACATTTTAAGTATTGTCTAATTAGAACATACTTAAAATGTGACGCACTTAGCAGTAGTGACAATATAGGCCGAATACTATATATAGAAGCAACTTACAACATTGACAGACCTATTTTAAGCATAAGACAAACGCCCGAATGTATTTATATTGACTAACGTGCTTTTAAAAAACTTATCTATTTACTTTATGTATGTAATAGATTTAAATACGTATTTGAATATATCCATCATTATAATACGTATGAGTATGCATATAAAAAAAAAACTGACCAAATAAAACCTACATTCAATAAATCCTTAACAAGATATATAAAAATATATATGTTTCGTCATTCAACATAAACAGATAAGTTATAAAAGCACAATTACGCTAAGCTAAAAGATCTTTAAAACCAAATATGAAGGCACTGCACAGCTTGGAAGCTACAAAGTGTTATGGCCGGAGCGAAGTGAGATGCTAGTCTATTTTGTAAATATCAGCGCTATTCTATTGTTATACTTGTTGTGTATATGAACACCATACAGACTTACAAAATCTAACATGTAACAATGATACACAAATGTTACTATGGCCTTGAAACAGATTATCTTTTGATTTGGTTAGACAGCAACATGATGCCATCTTGTCTACGAAATGAAAACCAAGAAATAAAGTTATAGTTTGTCATATAAGTTTGTATTAAACAACTCAGAATGTAGTAATTTGTTATATTTTGTAAACCTGTATGTATTACTACTCCTTAAATCTACTTTAACATATTCAAAATTTTAACTAGATTTGCAATATACAATAAAAACAATAAAATATAGTGTTTAAATTGAGATTCAATAACATTAACTGCTCTGATTGTAAAAATTATGCAATAAAACTTAACGGATTAAAACAAAATTGATTGTCAGCATTAAACTATTGAGGGAAAATATTCTTGTAGTTTCACTGAGTCACATTTTACGTATATTTCGATTATTTGCGTAAATAAAAGGTAATATTCTTGATATGTAAAAAGTCTGGTATACCCACTCGACTCCAAATTTGGAATAAAGAGGGTAGATTCTAAAAATACAATATGTGAATAAAATCTACTTGTCGATACAACCTATTAAAATAATGACTACGATAATAATTTAAACCGAGGTAAAAAAGGTCTTTTAATTGGTTATAGGAATACAGCCAAAGCTTGGAAGAAATGCCAACGACAGTGTGAAACGCGAATTTTCATCATCGAATTTAAGGCGAATTTTCATCATCGACTTCTTTGATGACAGAATCTGACTCCCACCTGGCTTTTTCTGCTAACAGCTCTTGTAGTTTCTGAAGTAATCAAATGCGACTATATCATTGACATATATGTATTAGAATTTTCAACTTTTACATTAGTTTATATTTTTAAGCTTTTACAGTTTTCTGCTGCATTATTTACAGCCGCCATCTTGTTGATCCGCCATTACAGTAAATAAATGAAGACTGTTTTTTTTCTCTCTTATTTTCAAAAGAGGTCAGCCACTATTCAAAAAACTATGATTATATACTATGATTACCGTCTTTGTGAACTAAAAACAGTTTGGTAATGTTACTTACCTCTGGCTTATCGAGTAATATTATCCTATTTTCGACTTTAGGCGCTAGCTCGCACGCATTTTGCTCCAAATCGTCCAGCGACGCACGACGGGTTAACCTAAGTTCAATTAATTAAATTTACTATATTATGTACTTTGTGATTACAGTTCTAAAGCGAGATCATTCAGCAAGATGCATTGTTAACACGCAAAGGAAAATCAAGATACGTAATCTTACGTTGATGTTAAAGAACGATGGTCAAATCGTACTTGACGGCTGAAGCAAATAAGATTCACAGGCTCGTTGGTCTAATGGTAGCAACGTGTGGCTAATAATCTACGTGTCGCAGGTTCGATATGTTTCAAATTTTTTTGAAACACGTGGGACTTCGTCTGGAATCTGGATATTAAATTGGTGGTATAGAAAATTCCGCCCGAGTCACGAACCACCGGCCACAGATGAAAAGGCCCTGAAGCTTAATCGCGCTTCGGTTTCAGTCTGTGGATTTCAAACCCTTTATGTTTTGTTAGTTAGTCGCGAAAAATTTCAGATCCAGTACCAATACGATTTCGGCAATTGTTCTTTAAATTATGCCTCCTCTGTTTCTATGGGAATGGTTGTTACCTATGGTGTGTGTGTGGTGATTCTGCCGCTGAAGAAGCCCTACGGAGTGGCGGCGGACCATCCAGCTCGTTACCGTCCAGCATTTTCACTAAGCTGTGCCTAAAATAAATAATACAAAAAGTAATGACCATACACAAATATGATAATTGTGTTCTTTTATTTAATATGTACAAAGTTTTAATAGAATCGCCTACAATTTTTTGAAGTGAAAAGAACATATACCTCCGGCTAAGCGTGACGAGCGACTGCCGATGTTTGGATGGGCGGGACTTCCCCGTTCTGACATTGATGGCGGAAAAGTGGTTCTGTATAGCCATACCTATTTCCGGGCACATGTCGTCTGAAACCTAAAAATTAAACAGATAGCTTTAAAATCTTGCGCGAAACAACGTATTAAAAAATATATTTAAGATGAAGAGAATCATTTTGATGTAAATAACAAAAGTCAACCTTCAACAATGCCCTAGCTATAGAGGTTAAATGTACTATTGCACAAAGAGTGGAATACAAAAGCTAATAGTTAACAGCTGTGCTAAGCAGTAGCTAATAGAGGTGAAACGTATTTACGTTACAAGGGTTTTAAAACCAGGGTTTTACTTCGAACTGCGGAGCTCTGGTACGAGAAAAAAATACTTGCAAGTATGAAAGTATTAATATATGAACAACTTATATAGGTACTGTCTATAGTTTACGCGAGTAGTCACTTTAATAACATTTAACGGTTTAAAACGCGATAGCCGATAGCGAAGCCGTGACCACGGCTGCTGCAAAGCATCCGAAACGCGGGCCGAAGTTAAAGATCATTTTCAAATAAGCTTAACTAATATATCGCGTTTTAAACCGTTAAAGTGTTTTATTCAAACTTGCATACGATTATGATCCATATATTCACATAAAACTCAATCTTGATTGTGAATAAAAATACTTTTAAATTATTTTTTATTTATATGATTTTGCTCTTTATTCATACTACGTTTAATATATAATAAGTGTTGAATTCCTATGCAAGTATTCTAAAATTGAGTTGGATGGGCTCGCAGGGCTCGCGGCGCCTGAGCGATGCGTTTTGATAATGATCTATCTTCATTACAAATAAAATCATTCAAATTATGAATAAAAAACGTATAAGTATTTTAAGCCCTGGTTAGTTCCATACTCGTACTTATAAGCCCTGGTATTCAAATACAGCTAATAACAGTCGATCCCCACCGGGTCCAAAATCATTCTATTATCAATTTACAAATTCTCTGAAACATGGCCATGAACCACCAACCATAGATAAAAAACCCTGAAGTTTAATCACGTTTCGGATGTAGTCCGTGGATTTCGGATACAAAATAGATCGACAGTCAATTGTTACGATTGTTGCTAGGATATTTCACCTTCCATCGTGAAAACCCCATTATGCTTATTTGTTCTTCTCTATCATCGAACGATTTCTCTGTCAGTTTGAATACCAGAATACCAAACAAAATATTCCCGCTAGAAAGATACTTACCAATATAGGACATTTAGGTAACATAGTGAATCCGTCGTTCCCCGAATGTAAATACTGTTTGATTGCCAAGCGATACTTCAAGTCCTTCAGCAAATATTCGTCTCCAATTTTCACCACGTCTTCTGCGATCCGCTGACCTGGCGGCTTAGAGGGATCGAAAGCGAACGACACACCCGCCACCTGGTGACAAAAAATAACTCTAGTCAATTAGTCAAATAAGTTTTGCCTATGCTATATATAGTTTGCGCGAGTAGTACACATTGAAACATTTTAACGGTTTAAAACGCGAAACAAATTAGGTGACTTATTTTCAATTAAATTCAATTGCGGCTTTTGAATGTTCTGCAGCAGCTGTGGTCTCGGGGAGACTGAAGATGGGCGGTGTCCTCTAATGTCAAAAACTGCTACGCTAGCGCCATCTGTTTCGTAATTGCTATTTGGAAAATTCTGGTGGGCCAATTTATATAATAATAGTAGGAAAAAAAATTTGCGAATACGTGAGAATTTATATATAAATAACATGGTAGGTATTCTTTAGCCCTTGTTTTAATTTAACTAGTGGTTATACCAACATTAAACTTTTTTTATTTTTAATTTTTTACCTTCTCTATAAAAATACTATTGATGAAGACAACATCGAAGTAAACATCGAAGAACATATAATTATAGAATTCTGTAAAATAGATATATTGTGAGTTAAACTTTGTATTACCTGCGGAAACCGTCCTTCCAAGCTAGGATACTTGCTCACTGAATTCTCCAGTACCTGGAGGATGGTGGAGCCAGTAGCCTCAACGACCACTAGTGGGTCTCGCATTGGGATGATGGTGGATAAATCTCGGAGTGTAAAGTCACCTGCTGGGTGGACCTAGGCCAGTTAACAGACGTAAAGTTAAGTTTAAAATCATGAATAATTTTGAAAGCTGAAATGTCTGCTTTATAATATACCTGATCTGATCGAAATGTCCCAGAATTCAGGATGAGGAGGTCGGCCCCAGTAGCTGCTAACAAAACATCGCAGACCCAGTTACCCAGGTTGCATTCTTGACGACGTATGCAAGAAAACCTACCCTCTAACGGTACATAGAACTTGCCGAGGACTTCATCCATTTTACCATCGATCATAGCTGTAAATGTAATGATAATTAATTAAATATGGCTCGCGTTTTAAACCGAAATTGAATTATAAAAATATATTTTTTTTTATGTCTAATCAAAAAATTTAAAGATTTCAAATGTATTGTAATTTCTTCATCAATTATATTCAATTGAATCTTAATGCACAATTTTAAGGTTGAAATTACATTGTGTGAGAGATGCATGAAAGAATGCGATGACAACGTTAGCTTAATTGGTTAGAGCAACAGCACGGAACGCTGTGGATGCCGGTTCAAGTCCAGCCAGAGTCGAATTTTAAGCTGATTATAATTTCTTTTTCCATTCCATTGGGCACCCCATTTTCTTTTTCCCCCGGGGAAAAAAAAAAAGACTAAAATTGTTTTTTTAACCATTTTACCAATTTCCCCATTCTCCCTTTTCGGAGGGTATTAGGCTTTCCTAGCTTATCTTCAAACATTCCTAAACGTTGTTTAACAGAATTTTAATATTTGTAGTATCGTTAATTCTTTTTTAAAAACCGTTTAAACCGTCTCAACATTTTAATTCTGAAATAAACTGCATACACTAAAATGTGTTACCTGAATATTTATCCGTCTTCGACTTCAAGACGGGATCTTCAGCGAACGAGCTGGTCACACCGACCTCAGATATGTCCACCCGAGGGGCCTCGCCCGAGAAATTTATATTTATCTTGCTGAATTGCCGGAAGTCCGTGCCACTCTTCACAATGTACTTGTTGTTTATCTGGAAGTAATTTTGTAACATTTTTTATAACATATTTGCTCGTAACGTGGTTGTAATTACACCAATGATGCGCGCGCATCGCTTATTTGTGGACAAGTGAAAATAATTCCGCGCGCTTTTTCTTTTCGCTGTATTGTTTTTATTTGAAAATGTCGTCATTTCCTCGTAAATATGTTATAAAACGTCGTATGACATACGTGCGCTTTGAAAATTACAGCCACTGCTTTCTTATAGCCCTCACCGATGGCTCGGGCTAGTAATATCGCCTCGGCTGTAATTTTCAACTTACCGCACTTATATCATAATGTATTATAACGTTAAATTTAGTCTTAGTGGAACATCCACTAACATAGGCGATTATAACTAGCTTTTTTAGTCTTTGTAAATACTAACGAAGCAACGTACCCTAGCAAATTACTATCTGTATTAAAAGTAGATCCCTCTCTGTAGCCAAATGGTTAAACGTATTGCCTAGCATTGCGTTATGCGAAAGGTCGCGGGTTCGAATCCCAGGGGAACAAGAAAAGTTGTTCCGGTCGGGTAGGGCACAGAAGTGTGATGTGACTACTTGCCTGTCAAAAAGAACGGATCAGTAAAATGGACATAGAAATGTGTTCGCCCTACGCCCTACGAGGGGGAAACGATATTTCATGATGATGATAAAAAGTAGTTATCAAAAAAAAACAATTATTACGATTTAAAATGTTACGTTTGCTGCAAAGCATCCGATTCGTCAAGCTCTAGTTAAAATAAAATAATGAGTTGGGATCCGATGTGTATAAAAACTTGAGGATGTCTATTGTACCTATCTTATGTCTATGACAGACATAGTGTAGTGTATACACTATATAATGAAGCCAGAAGCAAAAACTAAACTTTACCTTACCTCCAAAACCTCGTAGACATGGTCGTGTCCACCCAAAATTAGGTCTATTTTATTATCACCCTCCGCAAGTTTTATGTCGTTCGGTGAACGCATATGCGTTAGCGCTATTACGTACTCGCAACCCTGAAATAGGAATAACAGATAAAGAGGGAGAAGGAGGGGAGAGGTGCGTCCTCAAAAGTTTAAATATTATATGCATTACCACTTAAAAAAAAAAATATGAATATATATTTATCGTCTCAGTCCGTCTCCCCCCGACCGGGGCCGCCGCAAAGCACCCAAAACGTGGCCAAGTTAAAATATTTTCAAATAAGTTAACTAATATATCGCGTTTTAAACCGTTAAAGTGTTTTATTTAAATATATTTTTCGTGCCCCAATAAAGTGTCCATGACAACGGATCGTGGTCAATGGACGTGGGCTCCTTCCCCACCGGGTCCAACATCGGGGTCCAACATAATCAATTTATAATTTCTCTGAAACATGTTGGACTTCGCGTTTAATTTTCAGTTTGTGCATTTCATCATATTTCGTTTAAATGTTATATGACTGGGGTCATTCAACTAACAGAAGTGCACCACCGTGCTCGTCTGTCCTCCACTACCATAACGAAGCTTAGCCTACCTCTTCCTTTAACTGCGATGCTAATTTAGCGCCAGCTTGTAAGAAATCTATGAATGTAACTTCCTCTGGATTGATCGTTGCTAATGTTTCTAACCATTCCTGTAAGAATTGAAATCATTTATCAAGACATAAAACGGGCATGATATGTACATATGATCGTTACGCTAATCAAAAAACAATTTCCTATAGTTACTTCTTTACATGTATATATTTTTTACTGGTAACACTCAAAAAAAACCATCTCTTCATCCAAACAATGAGGTAAATGGACAAATGTTATCGTAAATCGTTTACCTGTTCAACTAATCCAATAAGACCTATCTTGTGGCCATTACAAATGAGCGCGTGAGTGATCTTTCCGTCCCCCAGCGGCCTTCCCGTCTCGTTGTCGATTACATTTGACATTAGCCAGGGGAAGTTACACTGCGCGACTAACTTCGACAAGACTTCAAGGCCGAAATCTGAAAATCAATCTATTTAGCACGGTACAAAGTAATCAGAATCTTTCTTCAATAAGACAGGATTGATCAAAGCATTTTTTCTATCAAAAGATAGAGATTAGAACCTACTAGATACTAAAGTTTATTTGTTATATATTCTGGATTTATGCCAGTACTATGACAAGACACCAAAATTCTACTCACCGAAATCATGGTTACCAAAAACAGCACAATGAGTCCCTATTTCATTCAACACAGGTACCATTTGTTCGCCTTTTGTGAAAGTGCTTACTGTAAAAAAATATATGTTTGATTACTCTACTATCACGGCTTGAAGACTACCTCTTCGGTTTTCTATTTCATACGCCATATATATATAATGAATATGGATAAAAACTTTTATTTTGAGGCAATGGAGTAATGTGATTAAACATTCCATATTGTTTCATTTATATCCGGCTCGAAGGACCAGCTACATTGTATGTAATCTATTTAAAATTATATGTATCCATTTAAGGGATGAACAAATTCTACTTACACATGCTAGGTGAAAAGGCATCTCCACTAAATAATACTAAAGGGTTGAGGTGTTGTAACGATTTCACGGCGGTACAAAATCGTAGGGCACCTCCCACTGGTTCTGTGTCTGTAAATTAGAAATTCACATGAACAGACATAACATAAAGCCTAAACACTTTTTCGGGACTTTTAGTCGAACTTTTAATTATCAATATAAAGTCTGTACTTTAAAGAAGATTTTTCCGCTGCCATCTTTTTCGTCTTCAGCTGTTAAATTTTAAACAACAATAACAAAATAGCAAGATAAGATCAATTTACCATACGACGTTGTGTAAACATTGGCTTTATCAGCTAAAGTACACCATGGTAAGGTTTCTTTGCTATTTCTATCGATATATTGGTAGTGGTTATATGAATGGTTATTAAATATTAGTCATGTTTTACCAGTTGATATTTCTACAATATAATATCTAAGGGCGTTAGCTTAAATGCAACATAGTATGTTTATAACATTTTATGTGTATACTTGTACAAGAATCAATTAAATTTTTAATTATTTATATCTATTTAGTGATAAACAATGTAATTAAAGTAATGACGAAAATAATGAAAATTCAACTGTCTGACATTACTTAGAATTAAACATATAAATGGGTAAAGTAGTTTTTAGTTAGTGTAGTTTATTTCGATGCGATAAAAAAAAATTGATAATCAGCGCACTCAGCTCTTGTGGTGGGGTTGAGGGGCAAGTCACATTTTGACTTTATGGAGTTCTATTTACGACTGTTTTTATGTCTCCTATCAGATATTTTTTTAAACACAGATGCGCTGTCGACGTAATTTGGCTTTGGATATTCGGAAATCCACAGACTTAACACCGAAACGCTATTAAACTTTACGACTTTTTTCCTGTAGACGATGGACGAAATGGCGGTATTCCTACCAAAATATTTTGTTTCAGAAAAATCGGTAAGAAACATGTTGGAGCTGGTGGAGATCGAACCCACGACTCCTTAATTATTAGGCATACATCACTCTGTTACACCAACGAGGCCGTCAATTTTATTTTATTATTTTAAGTGTATAATATCTTTGTGCAATTAGTACCTAATATTTTAAATTTTAAACTTATGTGTGAAAACCTTTAATATACTTACTTGTCACCTGTTCAATATTGTAGACATCGTTAAAGTGTATAATGACCACGTCGTCCGCCATGCCTCGGCCGGATAGCTGGTTGACAGCTCGTCTACCCACTTGTCGGACCTCAAGCGACGCCTGGGAGAACCAAGTATTATTTTATTTACTACGATAAAACTCGAAGACAAAAGAAATATGTACAAAAGAATGATTCTTTGATTATCTAAAAATTGTCCGCGACTGTACATGTCTATCTTTTAGAATAAAGTTGCAAGAACGATGGGATTCGGCTGAGGACGTGGGACAAAAACAAATTGGGATCCAAAATCACTAAATCTAACAGTTAATACAGTTTTTGACTAGAGTTTTCTAGAATTCAACGAATTACCTACTTAAGTTTTTTTTGTGTATCCTAATTTACGCTTTTTATAATTGGCTTTTTTCACTAACCATAACTTAATCACACATTTTAAATATTCTGCTATAAAATATTTCGGAACGAACAAACAAATACAGTAAAAGATTTAAATTGTAAAATTTCTCCTAATATACAATATAAGAAAATTGTCTTTAAAATTTAACTACTCACAAACTGTGTTTAACACTAGGTTTGACAGGTGTTGCTAAAATGATCTACGAAATTGCGAATGCAATTATAGCGAAGGCAATTAAAAACTTTAATTTGACAGCAAAAAAGTCGAACACGGAAATATTATCGGCGACACAAAAAAAGGAAAACATAGGTGTCGATTAGATGTAAATTACACATACAAATAATATCAAGGGCAGACAAAATGACAAAAAATTCGACTATCTTCCAACAATTCGAATTGATATAAAATGGCTTGACCGTTTTTAATGAAATGTGTTGTAGTTTACGAACTTAAAGATTTACGTCAGGTTGTTCGAGAAGAGAATGACTCAAAATATATTTCTATACATATTTTAATTTTAAAAAGTTCTTGTAAAGTTGTATGATGATTGTCGTTTTTGTACTACAGTACTGTATTTGGTTTTGTTTTTATTTTTATACTATTTTATTGTTTAAAGTACTTGTTCTTAATCTAATTGGCTCTCTATTTTTTTCGTCAATGCTGTTTTTTGCCTGTAAGTTTTCCTTGAAAATGTAAATTAAATAAAAAAATAATAACGAGCGTGATGTAACTTAGTTACGAGTTAAACACGTTTTGTTGGTTCGAAGACGCTGCCTTTGCCTCTCCCACCACCCTGTATACAGACCACACAATAACCGTTATAGAAAACTACAGTACAATAGCCGGAGTGCCGCAAGGTCAATTCAATTTGATATTCGCAGTGTCAAGGTAATTTCGACCGAAATAGATAAGGCCGGTCCCTTATCTACAAAGATAAAAACTGTGTAGGCCAGTAAATCAAGAAGCTCAGATCCCTACCATTTTCGATTTCCAAGTCCGGTGTTCTTAAGATATGACGTCATCATATAATTGACAACATACAAGTCTTCTAAGTTGGGGCAAAGACATTTGGGTATCAAAAAACATTTAAACTTCTTGCTGCTTAAAAGTTTGCGATAAGAAATAACCGGTTTCAGTAAATACTAAAGTCTATTCACCCGAATAATCAATAGATGTGTGACTACCTCTGTAGCTAAATGGTTAAACATGTTGCCTAGCATTGCGGGAAAATCCTGGGTTCGAATCTCGGGGAAACAATAGATTGGTTTAGTCAGGTAGGGACAGAAGTATGTTAAATTGATCAGTTTAACATAACTACTAGTGCTATAAGTGTACAAGTAGTAACTAAGTGTGTATAAGTGTACTTGTACTGTAAACAAGTACCTATATACCATCTGTAAACAAAACCGACATCTGTAACGAAACCGATCACATAAATGTGCTCGTCCCATGTCCCATTGGGGAAATGGTATTTCACAACAACAAAACCAATGCTTAACACTTAATTATCATTTTGAATCCTTGTTTGTTCGTGGTAAAGGGACAGTCTATTTTGTGAAAAATTACAAGGTTCTTAAAGATAATTATTATATTAGGGACTACAAAAGATGGCCGGGCAGTACACATTATCTCAGTAGAATTAAAATTAAGAAAGAATTAAAACTAAGAAAAGATTATAATTTACATATTGATGAAATTAATTTACTTTGTAATTATAATAAATAGGAAATAAGTACATTTCTAACTATCATGCTAGAAACGAAATGTTAAATTGTAACAGAAATAAATACTGTGCAGCGTACAAACAAATAATTTACCAAATGCAAAATCATACAACAAAGACAACTATTTACGACTCGTTACATCTTGCATGCATACAAATTGTTCGGAAATTGAATAAATAAAAAGCCCCAATGTGTCTAATACCTTTAATGCTAATAACAATTTATGATCAAGTCTAGTGCAGAGTGTTGCATAAAACTAAGCGCACATGCAACAAAAACATGACTTGTACTTTAAATTCATGATGAAAAATTAATCCAGTATTGTAAACAGGAGCCCAGTTTTTATTTTTTTATTTTATTAAAAAGCCCAGTTGTTAAGTTGTTAATTTGTTGAAATAATTATAGAGGTTATATGAAGAGGTATACATGTTTAAAGACCACCCTCGATTTTATTTCTCTTTTCGGTGACATTTTAAGATATTTAATTAATAACAATTACATAGGCTTGGTTTACTGAGAAGCTAACATAGCGGTATGTAATTTTAATTAGGCCTTTCATAATTAATAAAGAATATATTAATATATGTTCTTTACTAACATAATGTATTTAACTTTAATGAGAAGATGCTACCAAGAAGTCAAATCTGTCTAAAACCCCAGGGACTCCTGGATAAATATGATTTAATTTATAATAAGCGTGCGATTTAATTAGACACCTCGCTAAACTGACAATCTTTAAACAACTGCAATACAAATTAGGGGTTTCGAGGTGCCTACTTAACTGGTACAATTGACATAAACCGTGCCTGTTTGAGCCATCCAACGACAGAGCGGACGCCATCTGTGACCTCGCCAGGTACATCAACACTGGTCGACTCAATCAGAGAACTCCATCTCGACCGGAGAGCAGCTTGCGCCGCAAACGATGCCATTCTATGAATTTGCTTCACTAGAACCATTTTGTTCACTGTAGTCTTATTTTTTATATGCATTCATTGCATTGGGATATAAAACTGTTGACTCTTTATTGACAATTTATTTATGTTTTTTTTATTTTTATTTATTGGAATTGATATTTATTTGTAGACCATTTTTAACGTTCGGGTCTTGGCATGGAGACTGACAAATAGCCATAAATAATTATTAATTTTAATATACTTTTAATCACTAAATATTTTAAATATTTCCGAAAAGTATTTTTATAAACATAGTTAATACAGAACCTATTCTTTTAAAAATTCAATTTATCAAACAATTACAATATTTTGATTTTAAATTAACTTTTTAACATCATATTATATTGTTTTTAAGAATGGACAATCTCCTAGGATTACAATCAATAAAACAATACCAGGAACTGGTTCGTGAGATCAATACAATAACATCTCCCAATATGATTTTATAAACTTTACCTTGTATGTGCTATGCATAAATTATATAACACAGTACTTACTAACAATTAAGAAGCTATTATTTGGTTTAATTCTTGTGCAGATAATAATAGAAGTAATCATTGTTTATTATTAAATATATATTTTTTTATTATTTACAACGTGTCAGACTTATTAGGAGAACCTTTCTCGTTGAGCATATCATAGGAATCTCTGTTAATGCTGGTTCAAGTCGCGCCAGTGGTGTATTTTATTTTTTCAATCTAAAATCTATTTTTAATTTATATTAAAGCAAAATTTTACATTAGTTATTTCGCAATTTTAGTCTATGGGTGTCTATTATTTATTCAAGATCAACCACTTCATTATAATGCATAAATCTATGAAATTCCAATGTCACAATTTAGATAACACGAAGCAAGGCCAAATTTTTTTCGGACAATAACACTATATCTTTAGGCTGAGGCACTGCACTTTAAAAATAATACGGTCTGCGCGAATCACAGTGAATGCTAATGAATTTTTCGGGGTCGGTTCTAGGCTGAGGCTAAACTTTTGGCACTTATTCCAATTTAACGGTACAGCTGTTGAAAACTAGCGCACAAACGTAATATTTACTGTGCACTGACAGCTGATAAAGAATATTGTTCTTACGAATAGTTTTAGTTGGTTCCTTTTCCCGTTTAAATCTAAAATGATGAATTAAAATTGAAAACTTACCCAACAGGATGGTGAAAGATACAATCGAGGAAATAATCCGTGTCACAATATATTTTTGTGTCACTTTAATATCTTCCCAAAAATATTTTTTGTTTGATTTTTCGAATTAATATTAAATTGCAGCAAAATAGCACACCCACAAACGGAATGATTGAGCGAACTGTCAGGTGTCATTTGTCAATTTAAGATTTTATGTCAAGTTCGATCCGTTCGTCCGTCAATGACGTTTCAATCTACGCCTTATGATAATGATTTTAGAAATCCACAAAAATCTGGGTTTATAATGAAATTAATGAATTTGTTAGTAAGAATATTTTTTAAAGCTTGAAATTAAATTTAAATGGTCTAATGATATTAAAGACTTATATGTGTTTATATTATAATGGTTGTTGTGTTTTATTACCCTAAAGCCTAGATGTTACTGATTTACTTATAAGACTAAGAAAAAAAATACAGCAGGATTGTAAGATTAAAAACATTGTATTTACATACTATTTTTAATGATTAAAAAATTTCAAGAAAGGCAAAAATCCTATCCCCCGTGCTTGTAGTAGTAATCGCCTTCGAAATCGTACCAATCGACCAATTTCTTGTTATACCACATAAATGTACCCTTTAGGTTCGGCGAAGCGTCGAAAATAAGATAAAGAATTGTATCTGCTGCTTCATCAGGTTCGATTTCACCACCTCCATGCGCCATATCGGTTTTCACGTGTCCAGGGTGTACGGCATTTATTGATATATTTGGGTATTTCCTTTGCTGAACCATTGTCAACGCAGTAAGTGCGATTTTAGATACCCGGTGCTCAGCATGTTTACCATCATCAGCGAAATCTTCCCGCTGGAACGTTCCGTTTCGCACACTCTTTAAGTACTCTTCGACGAAACCATTTATGTCTTCGGTACTAAGATCGGGTTTTAAAAATGTGTCCAGCCATTTTTTATTCTTTAAATTCGATAAATGGCCGCACGCGCTCGAAACATTAACGACTCTAGCGCCATCTCTTAATAGCGGGAATAAAAGCTCTTCGACAGTCAATAAACTGCGATAATTGACGTCGATGTTTCGTTTCGCGGCCTCGTAACTTGGATAAACTTGTTCCCATTCAAGTATAGCAGCATTATTCACTAGAACGTCGAAGCCTCCGTGCTTAGTTTTAATGAATTCAGCGAATTCTTTGACGCTGTCCTCGCTGGTCACATCGAGGGTGTGGTACTTGGGCGTCAATCCTAAATCTTCTAGCGCCTTTATTGCTGTATGACCTTTGCTTTCGTCCCTCGCTGTTAAGTATACTGTTCCGTTGAACCTCTTACATAATCCTTTAACTACAGCAAAGCCGATACCTTTGTTTGCACCGGTTACCACGGCAACGGCGTTTTCCCTCATTTTAATATATTAAATTTGAACGCGTACGATTGTGTTGTGAGTCACAGTGTAACTAACCTCTCTGCATCTCAGTTATGTTCTGTACAAGTAATTAGATAAGAATTGTTTATTATTGACAATTTATATTTTTACAAGATGGTTTTGTGAAGGTCAAACGCAAAGAGACAATTATTTTATTATTATTATTTGCTAAGAAACTTCTATTACAGCAAACATAAATCCGTTTGTTTAGGAACAAATAAAAAAAAGTAGATACACCTACCCTACCTATCTAAATATTATTTGTACAAATACAACCGTAAGAAATAAATCGTATTCTAACGCTAGTATGTTTTATATTATAAGTAGCAAATTTAACACTGTTTATATATTTAATTTAAACTGTTTTTTAGAGTCCAAAGGTTTAAAATTAAAAAAAGCATTAAAATTCACGATTTTAATACATAAGAAACTAATATTTTATTCGTCTACAATAAGATAAGAGAAAATTGTTGAATACTATCTACTTAAGATCCTTTAAAAGGACCACGTAGGTAATATTAAAAAAGACGTCGTCCCTTAAATTAATCTTCAAAGGTATGCCAGACGTGTAAAGCATTACATTTTAACGTTCTATGGAAGAACAGAATAAAGGTTGGCATCTAAGTAAATACATTACAACTTCATCTTAAACCGTATTCTGCACACATAGTATTTACTGGTTACAATTTCCAGCTATCAAAACGAAATCCTTCTATGGTACAGATGTAATCAAGAGGTAAGGATCACAGAAGGTAACCATTGCTGTACACAAATTACACAAAAACGTACTTCTTAGATCGCGTGGGTAACTTACCCTAATTTATTCTTTCATGGCGTGACGCCATAAATAATAAGAAAATTTCAAGTGAAATCACGTATTTATAGCTCGGTAATGTAAAAGATTTTTTCCCCAACAAGAGTATTATTTACTTAATAAACGTTTGGCATTCCGTGGACTTCTACTCTATATCCTGGTACGAATATTAAAATTCCGCTTGTATGGAGAATAGTTGGCTCTATAAACTAACAGACTATATTAGGATCTATAGTCTGTTAATTTTTTAATGCTATTAATTTTTTTACATCAAGACAAAAATTTAGGAAATAAACGATTACAAAAATACGTTTACATTAAGACTAGTTAAAAAATAAATTAAAAATAACTTATTACTTTTTATTTAAATGTAGACTTACGTTTACTTTTTCACTACATTTGACACGAATTAAACGGGCAGTACCATTGTTTACTTATCAAACTGGGTCTATCAATTTGACGGTGAAAAACAAACAAGAAACCGTTGTTACTTCGGTGAATTACACTTAACCTATTTAAAGAATATTATAATTACAGGTACAACTAACGAGCCTAACGGTGGCCTAGTGGTTAGAATGGCCTAATGTGAGTATTATTTAAATAAAAACATTTTAAATTGAAAACTAAATTGTTCGGATACTTTTATAACTTCGAAGTGTCCGATACGCCGGGCTGTAATAAAGCAAAACAAATGTTAAATCATATATTTCGCGTTTTAAAAGCGTTTTTTTTTAACTATAGACTACTTTGATGTTAACAGTATTTAGAATGTTAGCAAGTACGAGGACCCGCAACATTATTAATTAATAGTCGTCGATGTGGTGAACCAACTTGGACGCGGTGGGGTTTATATCTTGTCTCCTAAAAGAGAAGTTATTTCTTCTCATCCATCCAGCTACTTTTGTGGCGGTTTAAGCCGAGGCTGCACATCGGGGCATCCTGAATTTAACGGATAACTCGCGCGTCAAAACGCCCGGGCCGACACACTAGTAATCAATGAAAAATGTTCCCAGTGACATTTTTAGGTTGACAAGTGTTACAATATGACAGTTGCAAGTTCCTTAAATTTACGAAGTACGAGTGGTTTACGTGAAGCAGATAAACAATATATGTAAGTATAATAAATGCGATATCGTATTGCAAAGATCAACGACCATTACCACTAAGGAGACAAGTTTAGTGACCTGCTTTCAAAATAAAAGAATGATAAGTAAATATTAAATGTCGTCATTTATTAATTATTCTAACTGGCTCGTAAGAGTAAGAAGCAATGTATGACTAATAATTGTATTTTTTTCCAAAACTTGTTGGATTTTGTCTAGAAGGCTATACTAATAAGAACTTGAAGAGTTTGTTTGTTTGTATGTTTGAACGCTCTAATCTCGAAAACTATGGGTTCGAATTGAAAAAAATATTTTTGTGTTGGTTAGAGTATTTTTCGAGGAAGGCTATAGGGTATAAGACATTACGGTCACGTAAGGGAGCGTAAAAAGCGGAAAATGTGAAAAAAATATATCCTTGTGGGTTTCGGAGGCTACACTACGAAAACGGTTAAAGATACCCAAAAAAAGTGTGAATGAATGATTCCTCTTTAAATTATCTAAAAAATGTCAGCGACAGTATAAGTCTTCTTTACCTGTCTATAGTTTACGCGAGTAGTACAAAAAGATTTAACGGAAAAATAGTTCCCCCTGCAAACCACAGGAAGTAAAAATATTTCCAAAAAATTTTAAAAAAGGTTTGATTTAAAAGTCTATCTTTTAGGATTAACTTGTCAGAATGACGGGACGCGGACAGCGTCGTGGGTAACAGCTATAATTTATAAGGATATGGAGGAGGTTTTCAAAAATAAATTTTCTTTCCCAAAATAACTAGTCTATGCGGTCGAAGTCGCTGACACAACTTTATCTTCATATTAAAAGGGTGGTTGGAATATTAAGACGCGAAGATTGGTCGCTTTTTGGTTTCAACCTGTGGCTTTCCAAATGTCCAAAGCCAAAATAGGTCGCTAGAGTCACCTTCCGTCAATTGAACCTCACGCTTGTGTGTGTTCCTGTGTCATAAAGAAGTGTACTATCGTGTTAGTATAATGTAATATTTGTGTAATGCTATCATTGATCTTTGCTATTCAATAAATGTGTAATTCATACAGCGTAGCCACCAAGGATTATGGGAAATATTACTCCGGACCGCGTCATGCAACCGCATCAAATATTAAATAATGTTCGAAGCGAATATAAAAATATTTCGCTTTTCTAGAGAGAGCTACGTTACTCTTTAACGTCTGACTATTTGAAATGGTAGAAGGCAGGATTGCCTATACTTTAAGTAAACATGGTATAAAACACGAAATTTATTCGCTTTATCGCAATTTATAGCATTGACTAAATATAACTTGAGTTTTAAACGGTTCATTTTTATTAGGTGTATATTTTTATAATATATACTTCTTAACTTTTACTATTTTGTCTTTGCGTTTTATTTTTTGCGATAAGGTCGCCTTTGTATTGATATACATACATGTATTTCATTATAAATGCTAGCAAGGACATTTAGCGGGGATATATATATTTTTTTCATACTTTGTTATCGTATTGTGTCCTGATTATATATGATTTGGAATGGAAATTATGTTACTTTTCTTCACGTCACCATAATATAAAAAGTAAAAAAATAGCATAAACCTTAAATTGCTTCTAATAATTAATAAAATAATATATATCACTGTATTGTAGAAACAAATAACACAAAATATCGTTGAAGGAATTTTATTTATTGTAAAACATGCCAGTTTTAACAATTTTTTGATGAAGGTAAGTGACTGGCCATTCTTTACCGACTCTACTAACAAATCTTATACAATTTTCAATGTAATTAGGTAGCCCTTGAAAAAGTAACAAGTCGTTTTTGTTTTTGGTTTCTTAGTAGGAGTTTTTGACTGGGTGTGCTATGTGCGATCATTGTATATATGTGAATGTCTTGAAAAATTCAAGGAAAGAAATGTAAAACAATTTTTTTGTATTTATAATTTTATTGTTTTATTTGTTAAATAAAACAATAAAATATTTTGGTACGAAAGGATTAAATAATACATTTTTTTTATTTTTTTTTGAGTATTGTATTAACATTAATTCACTATTTTGTCAGAGATATGTTTTGGTTATAGAAGTCATATTATTATATAGATCACAATTATAGATAATTTAAATTATTTAATCACAAGATTTTATTTTCCTCAAAAGATTCGAACCTTGTAACTCTTCTACAATTTACTAACCACGAGGTATTAACATAACAGGCATTGAACTCGAAGATTTATGGAACACCTCACAACGTTATTGGCGATATTTTACAATCGCTATTGGCATTGAATCGAAGATCAAACCGATTTAAATAAGTTACAATGAATTTAATATTTGATACAAACGTCACAATATACTATTTCTATAATTTTCGCGTTATGCAATAGGCTGACACGCTATTCTAATCGATCTACTATTAATAGTAACGAGAAAAATAATTGTCTATAAAGCCCATTCTTAAACGCTTTCTTAGATTATACAATAAGCGTTGTTTGTTTAGCGTTCCGCACCCAAAGAGTAAAAACGGAGAGTAGAAACGGACGGACAAGAGGGTAATTCCGGTCAGTGTTAAAAAGAATTCAAATAATATATTTGGCTATTTTTATGTAAACTACCGTTCATACGTTTGAAATCACATTTTTACATAAAAAAGGTATTAAGTCCTCATTAAAACATAGGTCTATTTAATTTACATTAATTTTTAGACAACTCTTTTGTTATAGATATATATAATACTAGGGCTGTTACTTCGATCTTGGACTAATTATTTATTTATAATATTTTATTTGGAGATGTAATTATAGTATCTTTTTTCTACTTTGCTCTTTATACAATACAGATACATCATACCTTTTTTCTAATTGCCTTTTTATTGCATAAAACCGACCAGCGCCGGCGCATATCTGTCTTGTATCCTTGTCCTTAAACTTGCTTCGTCGTTTAGGTGTAACACTCGTGTCTAACATATTATAAAATATATTTGAATGGTTTTTGAGAGCTATGTGTAAATTGTTAACTGTGATTATCTGTGGTTGAAAAGTGACTGTTTTTCGTTGTAGAAGTGCTTAGAAGTGCTAAGGTAA